AGGGCCGGCGGGCACAGGCGGAGCGACAGGTGTGGACGTGCCACTCCCAGGCCCCGTGGCCTGCGCAGACGTGACCCTGCCCGCCCCAAGGGCCGGTGACCCCGCGCTGTCGCATCCCATGTGCACGCGTGAACCCCCGGTCCCCGTGACCGGTGCGGGCGCCGCGACCCCGCGCTCCGACGACCTCTCGGGTCGGGACTGAGCACTCGCGCCCAGAGGCTGCCGCCCTCAGGCTGAGAGGCCGGCGCAGCTCGGTCCCCCCGGCCCGGAACGCTCGGCGCGGACTCCCGGGGCAGCGCGGAGCGCGCAAGCGCAAAAGTGCGTGCACCGCGAGGGGCGGGGCGGCGACGCGCGAGCACGTGACGGGCTGGCCACGTGACTGGCCGCCCCAGGTGACCCGCGCCGGTCTCGCTGCGGGACGTCGCAGGGTCCTGCTCCTCCGGAGCGCGAAGCCGACCCCCGGCTCGCCTGCCCCTCGCTCTCGCGCTCTCCCCCGGCGCTGGCGGCGACCCCGGCCACCGAGCGGCTCCCGCCCGCCAGGCGGACTCGCCTGGAAGCTGACAGGCGGCAGGGACGGCCCCGGTGCTCGCCACTGGGCAGTGTCGGTCGGAAGCGTGACCCCACGCCTCTCAGGGCCAGCTGCCCCGGAGCGTAAGGTACCGGAAGGGCAGCTTCCCGGCGTCCGTCAGGGACGGGGTCAGCGAGGTCGCCGCCCCCAGCCCGCGGTGCGGTTTCCGGTGGTCGCTGGGACTCGTCCGCAGGGTGTGAGCCCGGCAGGGTCTCCCTCCCTGTCCCCATGGCCGTCTTGGTCGGCGGCCACTCCACCGCGTCACCAGGGTGGCTGCAGAGGCTGCCCGGTCCGCCTGCCCCGCGCTGGGGGTCGGCTCTGAAGTTCTGGGCCTCTTGCAAGCCCTCGCATCCGGCTTCACTGAGCCGGGAGATGGCCACCTGTCCACCTGCAGCCGCGCCTGGACTGCCCGGACGCGGGGATGCCGGTCAGATCCTGGCGAAGGCTCGGGCTCCAGAGCAGTCCTGTGGCCTGGGAGCGGAAACTCGGCCTGCGGGTGGTCCCCTGGCCGTGCGGCCCCGTGCCCTGTTGTGGGTGTCGCAGCTGGAACCCGGGCTCCGGCAGGTGTGGTCCCGTACTGGGTCATAGCTGTTTCCGGTCGTGCTGCGAAATGTCCTGTTTGTCCCGCGCCCCTCCCCAGCTTCCTCTTACCTAAGACCACCTGGAAGTGCGAGGGCCAGTGAAGGGATGGGACGTGCTGGCGCGAAGGTGGGAGGGAGGCCGGCCTGCCTCAGCTGTCAGGGTGGACGCCCCTCAGAGGACAGCCACAGCCCCGTGTGGTGGTCACGCCATCACCTTAAGCTCTCACAGAGCCCAGGACCTACTCCCGGCCTTTACCTGTTGTCTTTGGGATACTGACCCCCCACTCCCGCCGTTGGGCTTGTTTGGCAAAGTAACTCATGGGTGGCCAGTGCTGTGGCTTAGCAGGTAAAGCCGCCACCTGCGGTGCATCCCATGTGGGCGCCAGTTTGAATCCCGGCTGCTCCACTTCCAGTCCAGCTCTCTGCTAGGCCCTGGGAAAGCGGAGGAAGATGGCCCAAGTCCCACCCGTGTGGGAGACCTGGAAGAGGCTCCTGGCTCCTGCCATTGTGGTCATATGGGGAGTGAACTGACAGATGGGAGACTCTCTGCCTCTCAAGTAAATAAATAATTTAAAAAAGGTAATTCATGGGACTTGCAGTTTGGTGTAGTAGGCTAACCTTTGCCTGGCGCGCTGCCTCCCACATGGGCACCAGCTCAATTCCCGGCTGCTCCACTGCTGATCCAGCTCCCTGCTAATGTGCCCGGGAGGGCAGTGGAGGACGGCCCAAGTGCTTGGGCCCCTGCAGCTGCATGAGACCAGGATGAAGCACCTGGCTCCTGGCTTCAGTGTGGTCCAGCCCTGGCTGTTGTGGCCATTTGGGGAGTGAACCAGTAGATGGAAGACCTCTCTCTCTCTTTCAAATAAAGCTTCCAAAAAAATTTTTTTTTCATTAGACTGCAGCCATTTCCTTTGAATACCCTGGCTGATACTAATAGCTTGATCCCTCCAATTTTTTTTTTTTTTTTTTTGACAGGCAGAGTGGACAGTGAGAGAGAGAGAGACAGAGAGAAAGGTCTTCCTTTGCCGTTGGTTCACCCTCCAATGGCCGCCGCATCGCACCGATCCGATGGCAGGAGCCAGGTGCTTCTCCTCGTCTCCCATGCGGGTGCAGGGCCCAAGCACTTGGGCCATCCTCCACTGCACTCCCTGGCCACAGCAGAGAGCTGGCCTGGAAGAGGGGCAACCAGGACAGAATCCGGCGCCCCGACTGGGACTAGAACCCGGGGTGCCGGCACCGCAAGGCAGAGGATTAGCATATTGAGCCATGGCGCCAGCCCAATCCCTCCAAATTTTTCACTGGCTCAAGAGAACTGTATTTACTATTAAAGTCCCACTTTTACCATAAGTTTCACTGTGGATTCAAGGGGTTTGTCGCCCGAGGATTGATGTCCAGAATGTTCACGCCTCTTTGAAAACGCAGGCTTTTGGGAAGCAGATGGATGGCTTCAGTCCTCGGTTCCCCGCCACCCACTTGGGAGACCTACACTGAGATCTGCACTCCTGGCCTCGCCTGGCCCAGGCCGGCTGTTGCAGGCATTTGGGGAGTGAACCACTGGTGGGAAGCTCCCACTGCCTCTTTCAAACAAGATAAAAACTGAAGTGAGCACTGCAGTGCCGAGGGCCAGGCGTCCCATGTCGTGTCTGGGTTCAAGTCCTAGCTCTGCTTCCAATGCCAGCTTCCTGCTCGTGTGCACCCTGGCAGGCAGCAGGTGGTGGCAAGTACTTGGGCCCCACCACCCACATGGGACGCGCAGACCGAGTTCTGGGGTCTTGCCTTTGGCCTGCCCCAAGCCTGCTTGCTGTGGGGATTTGGTGAGTGGACCAGTGGATAGAAGATCTTTCTGCCTTTCAAATAAAAAAAACTTCTTTAAAGGTAAAGAAAATATAGGCTTTTATTTTTCTTCAAACCATGAACCTGAACAAGCAAGAATCTCTTGAGACTTCGGTTCTAGGCAATTTGGAAAGAATAAACTGCGCCCATGGCCACAGGGAGAAGTGTTGAGCAGAACTGGAGGGACAATCTGTGACCGTCCAGGTAACGGGAGGCGGGAGACATGCTCTTTGTTCCTCTCCAAACGTCAGTCACCACCAGCACCTCCAGCCATCACCCCGTCCAGGGGCACGGACACTCGGGGCTGCACAAGCTGTTTCATTGTTAACGGCAGAAAAGAACACAAATCCAGACTTCTCTGTGTGATGAGGGAAGGGCAGACTTCGTCTGCTGTGTGATTGGACACCTGCCTCGTCTCACCGGCCCTGGCTTGTCCTCTGGTCATCTGGGGACACTGTGACAGCAGTCAGAGGCAGAATCAGCCAAGGACCTGGCAGGCAGCAGAGTGGCGCAGCGGAAGCGTGCTGGGCCCATAACCCAGAGGTCGATGGATCGAAACCATCCTCTGCTATGTGCTCCCTTTTCCTTCCTGGCCCCAAGCTGCACACTGCTACTGCCAAGGCAGGGCGGGCGCTGGCTGCAGCCAGGACCACGGTGCAGCGGTCAGCACTCCGGACTCTGGGGGGCTTGTGCACCCCTTTCCCCCACTTTTCCCCTCCCACCACCTCTCCTCAAGGCGGGCCCTGGGGCTGTGGGTTCTATGGTGTAACAGTTAGCACTCTGGACTTTAAATCCAGCAATGTGAGTTCGAATCTCTGTAGAACCTACCCCACCCAGTAGCTATTTTATAGACCTGGGGGCCTCCAGTACCCCTCCAGGGTCCACCTGCATTGAGGCTGAGCCCTCACCTGCCACCCTCAGGCTGGGCGCCTGCAGCACCCCTCCCCCTTCCAGCCCAAGAATGCCTCAGGTGTACCCAGGACTGCAGCCCCCACCCCCCACATCAGAGGTCCACCTGTTGGTCCTGTTTCCCAAATGCCTGCATCAGCTGGGCTGGGCTGGGCTGAAGCCAGGAATCCCAGCCGGGTCTCCCACGTGGGCGCGGGGGCCCACACACTTGGGCCATCCGCTGCTGCTTTCCCAGGTGCCTCAGCAGGGAGCTGGACTCAGAGCGGCACCCAGGTGTGACGCGAGCATCCCAGCGGGGCTGCGCCCACAGTGCCTGGAGCTCAGCTGTCCCTCCCTCCACGCACTGCCTCCATCTCCCACATGGGCGACTGGCTGTTTTGCCGGCTGCCGCAGCTCGGTTATGCCATACACAGACCCAGCAACAGCATCGAGGTGCTCATCAGGCACCTGTCAGGCGGTTTCCCGGCTTCCGCTGGGGCCACCCCGCCAAACCGCACTCTCCAGCAGTCTGCAGGGGTGCGAGTCCCACCTGCCCGTGTCGGGCACAGACCACCCGCGCCTCCGTCCACAGAGGTGTTCAGCCCTGGCACCTGCTCTCCTTCACTCACAAAGTGGAGGCCAAGAGGCCAGGGGGCCAGCACTGTGGCGGAGGTTAAGCCGCCACTTATGCTGGCATCCCATACGGCACTGGTTCAGGTCCTGGCTGCCCCTCTTCCAATCCAGCTCCCTTGGAATGGCCTGAGAAAGCAGGAAGACGGCCCAAGTACTTGGGCCCCTGCACCCGCGCGGGAGACCTGGATGGAGCTCTGAGCTTCCTGCTTGGACCTGGACCAGCTATTTGGCGCAGTGACCAGAGCATGTAAGAGCTTGCCTTCTCTCGCTAATGCTGCCTTTCAAGTAAATAAATATTTTTTAAAAATTACTTTAACACACACACGGAGAATCAGCCACGGCAGGACCCTGACCTGCAGCAGGGGCTCGTGGCACGGTGGTCACTGGGAGGCAGCCCTCCCCATCTGACTGCTGGTGAGGCTGAGGGAGAGAGGACGCCCCCGACCGCACACCAGGGGAAGTGCAGGGTCTTGTGCGGGCTGGGGCAGCACCCACACTCACTCTTCCACTGTTTATTCCACCACCAGTTACTTCAGGCTATGTACATGGATTGAAAGCAAAAAAATATCCCATTTAACACAGCACGTCCAGTTGTCTACCTGGACGGCACACAGGCACACACGACATGGAACAGGATGAAGGCAAGCCAACGAGAAGCTTCACGACACACGGGGCTGGGGCCACCTCCCCTGTTCTTTCTGAAACCACGTGGGCCTCTTCAGGCGCCCTCCCAGGATGGCCCTTGTGCGGCGCTGCAGGTGCGCCGGCCCGCCCGCCGTTGGTGGACACGCGGGCGCCCAGCAGCAGGCCCTGGGCAGCCGAGGGGATGAGCTGGGTCCACTTGTGTGAGGTCCCGTCTGAGGCCGAGGACACTGGGAAGGATGAAGGGGTGCAGAGGGGCCCCACGGCCTGTGGGGCAGACTGTCCACCGGGGTGATGCTCCACCTGGGGGGCCTTCCCTGTCTCCAGTAGGGCTGAGCCCACATCAGCTGAGGGTGGCCACAGCAGGGTGGCGGCCACTGCTCTCTGGTGACGGTGACTGTGCAGAATTTAGGATGCCCCCCCCCGAGATGTAAATGGGTAAATGTAACAGCCACCCTGGGTAAGGCAGTGGGGACCAGGCACTGCCAGCCCCCACAGCCCCAGAGCCTTCTGCGTCCATTTCTACCTCAGTGACCTCTGGGGCCTGGGAATCAGAACTCTGGGGACCTCAGCTCTCCACAGGACACTTTTTGGATTTTTTTAAACCTAACAGTGTAGTCTGTTCTGTCAGTCTCCGGGACTCTCCCACCATCTTAGAATAAAAGGGCACTCAGTCGGGGACGCCTCTGCTCCTGTTGACACATCCCAACCCCACGCACAGTAAGATAGCACCACGTGACACGGGGCCACCGACACGGTGCGGCAGAGCCCGGGGGCCCGAGAGGCGGCCTCCTCCACGCTGAGACAGCCCAGCCTGCCGGGCTCTTCACCACTTGATGTCCAGGCTGTCCGTGCAGTGCTCCGGGCTCTGGAAGGTGGTGTGCAGCGCCTCCTGCACTTTGGGGGAGTCGCTGCCTTCCAGCCACTCCTGGTACAGCGCCTGCACATGCGCGCTGGTCTCCGGGGGGTGCACCGGGAGGGCCGAGTAGATGCCTTCCATCTGCCGCAGCAGGGCCTTGTCCGCCTGGCCGTCCTCAGTGCGGGCCTGGCCCCTGCCGTTTAAACACCCTGGAACACACAAGGGGAGCCCTCGGCAGCAGCGCTAAGGACGCTTTCGCTTTAGGGGAGACAGTGTGGGGCACGCGTGGCCTGAGCCTGCCTCCGACACCTGCGTCTCCAGCTTCCCTTGGACAGACCACACCAGGAGAGCGGGAACCGTGGGCGGGGAGCCGGGCGTCCCGCCAGCGGTGGGCCATCTGAGTGGCACCCAACACCGAGGCCTGAACAACCACACGCCTCCCTCCTCTCAAGCGTGCCGTAACTGACAGCAGAAAGTCACTTAGAAGAATTCACAGACTCCCGCCATGGCTGAGCCCATGTCTAGCGGCCCCCCGTCCTCTGCAGCCTGGCCCCAGGGTCTGTCCACGGGGGCTTCCACGGCCCCATGTCGCTGAGAGACAGCGTCTGCTTCTCTGCCCGAGCCCACGCCCAGAGCAGACGGTCCTCTCCGCCCCTCGGGCCCTGCCCCTCCCCCTCCCCCTGCCTCACTGGGCGCTGGACGCACCTGGCGTTTCCACCGAGCCTCTGGCATCCCTCACGCAGAGAGATGTGAACACCCCGATTCCCTCCGAGCCAGGGGCTCCTTTGTCCGACCCCACCCCTGGTCACAAGACCCCTCCCCGTCTGGGCCCCCTTCTCACCCACAACCTGCGATGGTCCATGCTCCGTCCACGCAGCTCACACCACGCCCCTCCTGCACCCACCCCGCAGGGGGCCCCCCACCGACAACCAAGGACAGAACCCGGCCCAGCCTCAGTCCCCACATCTCAACACTGAGGTTCACGGTGTGTTCCCCACACCCGCAGCCACAGGGCAGTGGACTCTCCTGGTACCACATGTGGGCGAGGCCATTTCTAAGGCACGCCACGCAGGTGGGAGGGGACAGAGAGAACTGGCGGTGTCAAGGATATCACACCCAGCTCTGAGGGTGTCCACGCCCATCATGGGTTGGAGCTGAGAGCCCATGGGGGCCCATGCCTGACCTCGGGGACACGCCTGACCTCGGGGGCACACCTCACCTCGGGGACCCACGCCTCACCTCGGGGACACGCCTGACCTCGGGGACACGCCTCACCTCGGGGACACACGCCTCACCTCGGGGACACGCCTCACCTCGGGGACACGCCTCACCTCGGGGACCCACGCCTGACCTCGGGGACACGCCTGACCTCGGGGACACGCCTGACCTCGGGGACCCACGCCTGACCTCGGGGACACGCCTGACCTCGGGGGCCCATGCCTGACCACGGGGACACGCCTCACCTCGGGGACACGCCTGACCACGGGGACACGCCTGACCTCGGGGGGGGGCACGCCTCACCTCGGGGGCCCATGCCTCACCTCGGGACACGCCTCACCTCGGGGACACACCTCACCTCGGGGACACGCCTCACCTCGGGACACGCCTCACCTCGGAGACACGCCTCACCTCGGGACACGCCTCACCTCGGAGACACACCTCACCTCGGGGACACGCCTCACCTCGGGGACACACACGCCTCACCTCGGGGACACGCCTGACCTGGGGACACGCCTGACCTGGGGACACGCCTCACCTCGGGGACACGCCTCACCTCGGGGGCCCATGCCTGACCACGGGGACACGTCTCAACTCAGGGGCTACGGCCTGACCACGGGGACACGCCTCACCTCGGGGACACGCCAGCACCTCCACGAAGTGGTAGGGGAGCCTGCCCCTCCTGAGCTTCAGGACCATGTTCTGGATGTTCCTGAAGCCGTAGGCGGCAGCGAAGCGCAGCAGAACCTCCCCGTTCTTCTCAAGGGTCACCTCCTGGAAGTCCCGGTTTCTGTCAGGTCAACAGAGCGGATGTGAGCGACCGAGCCTGTGCACGCAGACAGGCCTGACGCGGCTGCGCTGGCCCCGGCCCCGGCCACCCCGCACACCTCAGGGCGCGGTAGGTGACCTCCTCCACGTGCTCGTCGAACAGCTCCTTGGCCGCGTGCCTGAAGACGTGCGCCAGGTACCCGTCGGCGCCGGCTCCGTCACGGCGCCCCACTCTCTCCTCCCTGCAGTCCCCAAACCTCGGCAGGCACAGGAAACAAAGGGCTTTGCTACTGCTGCTAAAGGCGCCAGAGTTCACCAGACCACCCAGGGCGGGGCTCCCCGGTTGCCACTGCTGCCTGCCTGTGCCAGGCCAGCCTGAGGAGCCCCAGGCCCTGGGGAAGCTGACCTTCTGCAAACTCCAGTCTCGCCTTCCACCACCAAACACAGCACTGGGGCCCGAAGGCTGCAAGGGAACGCACAACACTGGCCTCACGGCAACTGCCACTCGCTGCAGGCACCCAGAAGCCCGGAGCTGCTCTCTCAGGGCCAAAGGGCTTGAGGGAGTCCCTGCTCTGTTCTCTGGGGCCAACGTGCCGTATTTGGGACAGGAGGGTGCAGACGTGACCCCCACAGGGTGGCTGCTGCACCACGGGAGCCCTGAGCCCCTTCATGGCCCTGCCTGCATCCGACTCCAAAGCTGACAGGGTGGCTGGGGCTGCAGTGTGGCCACACGCACACTTCACGTGGCCTTGTCACACAGAGTGGCGGCCCTGGGACAGGTGGGGGCCTCCTCCCACCTCGAGAAGCCACTTACAGAGTGTCCACAGCGGCATCTTTCACAGAGAGGTCGCTCTGCTCCATTATCTGAGCAATTTCACCTGCAGACAAACGAGAAGGGACCTCGTGGCTGCGAAATCTCCACACAGGCAGCAGGCGCCCACCTCAAGGACAGAGTAACGGTAACAGAATGAAGACACGACGGGGCCAGCGTCGTGGCAGCGGGTTAAGCCGCAGCCCGCGATGCCAGCACCCACGTGGGCACCGGTTTGTGTTCCGGGTGCTCCACTTCCAATCTAGCTTCCGGTTAATGGCCTGGGAAAGCAGTGGAAGATGGCCAAAGTGTCTGCACCCCTGCTACCCATGCGGGAGACCCAGATGAAGCTCCTGGCTCCTGGTTTGGCCTGGCCCAGCCCCCAGCTGTTGCAGCCATCTGGGGAGTGAACCAGCAGATGGAAGATCTCTCTGTAACTCTTTTAATTTTTTTTTTAATTTTTATTTGACAGAGGTAGACAGCGAGAGAGAGACAGAGAGAAAGGTCTTCCTTCCTTTGGTTCACCCCCCAAATGGCTGCCATGGCCGGTGCTGCACCGATCTGAAGCCAGGAGCCAGGTGCTTCCCCTGGTCTCCCATGGGGTGCAGGGCCCAAGCACTTGGGCATCCTCCACTGCCTTCCCGGGCCACAGCAGAGAGCTGGCCTGGAAGAGGGGCAGCCGGGACTAGAATTCAGCGCCCATATGGGATGCCAGTGCCGCAGGTGGAGGATTAACCAAGTGAGCCACGGCACTGACCCCTAAATAAATTAAAAAAGACATGGATAAAATGTAACAGTCTGATTTTTCTTTATGCCCTTGAACTGACGGATTTATGCAAACAGTGTCTCCAGCTCCGTGTTTTTGCTTCCCAGTGTAACTTCTGTGCCTAAACCCGCATGGACAGGATGACCACACACACCGGCTGCACTTGTATGGTCATGTCCACGGTGCAATGAGATCAACTGAAATCAGAAGCACTTTCTCTCATTTCACACAGGGGCTTTTAAAAATATCTACATGTATTTATTTGAAAAGTAGAGTAAGCGAGCGAGCGAGCGAGCGATCTTCCATCCTCTGGTTCTCTCCCTCAAGTGCCCACAATAGCCAGGGCTGGGCCAGGTCAAACCCGGGAGCCCAGAACTTAACCCTGGTCTCCCACGTGGCAGGAACCCACGTACTAGAGCCATCATCTGCTGCTCCCCCAGGGTGCACTCAGCAGGAAGCTGGATTGGAAGAGGAGCCAGGGTTCAGGCCCAGGCACCCTGACATGGCACATGGACGTCCCAGGCAGCAGCTTCACCACTGTACCACAACGCTTGCCCGACACAGGCATTCCCGGGAAGAAAAGCTGACAGACAAAGTGAGTCTTCTAAGACCACCACGGCACAGCCGGGTAAGCCGCCACTTGCAACATCAGCGTCTCACGCGTCCACTTCAGATCCAGCTTCATGCTAATGGGACTTGGGAGACCCGGGTGGAGCACCTGGCTCCTGGCTTCGGCCTGGCCCAGCCCCAGCTGTTGCAGTCGCTGGGGAGGGAACCAGTGTCTGTGGCCTCAGACACAGAACACAGGGCAGCTCTGCGAGGCTCCTACTGCCCTGCGAGCAGCCAGGGATGGACCCTCTGCCCTTCCTGCCCCTCCTGCCCCTCCTGCCCCTCTGCCCCTCCTGCCCCTCCTGCCCCTCCTGCCCCTCCTGCCCTGCAGGCTGGGGCCTTCCTGGGGGTGTCAGCCTGCTCCCAGGTCCTGCGGCTCCTGAGTGGACGCCTGCCCTCCATGTTTGTCTCTTGAAAGCCGAGCTCCCACTAGCCTAAACAAGACAGGGCCTGTTTTCAGAGTCCCTTTGAAGCAGAGCTGCCTGGGTTTCTACAAACTCTTGGCTTCCCAGGTGATCCCGGCACACAGAGCTGCCGCTGGCTCCGAGCATCCGACGGTGCCAGCAGCGCCGCGGGGCAGGTGCACCCTGCCCTCGAGCGCAGACTTGACTTGTGAGGAGGGGGCTGAGGGACACAGCCAAGCCGTGGCCCCAGCAGGCGCATGAGCTGCTCCACTGGGAGGAAGAGGCAGGGGACGCAGGACCCGACACGACCCTGCGCTTCTCTTTCAGGCAGAGCCCCAGGGCCCTTGGCTGTCAGCGCCCGTGAGGGCGGCCAGAGCTGCCGGACCCCGTGTGCCTGGCCAGCTGGGGACGCCCCCAGTGCCCAGGCACGGCCCTGCCCACCTCTCACCTGACGTGAGCACACAGTCAACACCGCGGGACCCGTGCAAGGCAGCAGGAAACCCTTCTCGAAGAGCCTCCAGCTTCTTGTCATAGCAAGGGGCCACGATCACGTGGAAAATCTTCTCTGGAGACAGGTTCTGGGGGAGAAGCACTCACGTTTAGGGCTGGTGGAGACAATGCAGCGGCTTCAGCACCCGGCCCAGAGTGCCACCCACGCTGTCTCAGCTGCTGCAGCTGTGGTGGGGCCCTGCCCTGCAGCCTGGGTTCCTACAGCCACATCTGGCTCCCACTGCCACCTCAACCACACCAGCACCGTGTCCACGAGCGTCCACTGCCTCACTCCACCGAGTTGGACTCAAAGGGTCTGCAAGCCAGCAGCCTAAGAGCCTCCCTGGGAGACAGGAGCTGAGCCTGCCCATGGCGGTGACACAGCAGGGGGCGTGGGCTCCCCAGGCCACCCCGCCTGGGGCCGGGCCACACAGCCTGGGCGCCAGCAGACACTGAGTGACCCTTTGGTCAGGTGAGAGGCTGCAGGCCAGGCCTCCAAGGCTCAGCTGTCCCTCACCAGCGCCTGCAGGACACTCAGAGCTTTACTGCAGCCGGGCAGGACAGGGCTGCAGTCCTGAGACACCTCAGAAACAGCTGGACCCCACAGGTGGGGACAGGGCAAGGAGCAGGTAAAGATGTCCCTGACTCATTTTCCCCAACAGCACACAGCCCTGACATCAGTTAAAAATTCACCAGCTGTGGTGATCTGATGAGCAACAGGTCAAGAGAACATCCCATTGCTACAGTAACGGGGCCCGTGTGGCTGTCTCAGGATCTCAGGCCGCAAGACTGCTTCTCCAGACCCCATGGTGCCCGAACGTGGCTGTCCCCAGGAGGACAGAGGGGGCCCCAGCGGCTGGGGGCCTTGCATGGGTGCTGCAGAGGCGGAGGGAGTCACGGAGGACTCGGGAGCTGCCAAGGGCCAGGGCGGGGGGCACGCAGTCCCATCACATGGAACCGCAGATCTCACAGAAGCAGCTAAGGGAGTCACGTGACAGGGGTCTCCCCGGAGAGGCCGTCCCAGAAGCCTTGGGCCTCATCCCAGACGTGTGCAGTTTCTCCTGAACCCAGCACCGGCGCAAGTGAGCACCAAGTGACACACGGGAGCTTACGGAGATGAAGCTGTTAACAAAGGGAGGGGCACGGGGTGGCGCCACAGGCCCGTGCTCACCTGGGGGCCGAGACCGCCTGACCACAGCCAGGGAACACGGTGGTGCCCACTCCATCCCTGAGTAGCCCCAGCTTACCTGCTGTCTGGCAAAGTAGTCCTTCACCAAGGAGCCCATGACCTGCTGGGGGGACTTGGCAGTGCAGAGGTGGGGCGTGACGGGGCGGCCCAGCACCCGCTCCGCGTATCGGACCCAACCTGGGGAGAGAGGAGGCCCACAGGAGAGTGAGTCCACCAGGTCCGCTCCTCGCTGCCCCCTCCCACCTTCCTGCTGCCCAGGGGAGGCTGGGACACCTCTGTTTCAGGTCTGGTCAGGAATCTGCAACGCCGTCTCCACCACACTCCAGGCTGTGGGTCCCAGGAACCCACACGGTGGGGGAGGTCCCGTCAGAACCCCAGCAGGAGCTCCAACAGGAGGAAGGCACAAGGCGCCAGCCCCCACAGAAGGGTACAAAGGCCTGAGCCTCAGACCCAGCACACGCGCCACCTGCTGACGCTCACGTGAACTACAAGGCATCTTCCAAAGCTCCTGGAAAACGCATCTTAGGAGAAAACCATGCAAGAGTTTCTTTTTTTTTTTTTTTTCTGACAGGCAGAGTAGACAGTGAGAGAGAGAGAGAGACAGAGAGAAAGGTCTTCCTTTGCCGTTGGTTCACCCTCCAATGGCCGCTGTGCCCGGCGCACCGCGCTGATCCAAAGGCGGGAGCCATGTGCTTCTCCTGGTCTCCCATGGGGTGCAGGGCCCAAGCACCTGGGCCATCCTCCACTGCACTCCCTGGCCACAGCAGAGAGCTGGCCTGGAAGAGGGGCAACCGGGACAGAATCCAGTGCCCCGACCGGGACTAGAACCTGGTGTGCTGGCGCCGCAAGCGCAAGGCGGAGGATTAGCCTAGTGAGCCGCAGCACCGGCCAAGAATTTCAAAAAAAACTTTCTTTTTGCAACAAACTTATCTTTTAATTCCATTTTTCCATGAGTTTCTGGAAGTACCTTCCTACAGACCCCAAATCATGAACCACCAGGGCAAGGCGGGTGTTGTGCTCACTGTCCCCAGCCCAGCTGAGCGTCTCCCATGCTGCTGCCACCGCCGCTCCCAGAGAGGTGGACACAGGTGGCGCGGTCAGCTGACCTCTGTACCTAACAGCTTCTCCCAGCACAGCTCCCGGCAGGAAGGGAGCACTCACTGGGCTGCAGGGCTCCTCAGAGCCCCCCACCAAGTCCAGGTCATTGTGCCAGCCACCAGACATGCAGCAGCGTCTCGCGTGGTTAGGATGAGTGGCAGCTGCTGCTCTGCCAAACCCAGCTCATCCTCCCTGGAGCCTGCCCCAAGGGCAAGGCAGGGGAGACCTGGCCACAGCTCCCCCATGGCTTCCTCACACACAACCCCCACCCCATCCCACCTGAAGCCGTCTGCGCTCAGGCTCCCTAACCAGACGGTGACACCTGCGTGTCTCACAGTTCCACGGAGCCACAGCTCTCTCCTGCCTCCCACTGGGTGCAGTGTGGTGGGCACGAATCAAGGATGTTCCAATAAAACCTTCAGGTGGGCAACACTAATCTTCAACCCTGGGCCCGTGGACACACACACACGTGCGCACAGAGCACCCTGGCACCCTGGCCAGGCAGAGGCCTGGGGATCAGTACGGGCGGCGAAGGTTGCCCAAAGGGTGCAGAGGGGCTCAGGCCCTCGTCAGACGCAACACTGCCGACTGAAATATCCAACCCTCAGGCCATGGGGACAGCTGTCCCAAGCCCCTATACATTTCATAGCTCTTGCCACACACACACACAATTGCTTCCACTGGGGGAAAAAAAAAATGGGGGCTGGCGCTGTGGCATAGCGGGTAAAGCCACAGCCTGCAGTGCTGGCATCTCATATGGGCACCAGTTCAAGCCCCGGCTGCTCCACTTCCGATTCAGCTCCCTACTGTGGCCTGGGAAAGCAGCAGATGGCCCAAGTCCCTGGGCCCCTGCACCCGTGTTGAAGACCCAGAAGAAGCTCCTGGCTTCAAATTGTCACAGCTCTGGCCATTGCGGCCATCTAGGGAATGAACCAGTGGATAGAAGTCCTCTCTCTGCCTTTCACATGAATAAATAAATCTTAAAAAAAAAAAAAAAAAAATTGCCTTAAAAAGCAAGAGCACCTGGCAGGCACAAGAGCTGTGTCCTGTGTGCCACCTGCTGGCCGCTCCGCCCCAGGACAGAAGGGCCATGAGCTTGGAGGGTCGCGCCGCAGGCCGCGGGCAGGCACAGCGCAGCGGGGAGGCTCCAGGTAGGAAGACGAGGCCCCAGTCCTCGCATCTGAAGGACCTCGACAGCCAGAAAGCCCGGCGTGCCCCGGGGAATTCTGATCCAGGCCTCAACACCGAGCGCCAGCGCCACACACAGAATGCGGCGGCGGCAGCAGCGGCTGCGGCAGCACGGGCACGAGGAGAGCACTCACCCGCAACCAGGGGGTGGCGGCCCCGCGCCTGTCAGCGTCCCCAGCGAGGTGAGAAGACGAAGCGTGCAGGGGGCTGGCAGAGACCGCAACCACAGCTCTGCTCACTGGTGCTCTGGGCGGGGCAGGAGAGGACCCCTGGGTTCTCACGGACCTGAGCCAGAGTCCAGATGTCCAGCAGCTCAGTCACCCGCCCCTCCTCTGCTGGGTACTGGGCAGGGAAGCCTGGCAGGTGGCACCATGACTGCAGGAACGTGGAGCCCGGCTGAGACGGCTCTGCACTGTGTTCCAGGCCAGGCCTAGATGCCGCCCGAGGAAGCCGCTGTGGGCAGTGGTGGGGTCCCTGCGCCCCCAGGCCATGAGGACTCTGACCAACTGTGGCTGCCAGGGAAAATATTTTTAATTAATTTATTTGAGAGGCAAAGTCAGAGAGAGAAAGAGGGAGAGAGAAAGAGATCTTTAACCCGCTGGTTTGCTCCCCAAACAGCCGCTACGACCAGGGCTGGGCCAGGAGCTTCTTCCAGGTCTCCTGTGGGGTGCAGGGGCCCGAGGCTTGGGCCATCTTCCACTGTTTCCTCAGGTGCGTTTGCAGGGAGCGGGATTGGAAGTGGAGCACCTGGGACTCAAACTGCCACCCATATGGGATGCGGCGCTGCGGGCATCTTAAATCTGAAGGCCACTCAGGGACCCCGTACGTGACTACCCCACACCCAATTCCGGTCACCAAGTGAACTCAGCTCAGCAGGGTGCTGGCCCCTCTCCTTACATTGCCAACGTGAGTGTAAGGAAGGTCTGGTCTCCAGCCGGATCCCCCGAATCCTGCCCTGACCACCGGAGGCAGAATGCACCTGTGCAGCAGCTGCAGTTGTGACGAGGAGCCCCCAGAGGAAAGCACAGCATGACCAGGGGAGAACATTCTAGAAGCTCCAAACCTAGAGGGAAACCACCCTGCAGTGAACTGTCACACACAGCAGTCCGCAAGCCGAGACCTGCAGCGCTGCGGCACTGTTTCCACTGCACTCAGCCATATCCGCCCCACAGGGCCTCCCACAGACGATGCGTTTTGCTGGTCTGGTGTTGGGAGATACCGTCCACTTGGTGGCGGCACCGAGGACAGAAAGTCTGGAGACCACTCTCCCTAAAGCACACTCTCCTCTTGGCCATGGGGTTGAGCTGGGAACCACGCTGCCCATGGCACCACGCCAGACCCCAAGGACAGCCCTCAGAGGGAGGAGGGGCTGGCGGCAGGGTCGCCACACCCACGCCAGGACAAGCAGACAAACCCCTAGGTGTGTGATGACGGCAGCGCTGGGCCTGATGCGGCCCCTCGCCGAAGTCCAGAGTCCGGATGGTGCACGCTGGGACCTGGGGTAGAGACGTGAGTCACTGTTCTGCCCCAGAGCGCACTTGCCTACCCCCGCTCAAAGCTGAGCAGAGCGCAGCAGGCCTGGTCCTTGGTGAATGAGTCAGCCCACGTGGCTCTTGAACGAGGGGCAAATTTCCGTTTCCTGCTTCATAAACGGGTGGAAAGTATCACCAAGTTCTCAGTGACCCCACCATCGACATTCTGTTTTATTAACTCCCAGTCCTAACGCGCGAAGGCTGACATACGCCATGCTAGAAGAACGGCAAGCTGTGATGGGGGAGGGTGACAGAGGCCCAGGCTGCGAGCAGCTCAGCCAGGCGGCGGGGCTCTCAGGCCTCCCGAGTTCAGCTTCTGAATGGCAGGCGGCTGCCGGTGCAGATCCCTTCCTTCCTCCCTTATGGGTCACCTTCAAAACCTTCCAGAACGGAAAACTCCGAGACAGACCTCGCCAGGGCTTCAGTCACCGGCTCTTCACAGTGAAGAGGGCTCTGTGGGGCACTGCGGCCCAGAGTAGGCAGCTGCTGGGATGCCCACATTCCACGTTAGAGCGCCGATTCAAGTCCCAGCTACTCTACTTCCTAGCTCCCTGCTAGGACACCTGGGAAGCAACAATGGGTCAAGGACCTGAGTCCCTGTCACCCCTGTGGGAGACCTGGACAGGGTTCCTGGCCAACCCTGGCTGGGGGAAGGAACCAGTGGATGGACGGTCTCACTCTGTCACTTTGCCTTTCAAATAAATAACTTTTTTTAAACAGCGCTTTACAAAGCGCTCCCTGGTAGAATCTGAGCATTAATGTGAAAATGTATTTTTATTTTTTAATACTTATTTAATTCGGAGTTACAGCAAGAGGGAAGGACAGAGACAGAGACAGAGATCTTCCACCTGCTGGTTCTCTCCCCACGTGGCTGGGGCTGAGTCAGGCCAAAGCCAGAAGCCAAGAGCTTCATGCATGTCTCCCACGTGGGTGCACAGGCCCCTGCACCTGGGCCGTCTTCTACTGCTTTTCCAGGCACGTGAGCAGGGAGCTGGATGGAACTGGAGCAGCTGGGACTTGAACTGGCGCCCACATGGAATTCCAGCATCACAGGCAGTGGCGTTACTTGCTACAATGCCAGCCCCAAAATGTATTTTTAAAATTATTTGAGAAGGAGAGAGCGAGCGAGCGGGCGAGCGAGCGAGCACGCAAGCGCGAGTGCACACACGGGTTCACTCCCCAAATGCCTGCAATGGCTGAGATGGGCCAGGCTGCGCTGTGAGCCAGCAGCGATACCCAGGTCTCCCACAAGTGGGCGGCAAGAACCCAGTCACCTGAGCCGTCACCAGGGCCTCCCGCGGTCCACGTTAGAGGGAACTGAAGCCAGAACAGGAATCAAACCAGCACCCTGATGGGGGCATGGATGCATGCACCCCCGGGCTAAACAGCTGCCTGCAATGTGAGCAAGTTTTTATTCTATAATTTTAAGCAACAAAGGATACATGAGTGTTTGCCAAATTATTATCTGATTATGTGGCTATCTGAAATATATACTTTTAAGAGAAAGTAGGTTTTTCTTAATGAACAGTATATTTACCTTAGATATATGAGAAATACAAGTAAGTGAAAAAAAATCACCATTGGCCATCAGGTCCTCCCCACAACCCACCCTCAGTTCCTAATTAACAACGGCTGACAGCAAACCGTGCAGGGGGCTGCGCTCCACGGCCGGGCCTGCAGGTCGAGGGGGTGGGCGCCCCCACTTCCACCTGCCCCCAGACTCGGACTCTTGGGAAGCAGTGCGCCAGCCGACACACAGCGAGTGGCTCACCGGGACAGGCGGAGGTCAGCATGGGCAGCGCACACGCGTCCTGGCCGTGCTGCTGGTAGCGGCGCACAAACTCCCTCTGACTCTCCAGGATGCTGAAGTCCGCAGCTATCGTCGTATCAAACACGTAGTGCACCCCTGCGGGAAGACAAGCAGGCTCAGGGCTCACAGAGTCCCGCAGCTATCGTATCAAACACATAGTGCACCCCTCGGGAAGACAAGCAGGCTCAGGGCTCAGGGCCCCGCAGCTATCGTATCAAACACGTAGTGCGCCCCTGCAGGAAGACAAGCAGGCTCAGGGCTCAGGGTCCCGCAGCTATCGTCGTATCAAACACGTAGTGCGCCCCTGCAGGAAGACAAGCAGGCTCAGGGCTCACAGAGTCCCGCAGCTATCGTATCAAACACATAGTGCACCCCTCGGGAAGACAAGCAGGCTCAGGGCTCAGGGTCCCGCAGCTATCGTATCAAACACGTAGTGCGCCCCTGCAGGAAGACAAGCAGGCTCAGGGCTCACAGAGTCCCGCTGCTAGAAGCTAAGCACTTCCTCCCCCCTACTCATTTTTTCTTACGTTTAAAAGACAAATTTAAACAGCAAATTCATTGTGGTTCAGCGTGTTAAGATGCCACTTGCAATGCCAGCATCCCGTGAGTGCGCCAGTTCAGTCCTGACTGCCCCAGTTCCGATCCTTCTAACGCATCGGGGAAAGCAGCAGCAGATGGCCCAAGTACCTGGCCCTGGACCCACACGGAAGAACTTCGTGCAGTCCAGAATCTTGGCGTTGGCCTGGGCCAGCCCTGGCCATTGCAGCCGCTTAAGGAGTGAACCAACATCTGGAAGACCCCTCTCTCCGTGGCTCTTTCAAATGATACATAAATCTTGAAAGAAAAAAATCCATGGAAACTAGATTTAAATGTAAGTTTTGGTGCAAAGTATTTTAAACCCATGTTTGTAAGGGGCCTTCAAAAAGGAAAACATGTATTAAGAAAAATTCTGCTGGGGCCACTGCTGTGTGTAGCAGGTAAAGCCGCCGCCTGCAGTGCCAGCATCCCATATGGGCGCTGGTTCAGGTCCTGGCTGCTCCACTTCCGATCCAGCTCTCTGCTGTGGCCTGGGAAAGGAGCAGAAGATGGCCCAAGTGCTTGGGCCCCTGCACCCATGTGGGAGACCTGGAAGAAGCTCTTGGCTCCTGGTTTTGGCCTGGCCCTGCCCTGGTCATTGTGGCATTTGGGGAGTGAACCAGTGGATGGAAGATCCCTCTCTCCCTCTCTCTCAATCTGTAACCATACTTTTCAAAATAAATAAATAAATCTTTTTTTTTTAAAAGGCAGAGAGAGAGAGATCAATCAATCAATCTTCCATCCACTGGTTCACTCCCCAGATGGCAGCAACGGCCGGAGCTGTGCCGATCTAAAGCAGGAGTTTCTTCTGGGTCTCCCATGTGGGTGCAGGGCCCAAGTCCTTGTGCCATCTTCTACTGCTTTCTCAGGCCATAGAAAGAGCTTTTTTTTTTTTTTTTTTGGACAGGCAGAGTAGACAGTGAGAGAGAGAGAGAGACAGAGAGAAAGGTCTTCCTTTTGCCATTGGTTCACCCTCCAATGGCTGCCGCGCTGCAGCCGGCGCACCGCACTGATCTGAAGGCAGGAGCCAGGTGCTTCTCCTGGTCTCCCATGCGGGTGCAGGGCCCAAGCACTTGGGCCATCCTCCACTGCACTCCCTGGCCACAGCAGAGAGCTGGCCTGGAAGAGGAGCAACCCGGACAGAATCCGGCGCCCCGACCGGGACTAGAACCCGGTGTGCTGGCGCCGCAAGGCAGAGGATTAGCCTAGTGAGCCGCTGCGCCGGCCAAGAGCTGGGTTTTGAACTGGTGCCGATATGGGACGCGAGCACTGCAGGTGGCAGCTTTACCCACCAGGCCATGGCACTGGCCCTATATTGTATTTTTTTTTTTTTCGACAGGCAGAGTGGACAGTGAGAGAGAGAGAGACAGAGAGAAAGGTCTTCCTTTGCCGTTGGTTCACCCTCCAATGGCCGCCATGGCCGGTGCACTGCGGCCGGCACACTGCACTGATCCGATGGCAGGAGCCAGGTACTTCTCCTGGTCTCCCATGGGGTGCAGGGCCCAAGCACTTGGGCCATCCTCCACTGCACTCCCTGGCCACAGCAGAGAGCTGGCCTGGAAGAGGGGCAACCGGGACAGAATCCAGCGCCCCGACCGGGACTAGAACCCGGTGTGCCGGCACTGCAAGGCGGAGGATTAGCCCAGTGAGCCGCGGCACCGGCCCTATATTGTATTCTTTAGGGAACATCTGGGTATTTTTATCTGCAATTGGTTGAATCCCTGGTTGCAGAAACCATGCATATAGAGGGCAGAGAGTATAATACTCAATTATATGATTATTGATTATATAAACTTTTTTTTTTGACAGGCAGAGTTAGAAAGTGAGAGAGAGACAGAGAGAAAGGTCTTCCTTCCGTTGGTTCACCCCCCAAATGGCCGCTATGGCTGGCGCGCTGCGCCGATCTGAAGTCAGGAGCCAGGTGCTTCTTCCCAGTATCCCATGCAGGTGAAGGAGCCCAAGCACTTGGGCCATCCTCCACTGCCCTCCCTCCTGGGCCACAGCAGAGAGCTGGCCTGGAAGAGGAGCAACCAGGACAGAATCTGGCGCCCCAACTGGGACTAGAACTCAGGGTGCCACGCCACAGGTGGAGGATTAGCCAAGTGAGCCGTGGCACTGGTTGATTATATAAACTTTTAAATATAAATTTTAAAAAATCTCCCCAAATAGAGTCTTTGACCGTGAGACAATATGGATGCAACAACTCTCATCCCTGGTAAAACTAAGCTACCCTAGGCTTTAAAATTTATTTATTTTCCAGAGAGAGAGACCATCTATCTGATAGTTCTCTCCCTATGACTGTACCAGCCCCGCAGGAACAAAGCTGAGAGCTGGGAATTCAATCCAGGGCTCCTACTCGGGTGGCGGGAGCCCAGTGTCCTGAGCCATCACTCTGCTCCCAGGGTCTACGTTAACAGGAAGCTGGCGTCAAGTGCCAGTCAGGGCCGGGGACTGAACGCAGCTGTTCTATGTGGGATGCAGGTCTGCCACAGGACCCTGACCTCCAGGTCACAGCCTGCTCCCACCCTGGCTTTTTAAGGCCAAAAGCATGAACGGATGATTTAATGAACAGCGGCTCAGCTTTGGCTACAACACTTAGAGCACTGAAGAACAAGACCCCACCCGAGTGAGGCCCACAGGCTGCTTCTGAGGCTACAGACCCTCCACTACAGTCCATCCCATAAAACCAGGGGCACAGTAAAAACTCTTACTTGCGGATCACCCAGGTGTCCTGAATTCACATGTCAACTGCTAGGGCTCTAAAACACCAAGAGCAACAAGCCGGGCTGCTCGGCTTCGCAGGGCGCAGGCCAGTCCAGCCTGAAGACGCAGCTCACCCCAGTGCTGCCCTTGAGCGCCGAGTGTGCGCTGTGTGTGCATGTGCACGTGTGTGCGTGTGTGTATATATAAAAGTACTTTAGCTTCCCCACATACATCAGCAGGAAGCTGGCCACAAGCAGAGGAACCAGGACTCAAAACTGGCGGTCTGAGATGCAGGTGCCGCAAGAGGCACACAGCCCACTGCGCCCCCACACGGCCTCCACGGTGCTCCCCACAGAAGGAACACGGCCTGCTCCCTTCCTGCTCTGCTCTCCAGAGCCTCTTGGGAAACTGGACACCCACCACGGCAGACACCATTCTCCATCAGACAAACACTGTGAGCTGACGATGACTGGCAGATGTGCTGGGGGGGGGGGCTCCTACCTGTGCCTGTCCACACAACAGGCAGGCAGCCACTTCCTGCTGCCAAAGGGGTCAGCCCCCACTGTCACAAAGCACCCATGCGCCCATGGCAGGGAGTGAGCGACACCCGCCCGCCAAGGGTTTTAGGCTGGGTTTCGTGACCTACAGGACTGGGTCCATTTACAACCACCAGACTCTCCTGGAGGCTTCTTATCTAGCCTGCCCTTGAAAACTGAGCTGGAGATAAAAAGGGCCTTAGAAGCTCAAGTTATCAACACACAGAAGCTCAAGTAACCGACCCAGGGTGTATCAGAGATAACCCACCCAGGGTGTATCAGAGATAACCCACCCAGGGTGTATCAGAGGTGACCCACCCACCCAGGGTGTATCAGAGATGACCCACCCACCCAGGGTGTATCAGAGGTGACCCACCCACCCAGGGTGTATCAGAGGTGACCCACCCACCCAGGGTGTATCAGAGGTGACCCACCCACCCAGGGTGTATCAGAGATGACCCACCCACCCAGGGTGTATCAGAGGTAACCCACCCACCCAGGGTGTATCAGAGATGACCCACCCACCCAGGGTGTATCAGAGATGACCCACCCAGGGTGTATCAGAGGTAACCCACCCACCCAGGGTGTATCAGAGATAACCCACCCAGGGTGTATCAGAGATAACCCACCCAGGGTGTATCAGAGGTAACCCACCCACCCAGGGTGTATCAGAGATGACCCACCCACCCAGGGTGTATCAGAGGTAACTCACCCAGACCTTTGAGGAAGCCGCAGAGTCTCCTGGAGGCATCAGTTACACTGAGGCTGAACTTAGCAGCAAAGTAAGGCAAAGACTGCGGGCACACAGACACGACCAGCACTTTGTGCTCTGAGGTATCACATTTCTAGAAGAAACAGAGGAAAGTCACACATGTGCTCCTTGTACAGCGGGGAGCAGACCTCCTAATGCAAAGTTCATACAAGCGACATGATCACCGTCCTATGCAAATACTAATAAAACAAACACTGGCAAGCAGAATTAAGAAAAAGACAAAAACATCAGGATTCACACGACACATGGGCAGGTGTCACAGTGCCACAGCTTAAGCCACCATTTAGGACACTGGCACCAATGCCGGAACATCTGGAATCAGCAGATGATGGCCCAAGTTCTTGGGTCCCTGCCACCCACATGGGAGACCAGGACGGAGTTTGACTCCTGGTTTTGGTTTGATTTGCCTTTCAAATAAAATAAAAATAAAAAAAAGTCAGGGGCTCGTGCTACAGCGCAGCTGGTTGAACTGTGGCCTGCAGTGCTGGCATTCCATGTGGGCACTGGTTCGAGTCCTGGCTGTTCTACTTCCGCTCCAGCTCCTTGCTAATGTGCCTAAAAAGGAGAAGATGGCCCAAGGGCTTGGGCCCTGCACCCATGGGAGACCCAGAAGCAGCTCCTGCTCCTGGCTTCAGCCTGGCCCAGATCTGCCTGTTGGCAGCCATTTGGAGAATGAACCAGCAGGTGGGAGTTCTGTCTGTCCCTCTCTCTCTCTCTCTCCTCTTTCAAATAAATATAAAATGAATAATCCTTTAAAATTATAACTAGTTTATTTGACAGTTCTTCCATCCACTGGCTCATTTCCCTATATGCCTGCAACAGCCAGGGTTGAGCCAGAACAAAGCCAGGAGCCTGGAACTAATCCAGTCTCCCACTAGGTATCAGGGAGCCATCACCCACTGCCTCCTAGGGCGCTCACTAGCAGGAAGCTGGAATCAGAATCGGAGCTGGGACCGAAACCCGAGCCGACAGCCCAACGGGCGTCTTAACTGCTGTGCCAAATTCTGCCTCAGAAGTGGATAATCTGAAAGGAAAATGTAAATTACAACATTGGCCCATAAATCGCTGAAATGACCCAATAACACTAAACACAGACACAACGAAATGGTGTCTAGAGTCTTCTCCCAACAATCACTCAGCTAAGCGACTCAGTGACACGTTCCATCACGTTTCTAAGGAATACGCACTTCTCCTCTCATATAAACTGTTCTGAAACACACAAGCACCAGGGCCAGCTACCACCTGCAACATGGCACCCCACATCGAAACACCAGCTCAGGTCTCAGCTACGCTGCTTCCCATTCAGCTCCCGGTGAGGAGCCTGGGAAGGCAGCAGTGCTGGCCTTGGACACCACCCTCCCTCCAACGTGGGAGACCCCGATGGAGTTTCTGGCTCCTGGTTTTGGCCTAATGCAGCCCAGCTGTTTTTCTTTTAAGATTTATTTATTTGTTTGAAAGGCACAGTTACAGAGAGGCAGAGGCAGAGAGAGAGGTCTTGCCCCTGCTGGTTCACTCCCCAAACGACCATAACAGCCGGAGCTGGGCCTATCCGAAGCCAGGAGCTTCTTCTTGGTCTCCCATGTGGGTGCAGGGGCCCAAGGACTTGGGCCGTCTTCCACTGCTTTTCCAGGCCACAGCAGAGAGCTGGATGGGAAGTGGAGCAGCCAGGACTTGAGCTTGCGCCCATATGGGATGCCAGCACTAAAGGAGGCGGCTTTACCTACACCACCAGGCCAGCCCCACCCCGCCCCGCCCCCCCACCGCTGCCCCGGCTATTTCAGCTAGCAGATGGAAGATCTCTCTCCCTCTCTCTCCCTTTCAAATAAATAAATACATACATACAGAATATGAATAAAATACATTAAATTAAGGTAATAAATAAAAACAGGTGAGCACAAAGTCCCAAGGCTATCAACACCCTGAAGGCAGAATCTGAAGCTGGAGGCTTGCCAGAAGAGATCCCCGGGAACCAGGAGCACGTGGACCACAAGTGCGCGGAGTGACGCCTCTCGGGCTGCCCAGGTGTGACCAGGGAGCAGCGAGAGCAAGGACGTCCGAAAAGACGAAACTTACTTGTAGCCAATAAGCTGAAAAGCCCTAAGACAGCCCAGTAAACGTGGGAACATTACCAAAGTCCAATAAAATGCCACACACAGGGAAGCATTTAGCCTGGTGGTAAGCTGCCCGTTGGGACACACACCCCCTTGTCAGAGGGCCTGGCTTCAAGTCCTGGCTCTGGCTTGATTCCAGAAGGTCCAATCAGATTCCACACTTCATCCCTACCCCAGACGTCAGCGAGAAACCAAAGGTGACTGCAGCCGGCGCTGCGGCTCACTAGGCTAATCCTCCGCCTTGCGGCGCCGGCACACCGGGTTCTAGTCCCGGTCGGGGCGCCGGATTCTGTCCGGGTTGCCCCTCCTCCAGGCCAGCTCTCTGCTGTGGCCCGGGAGTGCAGTGGAGGATGGCCCAAGTGCTTGGGCCCTGCACCCCATGGGAGACCAGGAGAAGCACCTGGCTCCTGCCATCAGATCAGCGTGGTGTGCCAGCCGTGGCGGCCATTGGAGGGTGAATCAACGGCAAAGGAAGACCTTTCTGTCTCTCTCTCACTGTCCACTCTGCCTGTCAAACACACACACACACACAGGTGACTGCAGCAGCGGCTCATGAGAAAGGAAAACAAAGCAGCACAAGAACTGAGGTTCACGGGCGACTCCCCGCAGGTCTACCAAGGAACTGAGGGCACTGTGCCAGCAACCCCACCCACAGACAAGCAGGCCGAAGCTGCTGTGTGATACGGGACAGCAGGAAATACTGGCGGTCGGAGGCTGCCTGTCCCCTGCGGACCCCTTGAGAAGCCCACGTGACACCATCAGGGCCAGCCCTGGAGCACACCATCCTCGGGCGCACCCAGCATTCCCAGAAAGCCAATGGTGGAGCTGCCACTGTGGCACGGAGGGCAAAGCCAGTGCCTGCGATGCCGGCAGAACCCGAGAGCTGGTGCGAGTCCCAGCTAACGCACCTGGCAGGAGCAGTCAGCCCAGGTGTTTGGGTCCCTGCTACCCGTGTGGGAGACCTGGATGGAGTTCCAGGCTCCTGGCTTCAGCCTGGCCCAGCTCTGGCTGCTGCAGCTATTTCGGGAGGGAACCAGCAGATGGAAGACCTGTCTCTGCCTCTTGAGAACTCTGCCTTTTAAACACTTAGATACATCTTAGAAACAAACGAAAACGAGCAAGCCCAGAGCAGCTGGGTCTGCGGCTGACATCACAAACGCAACACCAGTGCACAGCCAGGAGTCCAGGGCTGTGCGAGCAGAGGCAGGCAGAGGCGCCCCAGGAAGCAGACTCCGCCTCCGCCCGACGCCTCCCTGGGCGCGTGCAGGGCGTGCAGGGCTCAGTCCTCAGTCTTCCTCAGGGAGCAGCCTGTGACCGTGAGCGCTCAGTGTGAGCGCAGGGCTCAGGAGGGAGAAGGGCTCCTCACGCCCGTCCCAAGCACGCCTCGAGCAGCGCGGCTCTCCTGCCTCCCGCCTTTCAGCTGTGGCTTACGCCAGCCTGATCCGGGTTCCTGCCGCGACAGCCGAGGTGCCGGTGGCCGGGGGCACGAGTCCCTGACAGGCCTTCCACTTAACAGTGAAGCCGGCCAGCACATCCACTACCGGTCAGGACAAGACAGCAGTGCCATCCGTCACCACCGTGAGACCTGGCCGATCGCGTCAGGAAAATGAAGATACGCAAGTCTCCTGAAAAGCCACATACAGGGCAGGCGTGGTGGGTGAGTGCCAGCAGGACACACACCCCGGCAGCAGTGTGCCTGCTTCCAGACCCGGCTCAGGCTTCCGACTCCAGCTTCCTGGAAGGCGGCCAGCCACGGATCCAGCAGTGGGACCCCTGCTCCCCAGACTGGGAAGCCTGGACTGAGTGCCAGCTTCCAGCTTCGGCCTGGCTGTCTCAGCTGCGAGAGCACTGGGAGTGAACCAGCAGATGAAAGCCCTCTCCGCCTCTCACGCGAAACACGGTGACCAGCCTGGCAAAACCCACGTGCAGCGTGTGCGGCCGAGGGCCTGAGGCTGGACACACAGAGGACGGCGGGAACCCGGGTCCTGAGGACGTCACGGAGTCCCACTGAGCCTGCAGCCGCTCACCTCCAGACTCCTCCACAGAGCGACTTCCGACTTGATAAATGCCACGGGGAGTTTTGTCACTAGCAGCTGAGTGTAATTCTGAAACGTCATACAGACAAACAGCACAGCAAAGAGAGCCGGTACTGTCCGGTTAAGTACCCACCAGCAGCACCAGCATCCCCTGTGGGCTCTGGTTCGAGTCCCGGCTGCTCTACTTCCGATCCAGTTCCCTGCTGATGACCTGGGAAAGCAGCAGAAGATGGCCAAGTCCTCGGGCCCCTGCAGAAGCAGCTCCTGGTTCCTGGCTTTGGATTGGCCCAGCTCCAGCCATTGCGGCCACTTGAGGAGTGAACCGGAGGATGAAAGACTTCTCTTTCTTTCTTTTTTTTTTTTTTTTTTTTGACAGGCAGAGTTAGACAGTGAGAGAGACAGAGAGAAAGGTTTTCCTTTTTGCCGTTGGTTCACCTCCCAAATGGTAGCTATGGCCGGCACACAGCGCCGATCCGAAGGCAGGTGCTTCCTCCTGGTCTCCCATACGGATGCAGATGCAGGGCCCAAGCACTTGGGCCATCCTCCACTGCCTTCCCCGGGCCACAGCAGAGAGCTGGACTGAAGAGGGACAACCGGGACAGAATCCGGCGCCGCAGGCAGAGGATTAGCCTAGTGAGCCGCAGCGCCGGCCACGTTCTCTTTCTTTCCCTCTCTTTGTAACTCTGCCTCAACTAAATAAATATTTTAAAAAATCGTCAATAAGCATATTAAAGATCTTCAGCCTCTATAATCAGAAAAATGCAAATTAGATAAAATTTTCTACTCAACACATTAGGAAAAGGTGTGAGTTTGCTGTCGCGTGTCAGGAGGACTGGACACAGCCATGTGTGAGCGCCACTGCTAGAAGGAGAAAGTGAAATACGCACTTTCGGGGCCAGCGTTGCGGCACAGCAGGTTAAGCCACAGCCTGTGACCAAGGCATCCCGCGAGCACAGGTTTGTCCCGGCTCGTGGCCTCACACGGACCAGCCCTGCTCCTCGTAGCCCTCTGGGGAGTGAACCAGAAGATGGAAGCTCTCTAACCCTGCCTTTCAAATAAATAAATGAGAAGACCACGACCTCCACCTCGGCAAACAGCTTCAGAGGCACTGACAGCCCATGACTGTGGGCACGACACCTGACCTCACCTGGCTGAGGCCTCCCCTTCAGCTAGGGGAGCCCGATGGGCGACAGCAGCCCCCCACCCACACCCCCACTGCCGAGTCAGGGAGGGAGTGTGACTGTGCGGGGACTGTGTCCGTGATGGAGAAGGGCGTAGGCTCAGGGACAGGGCGTAGCCACACAGGGACAGGGCTGGGACAAGCAAGTGATGTCCCCACCCCCCGCCGCAGCACCAGCGAGCCCTGGACACCGTACCTTGTTAAGGTTCAGGACCCGGAAGAAGTCCTTGGCATTCTGCTGGGAGAGCTGGACGCCCTCCTCTGCAGTCACACAGCTGTCACACGCCAGGCAGTCGCTCAAGAAAATCTTGGCATCAGCCAGCTTGTGGAACGCTCCCTTCTGGAAGAGAACATCGAGGTCTGGGAGGACGCCTCACCTCAGAACACGGCGCGAGGGAGGGCGGAGCACGAGCCCCCCCCCCCCCCCCACACACACGACAACAGCAGGCAGGAGGCAGCTTCCACCTCCGAGCAGCCTGAGGCCGTACAAGGACACAGGCCCCAGCCCGTGGTGACGCTGCCGGAGACCCTGCAGACAACCGCCAGGTGGAAGCCTGCCCCACGTCCTCGGGGAAGGCAGGGTCTGGGAGCAGCCCCGCCCGCCCGGCTTCTCCTCCCTGCAGTTCTGCTCAGCAGGGCCTGGGGCACAGCTCTGCTAGAACCTGAGCTGCCCCCACCCCGGCTCCCTGGGGTGCCTACAGTCCTGGCCTCTCCCTAGAGGCTCAGAGCTTGCACGGCTCCCTGCTGGCTCAGGGCCCCCACCTCGCTGAAGCTGAAGCCCGTCTGTCCACCCCTGGTCTCACCTGGACGCCGGCACCCTCTCCTTCCCTAGAATCTGCTAAGACGGAGCCGCATCTGCACTCTGCTCAGAGCCCTCCACAGCCGCCCCCCATGTAGAGGTTCAAGCTGGTGGGTGTGCTCCCCATCGCGCCCAGTCACAACGGCCCTGGCTGGGACTGCCACACTCTGGGACACACCCCCAGCCAGCTCTGGGCTCACTGAATGGCCCTGGCTGGGAGGTCCTGACACCTGCCAGCACCACCCTCATCCACCAACCGCCTTGCCCCCCGGGCTCCACGTGCTCAGCCCTCCTGGGTACAAACTTCGGTCTGAGAGTACACACCCCAGAATGTGCCGCATACAGACCGTGCTCGCTACTGGGCGGACGGACGTAGCCCACTGGAATCATTTCAACACATTATGAGAGCCTGAGCCACGGGTCCCGTTTGCTGTTGTTTTCCCCTTTAAACACGGACTGACAGGAGCCAGCTCGGGTGCCCTCTCCCCCACAGCCACTCTGAACGGAGCTCAGCCCACTGCCTCCTCCTGGAAATGACCCAATGGCCCCGAGACGCCTGCTCACTGGGGGTCTTGTTCCACTACCGGTGATTCAGGAGGTCTGTGTGGGGCCCAGAAGCCTGTACTTCTAAGGAGCTCCCGGAGCCTGGCGCGCGGTGCTGCACTAAGCCCGAGGCCCGGCCAGCTGCACCAACTCGCCATCCTCCCGCGTCTCCTGCTGCAGGGCCGGCTCTCCCGCACCTGTCACATTCCTCCCTTTCCCCTCCTGCCCTAAACGCACGCGCCGTTCCCTTCCACCACCTGGCCTATCGCCTCTGTCCAGAGCAACAGGGGCCTGTGCTGCCTCCAGCCCAAGCTCGGGGCCTGTGGAGCTAACGCCGCGCCCGGGTACAGCCTCTTAGCTCTGCCGCTCTGGCTGGCTCACGCAGGTCCCGTGCCCCGCCAAAGCTGCGCCCCAGCTGTTCCCCGGCTCCCTCCAACCTGCACTGACACACACCTGCGCTCCCCCGAGCCCGGGGGCCTTCGCGATCGCCCACTGCCCTCCACTGAGCGGGTCAGGGTGTGCGACACCCTCCGGGCTGGCTGCTACACCGGCTCGGAGCTCTCCCCGCCCTGCGCGCCCGCGCTGTCCGTGTGCCCACCACCGACCTGCCGAGGCATCCACCTAGGCTGGGGGTGCCTTATCTCAGCCTCGCAGAACCCGGGAGGGGCGCGCCTCAACCCCCCGCATCACTGATAGCGAAGGGGCTGGAGCTCCGCGCAGGGGTGCGCCCAGAGGAAGGCCCGCCAGACGCAGGTCGCGGCAGAAGCGCTCAGCGCCGGCGCTCGCGGGGCCCTCCGTGGAAGGCGTGACGGCTGCGTCTCCGCGCGCCGCTGGGGCGGCACTTACACAGCACACGCAGCTCGGAGCGCGCATCAACTCCCGGCCAGGCAGCATCTCAAAGAGAAGCAACCGCGAACAGAGGCGACGGCGGCCGGGCCCCGGCCGGCCCCGGCCGGCGCACGCTCACCTCTCCGCCCGCCCGCGCCGGGCTCGCGCTCGCCTCGGCCGACACATCCTCCGCGTCCTCGGTCTTGCTCTTCTTGCTACATTCCTTAAAAAGGCAAGGGGGCGTCACTGACCGACGACTCTGCCGCTGCCCTCCCTCACGGCTCGGCCACCTGCCCGCAGGTGCGAGGGCGACCCCGCGGCGCTGCCCGCTCCGGACCGAGGAGCGCCGCCGCCTCGGCCGGCCGGGGCCGCCGCGAGGTTCGGTCTCGGTGTCCCGGGCTGAAGGCTCGGGACCGTTTTGCGGGACAGGGAAGGATGGACGGGCGCGCGAGAGCCTGCCGCCACCCGCACGCGGCCCGCCCCGGCCCCGGCCCCGCGGTCCGCGCCCACCTTGCGCGTGCAGTGCTCGCACTTCATCTGGAGCGCGCGGGCGGAGGCCGGCGCCTCGGCCTGAGGGGAGCAGCGCGGACGCAGACGCGGCGCCCGCCGCCCGCAGCCCTTTGTCGTCCTCGCTGCGGCGGGCCCCGCCCCGGCGGCTGCGCCCGGCCAATGAGAGCGCCGGGACAGGGCGAGCCGCACCCTGAGCCAGTAGGAGCGCGCGGAAGGCGCTTCGGCCCCGCCCCACACGGCTGGGTCTCGGCCAATGAGGATGCCGGAAAGAGGCGGGCCCGCCCCTGGAGCCAATGCGACGGGCGACGCCGCGGGGTCCCGGGCCGGTTCCCGCGAGGGTTTCCGCTTCGGGCGGGCCGGCGGGGGCTGCTTAGCCACGGGCGCGGGGGAGGGGCCGAGGGAGAGCCGCCTGCGGCGGGGGCGCGCGTCGTCCGCTCGGCCCCACACCCGCCTCTGGCCGCCGCCATGGCCGCCCTGCCGCGCGGCACGTAGGCCGGCCGGGCGGAAGTGCGCGTGCGCGGCGAGCGCCGCTGGCCCGCGTGGACGCAGCCGGGCGGCACGAGGGCGGCGTTTTCCGTTCGTGTCGTTGAGCGCGGGAGCGCCGCGCTCCGCCGGCCCGCCCCGGGGTCCCCGCCAGGGCCCGCGTCCGTCGGCCGCTGCGGTCCGAGAACCCTGACCGGGTGCCCGGTCAGTGTTTGGCCTGAGTCCCGCGGGTACTGGTCAGGGCCGCACTTTACAAAGCTCGAGGAGACTGTCGTTCCCCACGGAGCTGACTGGAACCGCGCAAAACCGGCGGCCCGCGAGGGCGCTCGGGAGTGCTGGGACCCGGCCGGTGCACTCCGCGGACGCGCGTGGGAACGCGGAGGTCACTTTCCAAAATGCAGTCGAGGACTCGGACTTGGCACTTGGCAGGCTGCTGCCCGGTGTGAGCTCTGGGACGAGGCCGGCTCCCCCACCGCTCTGACCACCCGCTAGCGAAGACTGCAGGGCCACACGTGACCGCCACCCACGGGCAGCGCTGCCACGCGGTGACTCGCTGTTAGCGTCCCCGGAGTCCACATCTCCCCTAAACCCCGCGCCCGGGTCGGGTGCAGAGCGCGCGTGGAGCAGTCAGCGTGACAGGAAGCGCTCCCGCGTGTACAGCCCAGAGTCCCGATCCTGCGCCCCTCCTGAAGGCAAACCCCTCCCCTCGGAGCGTCAGATCAGACACTTACGCCTCAAAACCCCAGTAGGATCTTTTCATGTTAGATCATTAAAAATGTTCTTATTTATAGTTTTCCATTTCTTAAAAAAGTTTATTTATTTGAAAGAGTTACAGAGAAATGTAGAGACAGAGAGAGGTCTTCTATCCACTGGTTCACTCCCCAAATGACCGCAACGGCTGGAGCTGTGCCGATCCCAAGCCAGGAGCCTCTTCCAGGTCTCCCACGTGGGTGCAGGGCCCCAAGGACTTGGGCATCTTCTGCTGCTTTCCCAGGCCACAGCAGGGAGCTGGACCAGAAGTGGAGCAGTCAGGACTCGAACCAGCACCCAAATGTGATGCCAGCGCTGCAGACTGAAGCTTTAACCCACGGTGCCAGAGCCGGCCCCGCGTTTTCCATTTATATACCATATTACAAATACATCAATCAACCTTGGGAAGTCTTAACCTTTCAGTCATTCAATCCATGTCAGCACTGCACAGAAAACATCTCCCTTCAGTTTTCAGGAATGAAAGAGTAGTTTTAGATTTGTATATTTATTGTTATTTTAAAGATGTATTTATTTGTTTGAGAATCAGAATTACAGAGATGGAAAGAGAGAGATCTTCCATCCACTGGTTTACTCCACAGATGGCCTCATGGCCAGGGCTAGGCCAGGCCAAAGCCAGGAGCAGCATCTCCCACAGGGGTGGCAGGGGCCCGACTCCTGGGGCCATCTTCTCTTCTTCTCCAGGTCATTAGCAGGGCGCTGGAGCAGAAGTGGAGCAGCCAGGACTAGAACTGTTGCCACAGGGATGCCGGCAATTACAGGTGGAGCCTTTATCTGCTATGCCACAATGCTGGCCTCTAGTGTTTTAAAAGCAGAATTGCAATGCTATCTGTTACAACACTTCGCAGTCAGTCTCGTCAATGCCCAATGTCCATATTTCTCAATTGTCTCATAAATTTCTAGCGAGTTTAAATCAGGATCTAAATAAGTACAATGTGTTCTATATCGAAGTTGATTTAGATGTTCCTTAAGTCTTTCTTTAAAAAAAAAAATCCTGAGGCCAATGTTGTGGCGCAACAGGTAAAGCTACCACCCATGACGCCGCATCCCGTGTGGGCACTGGTTGCTGTCCCAGCTGCTCCACCTCCCATCCAGCTCCCTGCTCACTGTCTTGGGAAAAGCAACGGAAGGTGGCCCATGTTTAGGCCCCGTCACCCTCGTGGGAGACCAGGATGAAGCTCCTGGCTCCCGCCTGGCCCAGCTCTGGCCTTTACAGGCATCTGGGGAGTGAAACAGCAGATGGAAGCGCACGCGCTCTCTCTCTGTAACTCTTTCAACATAAATACATATTTTTCTGAAAAATCCTTATTTTGAAATAAGGCTTGCTATCCGGGTGTAGAGCTCTAGCCTGAAGGTGTGACTTGGTTGAAGTCTGTGGGTTCCAGCCACATCCCCCTTCCCCTCTGCATCATCACAGGGAACCGGGCCTTCGTCTGCAGGCTTTCCCGAAATCACTGAGGTGTCCCTGTGCGAGCTTTCAGGGTATCCTTGTCCTCTGACTCTCCAGCAGATGCAGGCTGGATCTCACACCCAGGCTGTGGTGGTGTTTTGTTTTTATAAGACGACTTCATAGAAGGGGCTGTGTTCTTTCCGTGTCTGACTGTCCTTTTGTGGTGCGAATTGGCAGCCATTTATGAAACTGCCGAGACCCATCACTTCTTTAAGCAGATGTGTGAATTCCACCATTTCTTCCTGCTTAGTGGAAACAATTTTTTATTAAAAAAAAAAGATTGATTTATTTTAAAGGCAGAGGTAGAGAGATATCTTCCATCTGCTGGTTCACCCCCCAAATGGCGGGGCCTGGGTCAGGCCGACGTCAGGAGCCAGGAACTTCACTTGGGTCTTGCACGTGGGTGCAGGGGCCCAGGCACTTGGGCCGTCCTCTGCTGCTTTCCCAGATGCATTAGCAGGGAGCTGGGTCAGAAGTGGAGCAGCCGGGTCTTGAACCCGCGTCCACACGGGATGCCTGTGCTGCAGACAGAGGCTTTACCTGCCCAATGGAAACACTTCTACCTGAAAAATTCTCCTCACCACTGGTTACACTGCTATAACCTTATAAAAATAGGCAGGATAAATGTTGGATTCCTTCTCCTAATCAAACAGCCAAAAAGCCCTGATTGGTAGTCACTTCCAAAGTGAACAAAGTTTAAAATGTCACCGTGACCTGTGGGTTTCGGCTCGATTTCCAGCGGCACCGCTGCCTCGCCCATCCGAGGTCCTTCCACAGAGGTGAAGTGGTCTCCCTAAGTGGGAATCGACATTAAAACCCACAAAGCCGATACTGAAATTGTGTGCTGCTCCCGGCTTGTCTTTGTAGCACTTTTAAGCAGACAGTACTGGGAAACATACTTTTCTTTTTCTTTTTTTTTTGACAGGCAGAGTAGACAGTGAGAGAGACAGAGAGAAAGGTCTTCCTTTGCCGCTGGTTCACCCTCCAATGGCCACTGTGGCCGGCGCACAGCGCTGATCTGAAGCCAGGAGCCAGGTGCTTCTCCTGGTCTCCCATGTGGGTGCAGGGCCCAAGCACTTGGGCCATCCTCCACTGCACTCCCTGGCCACAGCAGAGAGCTGGCCTGGAAGAGGGGCAACCAGGACAGAATCCGGCGCCCTGACCGGGACTAGAACCCGGTGTGCCGGCGCCACAGGCGGAGGATTAGCCTAGTGAGCCGCGGCGCCGGCGCTGGGAAACATACTTTAAAAAAACAGTTCTTATTTATTTTCATCCACTTAAAAGGTAGAGCATGAGAGAGAAAAAGATATCTTCCACCTGCTGGCTTCCTCCCCAACAGCCAGGGCTGGGATAGGTTGATGCCAGGAGCCAGGAACTCCATCTAGGGTTCTCATGTGGGTGGTAGGGACCTGAGTCCTTGGGCCATCATTGGCTGTTCCCAGGACACATTAGCAGGAAGATGGACTGGAAGCAGAGGAGCCAGTGGAACTGGCACTCAGAAACATTCTTTAAATGTTTAAAATTTGAGGGGCGGGCACTGTGGTGTAGTTGGTAAAGCCACCACCTGCAGTGCTGGCATCCCATATGGGCGCTGGTTCGAGTCCCGGCTGCTCCACTTCCCATCCAGCTCTCTGCTGTGGCCTGGGAAAGTGTGTAAGATGGCCCAAGTCCTTGGGCCCTGCACCCGCGTGGGAGATCTGGAGGAAGCTCCTGGCTCCTGGTTTCGGATTGACCCAGCTCTGGCTGTTGAGGCCATTCGGGGAGTGAACCAGCAGATGAAAGACCTCTCTCTCTGTCACTCTCTTTCAAATAAATCAATCAAGTTTAGGGGCCGGCGCTGTGGCTTAGTGGTAGAGCCGCCACCTGCAGCGCCGGCATCCCATAGGGGCACCGGTTCAAGTACCGACTGCGCCGCTTCCGAAATGCAATTGCGGACTTGACCTGCCCAGTGCCGACGGCGTTATCTCCTGGCCGTTCGCTATCCCGTGTTCAGCAGCGCCAACCAGACCAGGTGCGGTAGTCGCTCCCTTCACACGCGCACAGCTCCCCGGAGGTTGGCCTTTACCCGCGCACACGGCCGCACCGGGAAGCACCGGCTGTGAGCGCGGTGCAGGTCCCCGGCGACGGCGGCAGGCAGCAGTCAGCACGTCCCGGCCGCAGACGCCGTGGCGGGCAGAGGTCCCCGAAGGGCGCTGCCCAAGCGAACTTCCCGCAAGCTTCCGCTGCGTGAGCCGGCGAGTGTGCGCCGCGCAACGGCGCGGCGTGCGCGCGGGCCGCGGGCCCCGCAGACCCTCCGTGCGCCCCCGCGCCCGGGCCCCGGAGGCCCCGCGAGCCCGGAAGTCCGCGCGCCCCGCCCTCGAGCCCGGAAGTCCGCGCCGCCCCGCCCCGCCCCGTCGCAGGTTCGCGCCCCTGGGTGGCGGCGGGTGCGGACGGGCGCGGCGCGCTTCCTCGGGCCGGCGAAGGCGCCCTGCAGCTTCCCGTCAGGTGGGCGCGCCGGGCAGGGCCTGGGGCTCACCTCCGGGGGGCGCGGCGTGTGCGGGGGCCGGGGTCAGACACCCGAGTTCACTGAGGCTCGTGAGGCGCGCCCTGCCGGCGTGGGCTGTGGTCTCGAGCTGTCCCGGCACTGACGCGCCAGGCTCGGGTCCGCGGGGCCCGCGCGGGGACGAAGGGTTCCGGCAGTTCCGGGTGGGGGGTGCACCGAGTGCGCCTGGGGCCGGGTTTGCTGGGCTGACCGGCGGGCGCTGCGTGTCCTGCAGCGATGTACATGCAGGTGGAGACGCGCTCCAGCTCCTGCCTCCACCTCAAGAGGGCCCCCGGCGTGCGCTCCTGGTCCCTGCTGGTCGGTAAGGCCGTGGGCAGCACGCGGGGCACAAAGCACTTCCTCCTTCCGCTGCCGGCGGCGCTCTGGCTCTCGGGTCCCCGCGCGGGGCCGGCAGGCGCCGCTGTCCGCCGCCCTTCACCGAGTCCCGGCGCCGGTGCTGTGATGCGCGGGTCGTGGGAGGGCTGCCCGCGCGCCCGCGTTTCCGGTTCCCTGGCTCAGTGCCCTGCGGGAGTCCACGTCTGCCCCTCGCGCCGGTGGCTGCCCGTGGGGAGCGTCCTGTGGCCCCTCCGGCACCGTGTTTCCGGCGCGCGCTCTGACCCCCTGCCTGGCTGGCTTTGCGCCCTGCTGTGGTTTTCGGGCCTTCGTTCCTCAGCGGGTGCTGCCAGGGTCACCCCCATCAGGACAGTCTCCTGAGACCGCTCTGGGGCCCGCACGGGTCGTGTCCAGTGAACACTGCACTCCAGGCTGCCCCGCCGTGGGAAGGGCCCGCGAGGACCCAGTCGGAAGCCTCTCGCTCTCTTCACAGGCATCTTGTCCATCGGCCTGGCTGCTGCCTACTACAGTGGAGGTACAGGACACCTCCCCAGTGTGCCCCGTTTGGGAAAGTGTGGGTCAGCAGGACAGGTGATGGCCAGGGCCCGCACGGGCACGGGCACTGTCAGGCCTCCCCTTCCCCCCGCCCTAACCTAGTGGGTCTGGGGTCAGGCTGTGCTGGGCAGGGTGCCTGCCGGCACTCACGGGGTGGCGTCCTGCGTCTGTTTCCAGATAGCCTGGGCTGGAAGCTCTTCTATGTCACGGGCTGCCTGTTGGTGGCCGTGCAGAACCTGGAGGACTGGGAGGTAAGGCCGTCAGGTGGGGCGTGGGGGGGGGGGCACGCTCGGCTCTGGGCCCTTCTGCAGCAGGAAGGTTCCGGGTGGCTTAGTGCTCCGTTCCCGTCCTGAAACACCTGTCCTAGCCGGTGGCTTCGGTGTAGCGGGACGTGGCCCCTGAACGTTGCCTGTCGGCGCTTGGGCCAGGGACTCCTCTAAGGGGGTCTTCCTTCTGAAGTACCCTGTGACTGGTTTTGCTCCTGGGGCTGCCGTGGCAGAGGGCGAGTGCCATCCTGTCCCCTCCCTGGCCTCAGTGTCCTTGCCGTGTGCTTGTTTGACCCCGGGAGGGCACCTGCCCCACCCAGGACGGGGAGTGGGGGATGTGCTCAGCACTCTGGTTTCCAGGAAGCCATCTTCAACAAGAACACCGGCAAGGTCATCTTGAAAACGTTCAGCCTCTACAGGAAGCTGCTGACTCTTCTCAGAGCAGGCCACGACCAAGGTCAGTGTGCAGAGGAAGGGAGCCCAGAATGGCTGCTCAGCGCCTGAGGCTGAGACGCATGCAGCCAGCCAGGGTCCCCCCACGTCCCCGGCCTGCAGGGCGGGGTCTAGGCAGATGCCCCAGGTCTGGAGAATCCTGGGTTCTGCAGAGGCGCAGCCTGCCGGGGCGGTGGAAGGGGCTAGGGTGCATCCTGGCTCTGGGTTCTCCCCCTCCCCCCACTGAGCTTCCTTTGTCTGGGTGGTGGGGTGGTTGTGGGGCCCGGGAGGCAGGGTTACAGCAGTGAGCAGGTGACTGGAGCCAGCCACACTCCTCTCTGCTCCAGGGGTCACACGGCTTTTCCTAGGCCGTGGCCCTGCTCGGCCTGTGGGGAGGGATGGGTGGCTAGAGGAAGCCCCGGCCTGGAACAACTTCTGAGCCTGGAACTGGTTCAGCTGGGAGTAGGCAGAAGGTGCCACAGCCACTATCCTGGACCCTGAGGAGCTGGTTTCCAGGGCATCACAGGGAATGGCCAGGAAGCCCCCGCTTAGTGATTGGTCATGGGGGCCTTAGCCTTGGGTGTGCACGTGAAGACAGGAAGGGCTGAGCTGGGCTGTGGGCTCACACGGGTGTTTTGGCTCCATGATGGGAGCCCTGGGTGTGGCCTCACCAGGAGATTCTCGGGCCCAGGCTTGGACAGGGAGAGGTAAATGCTTTTGCCACTGACAGGTGCCTCGTGGCACAGGTGGGGTCGGGGACGGTGTGGCCACTGACCCGTCCCTCCACAGTGGTGGTCCTCTTGAACGACATCCGGGACGTGAACGTGGAGGAGGAGAAGGTCCGATACTTTGGGAAGGGCTACACGGTGGTGCTGCGGTTTGCCACGGGCTTTTCCCACCCTCTCACCCAGAGTGCTATCATGGGCCACCGCAGGTAAGACCCGGCTCAGGGCGGCAGTGCCTCATGCAAGGCGTGGCTGATCTGGCTAGAGCCTCCCACCCTGTGCCTCGGCCCTGTCGGATGACCCTCATGACTGATGGCCCAGTGTTGTGGGGCAGGAGGGGCAGGAGGGGCAGGAGATGCTAGTGTGTACACAGGAGGGGGGCCTGAAGGGGAGGCACAGGCTTGTGACAGCCCTGCCATGGCCACCTTGGAGAATTGGGCTAGGGTCAGGTACAAGTGGGACCAGACAGGAGATGTGGGGTCTGATTAGAGCCTAGGGGCTGCTGGACACGGGTGGGTTGGGTTGGGACTGGTGTGGCCTCCTGCTGGCTGCCGCCGGCTGACCTGGTGCTGGCCTCGTCCAGTGACGTGGAAGCCATCGCTAAGCTCATCACCAGCTTCCTGGAGCTGCACCACCTGGAGAACCCCTCGGAGTTGTCTGAGAGCAGCGACAGCGAGGCCGATGGTCCTGGGAGCCAGAGCTGACAGCCCAGGCTGGCCCTGCGTCCGGTCGTGCCTCCAGCGGAGCGGCTACCGTGAGGCCTGCCCAGAGAGCTGCTTGTGCCTTCTGGCCCTGCTGCACGGACTGCGCAGAACCACAGGCTGCGCCTTTTCCGAGGGCAGGGCCAGGGGGCGCTGGTGGGGGTCTGTTAGGGGATGTAGGGTGGGGTGCTATGTCCAGGGAGGCCACAGGGCTGCAGGGCTCGAAGTCACTCCTCGGAGTCGGGCAGCAGCCCTGGCTGTGGCAGGTGGGCAAGAAGATGGCGGTGGCACAGCCGGTCTAGGTAGGCCCATCCATGGCCTCTGAAACAAACAGGACCTGGGCTTTCTCCAGCGTGATGACCACAGTGCTGGGCCAAGCTGCTCTGCGGACACCAAGTTCTCTTCCTGCTGGACACCCCCATGGCCAGGAGCTTCCCCAGGGCAGCCCTGGCTGCCAGGGAGGGGGCAGATCCCCGGGCACCCCCTGCCGGAGGCAGCCTCTCCCCAGGGGCCCGCTCTTCCTGCGCCCGGCCCAGACAGCTGCCTCCTTCTCACCAGCACAGCAGCTGGGCCATCAGGAGCATCCACGCCCTCCCCGCAGCCTGGGCAGAGGCGTGTGTTGAGAACAGGAAGTGACTCGTGCGGTGTCTTGCAGAGCTGCAAAGGGGTTCTTGCGCTGGAGGTGAGTTCCAGCCCCCCCTCTGGAGCCCTGGAAGGCTCGGCAAGGGGGGGAGCCCTAGGCTGCAGCCACCCCCAGGGACTGAGAGCCGCCGTTCTCCCAAGAAGCCCGGTCTCTCCAAGGCACAGTGTGCGCCAAGAGTGCCCGCCTGGCTGCAGGCCTGTGAGCTGGAGGCGCTCGGCCCCTGGCCATCCCCCTGAGCCTGCACACCTGGACTGGCCAGGCTGCAGTGACCCCCCCCCCCCAGAGGCAGGGGCCCAAAGCCACTGGGGAGGGGAGAGGAGAGGAGAGTGAGGTCCTGACAGTGCTGCCCAGCAGCCCCTGGGAGGGCCATGGCCATCTAAACACGGAGTTGGCTTCTAAACGGGTGGGTCTGAAGTGGCTGTGGGCCTCGCGGGTGCCGTCAGGCCCCTTCCCCACAGGGGCCAGGCCAGTCCTGCGGAGGGAGGGACTGGACTGGAAGTCATAAACCAGGGTGCAGACAGGAAGCCTGTGTCCGACTGCAGCTTTCACTCTTTATTGCAGAATAAAGTTCTGTGTGCAGGTCACGGCCCCAGGTCCCTGCTGAGTGAGTGTGTCCTTTGCTGCCATCTGCTTCTCCTTCCCCAGAGACCCCTGCGCATCCTGGGGGTTACCCAGCCCCGCACAGCCCCCAGGTTCAGCAGGGAGTGGCTGCGAGGGGCCGGCTGCAGCTAGATGAGGGGACAGGGGTCACTTCAGCCTGGTACTGCCTGGGTCCACAGCACAGGGCCCTCCAGCCCCCACTCAGGCCCCTTCCCTCAGGGGTCCTGACCTTGGTTCCAGCAGGGGCCACCAACCAGGAACTGGGCCGTGGCCGCCTCACTGAGGTCCTGCAGCAGTGCCTGCAGCTGCCGCATGCTGGGATGCACGTTCTCCTCCAGCCACTCCTCCACGGCGTCCGGCTGGAAGGTGCGCTGCAGGGCTGCCTCCAGCTCCTGCACAAGGGCACTCCACCTGCCCAGGAGGCTAAGTACGGGAGGCCTTGAGTCCCGAGGACCCCAGGACTGCGCGTGGGCTACGCACGCCTCAGTGCTCAACAGCCGTGCTGTGCCTCGGTGACCCTCTGAAGCGGGGCTGCTGGCTCCCACCTCACCGGGCCTTGGGACAGATGCATGAGCAGATCTGTCATAGTTTCACCTCTGAAGCTGGGTGCACTGTCTAATTAGCTGGCATTTTCTTTCCTTGCGGTTGGTCCATGGACCTGCCAAGATCCTAGCTCACAGCCCTGAACCCAGAGGACAGGAAGGCTGCAGAGATGAGCCCCGAGACTGCCCTGGCACCCGGCAGCGTTCAGCCTGTGAGGCAGGAAGAGCCCCACTGTTCACTAACGTGGGAGTCCGCACCCACGGGCCCCTGGCGCCGTCCCGTCCCCAGCTGGTTCCCGTGGACAGTGGCGCGAGGCGGGATGGTTACCTGCGTGCCTCAGGCTGGATGTGCTGGATCATGACCGGGTGGATGAGCTTGTGCCTGCGATGGTAGGGGCTGAACCAGCCGGTCACGTACCTGGGGCAGAGCCACAGTCAGCTGTGGCAGCCGTGGGGGTTATGCTAACACCTGCAGACAAGCTGAAGAATCTGCTGAAGTTTTCAACTCTCCCTGTGTAGGAGGAGGCCATAAGGGGCCCATGTGCCTGTCTATCCGTCTGTCCACTCACCTGTGCACCTCCCATGCACCTGCCCGTCTGCTGGCCCACCCACCTGTTCCTCTCCAGCAGTGCATCCACGGAGCTGCGCAGGTGGAGGCTGACTTGGGTGACAAGGGCGAGGATGTTGCTGCCAGGGAAGGAGCCAGCCCCCTTGCTGCCAGAGAGCCACACTGAGGACGGTGGTCCCCACGGGGGATCCAGGGGCTGGGGAGTGGGGTGGGATGACCACATTACCTCGTAGAGTCCGTCATCTCCAGGCTTGAGAGCCCGAGAAGGTTCTCCACCTTGGTTTTAACATCTTCGGTAAACCCTCCTGAAACCAACACAGGTGGAGATGGTCGGAGGGGCCTTATCCCTGTGCTGGCCAGTGTCCAGACCTCCGGGCCCGTAGAGCTATGGTGGCCGGCACAGAGTGGAGAGGCGTGAGCCCAAGACCTCTCCAGAGAAGTCCTTCTCATTAAATGTGAGAAATATGGAGCAGACAGAGTTCCTTTGCTAGTTCACTCCTCAAATGCCCACAATGGCTGGGGCCTAAGCTAGGAGTTGGGAACTCAATCCAGATCTACGTGTGTGGCAGGAACCCAGTGACTTGAGCCACTGCCTGATGCCTCCCAGAGTATTAGCAGGAAGCTGGAGACAGGAGCAGGAGCCAGGGCTCGAACCCAGGCGCTCTGATAGAAGACAAATGCATCTTGACTGCTACACTGAGCTCTGTCCCCATTAATTTTAAAAAGAGAAAACAGTGGGGGGCCCAGCGCTGTGGCATGGGAGGTAAAGCCGCCACCAGCAGTGCCAGCATCCCATATGGGCACAGGTTCAAGTCCCGGCTGCTCCACTTCCAATCCAGCTCTCTGCTATGGCCTGGGAAAGCAGTAGGAAATGGCCCATATCTTTGGGCCCCTGCACCCACATGAGAAACCTGGAAGAAGCTCCTGACTCCTGGCCTCAGATTGGCCCAGCTCTGGCCATTGTGGCCAACTGGGGAGTGAACCAGTGGATGGAAGACCTCTCTCTCTGTAATTCTGCTTTTCAAATAAAGAAAGAAAGGAAAGAGAGACGAGAACGGCACTGCTGGCAACCCACCAGACGAGCCGCTGGCCCTGCCTGTGGGGCAGGACTGACCTGCAGTTGTCCACCACTCGTGCAGCTTCCCACTGTGGCTTACTTGGCAGAGCAATGTTCTAGAGCGCCTGAAACCAGTGAGGCCTACAGCTACCAATGTGATCAGTGTGCGGGAGACTCGGGGCAACAGGCTGGTGCGGGCTGGCAGGAGCCTGGGTGTGGGACTTGCCTCCTCTTGACCAGCTGACACTAACCCTCCTCCTCCTGTTGGGTTCTCAACGGCTCAGAGTTGACAGTTCAAAGTCATCCACAGGGATGGACTCTGGTGTAGCAGTTAGGACAGCTGGTCACTGCTTGCATTCCACCCCCGATTATCTGGGATCAGTTCCAGCTTCTTGCCCTCGTGGACCCGGGAGGCAGTGGTGATGACTCAAGCATTGGGTCCCTGCTGCCCGCATGGGAGATCCGGAGTCGGTTCCTGCCTCCCACCTGCTTTAGGCTTGAGCTTGAGGACCCTCAGCGGGGTTGGGGTGGCTGTCGGGGTGAAGGGGAAGGAGGGAGCGGCCTGGGCTGACGATGGTGGACAAGGGCTATCTGTCACACTGCCAGGCTGACCACAGACCAGCAGGCAGAAGTCCAGGGACACAGGACAATCAGCTTTCTAGCTGTCTGGTCTCCCTGGGAGGAACCAGTGGGGCTGAGACCTACCATGCAGGAGCAACTGCAGACAGGCGGCCAGGGACGGGATTCCCACAGGAAGCAGCTCACACAGCACTGAGAAGTGGTCGTACCTAAGGCCACGAGAGGCGCACTCAGCTCCCCAGCCTTGGCCTCAGCTCCCCAGGTTGTGCTCTGGTCCCTACCCCCCCGCCCAGGCTGTGCTCCAGTCCCTACCCCCCCCCCCAGGCTGTGCTCTGCTCCCTACCGCCCCCAGGCTGTGCTCTGGTCCCTACCTCCCCCCTCCCCCAGGCTGTGCTCTGGTCCCTACCCCCCCCCAGGCTGTGCTCCGGTCCCGACCCCCACCCGGGAGACTGGGCTCCGGTCCCTAAATGAAGGTAAATTGGTTAGTACATTCTGTCCATCAAGGAAACATGAGGAGAATGACAGGAAAATGGGTTATTTTTTTCCTGGAGAGGTAGAGGTTGAGGGGTTCTTGTCCGGAACTAGAGTTAAAGGGTTCAGGGGGGTTGGGAGTAGCCCTCCCCCAGACCCCAATCCCCGGTTTTGTCAAAGCGAAGAAAAACTTAATAGTCCCCCTGGGGGGGGGCACTGCCTGGGGTGAACCCCAGCAATGCCCCAGCCACTGCCCTGAGCGCTGTCCTGAGCAGAGTTGAATGCAGACTGAGGTGGACCAGTGCCACATGGCATGATGGGACTGTGGGAACCATCTAGAAGCTTCTGCAGAGCCAGCTGCTGCCTCCAGCTGTATGGAACAGAATGTGAGGCACAGGTGCCGGGTCAGGAGCACCTGGGTGGCAAGAGGGGCCGGGGACTGAGCTTGTGACCCTGGACTCCGGCCGGCTTCCCCTCAGCAGAGCGGGGGTGAAGGCTTGACCCCCGTGGCTGAGGCCTGAGCTGCTCCCCCTTAGCTGACCTCGGGGGTGCTGGGAGCCACCTGGACCCCCAGGACGGGAGGCCTGAGAGCTCACCTCTGCCAGCCGGTCAGGACGATGCCCCGCAGAGCGTCCGTGGGCGCGCTGCCTGCCACCTGCAGCCACTGTGTGTGGTTGTGGAGGTGGTACTCGATAGGCGGCAGGGCCCGGCTGGCCCCCGTGGCCCCCTTGAAGGCACTTGCCGCCCAGAGGCGTGGGAAGCGGCACTCCCGGAACTTCTCCATGAGGAGGACTGGGGAGAGAGCAGGTGGTGGGCGATCTCGGAGGCCGCACGGCTGACACCATCCCTGTGTCACCCACTCGTCCAGACCCACAGGGAGCAGCCAAACCGCTGAGCCAGACCTAGTCACCAGCTCACCAGGCAAACTCCGCAGAGAACCAGGAAGGGGAAAACTTTTTGTGAAGGGCCAAGATGACCTCATGGCCGTCCCAGGCTGGGCAGGGCACTTCCCGGGTGGAGTCTGGTGGAGCAGGGATAGTGCCCAGGCAGGGGCCGTGCCTGACCTTTCTCATCAAGGCCCATCAGCCACACTAAGGCCAGGCAGTCGGGGTACAGCGGCACGTGGGCCGGCACGTGGGCCGGCACAGGCGCATCCCGGCGACTCGGTACTGACCCTTGCTGTGCACGTCCAGGTCGGCCCCGTAGTCCCAGAGCACTGGCTCCACCAGCCGCGGCAGCCCTGATGCTGGAGACAGAGCAAGGCCATGTGGGGGGACCTGTCCCCACGCCTTGTCCCGCCCCTGGGGCTCATTCTTTCTAAATGGGAGCGTAAATCATTTCTCCTGGCCACAGGTCATACGCGGCCTCAGCACTTGCTTCACTCTGGAAAGTTCCCTGACCAGACGGAACTGCAGGTGGTGACTCTGGGAGCTGGGGGGCCCCTCCCAGGAGGGGCCTCTGCCTCTCTGCTCAGCAGGGCCGCCAGCCCCAGGGCCACTTGGCACACACTGCTAACTGGCGTCAACTTTCATCTGTCTTAACTCGGCAGTGGCTGTCACAAGGATAGGATGCAGGAGCCACTCAGAAGCCCAGGTGGCAGCAGCTTGGCTGGCCCTGGCTCTGCTCTGGGTACAGCAGGGACGTGTTTAGCTCTAGCCCCTGGCACTCCCCTGCAAGATGCCCCAGTGACTGTCACAAATCCCTTACACCTGGTCTTTCCAGGGCAGAACCCTGACGAGGTGGTCAGGGCTCATCCTGCGTGCAGGGCCCTTCTCGGGGGCCTGCCGAGGGAGGTCCCACCCTCACCCCCAGCCCAGCCCCGCACGTCTGACCTGTGAGCTGGTCCTGCGGGATGTCCCGAAGCATGTCATCCCACACCAGGGGCGTCGTGCCGGGGTGCCGGGCCCGCACGTGGCTGGCCACAGCCCTCATGTGGGACAGGCACAGCGCTGCCTTATTGTTGTGCTCCTGCTGCAGCCAGCGCCTCGAGGCCTCGCCTTCGCCCAGGTAATACACCTGGAGGAAGAGGTGGCACGGGTTTGCCGGGTGGCCGCGTGTGGAGAGGGGGAGCTCAGGGCCTTGCTGGCCGACAGTGACCCTGCCTTCTTCCAAGAGGAGGTCCTACGCTGCTTACAGCTCTCACGTCACAGCTGCCACGAGCAGGAGCAGGTCGTGTTCACCAGCAGACAGAGGGTAGCACAAGGTGCCCTGTCTACACGGTGGTCAGTGAGGTGTCCCGTCTACACTGTGGACAGCGCTGACACACTGGTGCCCGTGAGCACTGAGACTGATGTGGGTGCAAGAAGCCTGCTCACAAGGCCATGGCGTGTGACTATGTATGGGACGCGTCCAGAACATGTGACTCCACGCGGGCAGAAAGTGCACTGGCGTTGCCAGAGGGGTTTCCCACGGGTGAAGTGAGGGTTGTGGACTCGATGGTGCACACCCTCAACGCCTCAGGAAGGTGCTGAGGCAGTCACTCTCCCACAGCGGCGGTGGTCGCTGCATTTCATCACAAACACGCGGGCACAGATTTCCTTTAAGAAGGCGGGGACCCTCGGGGGCTGAAACACTTGCCTCCAGCACAGAGCTCACTGACCCGTCCTGGGCTCAGCTCTCCCAGGGTGAAGGGTGGGGCTGCGAGGGCACGTCGCCAGCACTCCCGTGACCCACCTTCCCAGCAAGTCCTTCCGGGCCCTTCTCTCACACCCCAAAACTGCTTTTCTTTAGTAGGAACAGAACAACGCCCTCCACCTCCAATGCAGAGCCTGTGGCATGAACCTGCCCCTGCTGGGGGGAGGGAGCGTGGCCATTTGGGGGCCCAGCCTGCCCAGTGAGTGCAGTCCCACCTGGCCCCAGGCACTGAGCCATCCACCCCCGCAAAGTATGTGCTAGAACAGCCCCCGTGAGTCCTGTCAACTCGCCGGGAACACGGCTTGGGAGGAGGTGAGAGGGTGTGGGAGGAAGCACCCACCTCATCGCATCCGATGTGCAGCCACCGGGCATCTGGGTGCAGCGCCAGCACCTGGTCGATCATGGCTCCCACCAGAGCCAGGGACTCTGGCTCATGGGGGTTCAGGGTGTTGGGGAAGGGCGGTACTTCTCGGAGGTGAGCGAACGTTGCGTGCTTCAGCACAAACTGTGGAGACAGGGGTGGGTAGGGTGCTGACGGGAGGGGGAGGGGGACACAGGGAGGCTGGCGCCTACCCCCTCTACCCTGTACCCTACAGTCCTGGGCAAGAGCCCTCAGCTCTGATCAAGCCCTGAGCTGTCTCTGTTCAGCCGGTCCAGATGGCCCCTGAAGGGACAGAATTTTCCAGAACCTGTTCCTACCTGGCTTCAGTGGCCTTTCTCCAGCTTCCAACTCTAACCGTGGAAAGAAGGCTCCGCCTGCTGACGGCAAGAGCTGGGCACGCCGCCTCTGGCCTCTGGGGTGCAAAGGCGGCGGCAGGGTTCCTCCCCAGAGCAAGCGGAAGCACAGGGTGACTTTGTGAGGGCGGCCCTTTCAGTGGGCGGGCCCCCCGGAGCCTGGCACACACCCACCCCTTGGGGCTACATCCTGAAAGCAGCAACTTGGAGGAAAACCCTGCCTTCTGCTGGCCGAGGCAGACCCCTGGGAGGCAGAGCCATGGAGGACGGTCCAGGCTCTCACAGAGACCTGAGGAGGCCGGGGGGAACTGCCAAACCAGCTCCAAACAAGGGTTCAGGCCTGTGGGATCAGGGTGCCGACAGGACCTCTACCCAAGCCCTTGTGACCTCCAGCTGTGAAGACAGAGGGGTGAGAGTGGGAGGCCACACAGCTGGGGAGGCGGGGGCACCTGTAGAAGGGCTCAGAGGCCAGGTGGCTGGGGAGGGGGGGTCCTCCAGGTGAATCTAGGGGACCCTCCCCAGCACCTCCATAGGGGAGAAAATAAACCTCAGACCTGCTATTACACATTCCCTAAAATGCCCAGTCTTCAACCAAAAACTACAAGACATGCAGACCAACTGGAAAGCAGAAGCCAGACCCAGGGATAGCCCGTCAACAGAGGCTGACTCTGAGCGCGCCCATGTGTGCCAATCAAATCTCTCTGAATGTGCGCAAGAATTAAGGAAAGAGCCCACGGGACAGGCTCTGCAAAAGACCTGAAATGTCAGAAGGCAGTCCAGGACTGTGACAACGAAGAAACAGAAGTCTGTCAAGAGAGGAAGCAGACGGGCAGGGCCTCGGAGAGCTGCGGACCCTGCACAAGTCAACACGCGTGCAGCGGGAGCCCCAGAGGAGGAGGAAGACGATGGGACGACTGAAGAAGCGGCCGGAACGCCACAGAGGCAGATCTAAGTTCAACAGACCCCAACCAGATCAGTGTGAAGAAATCTACATGGAGATGGAGGAAATAAGGCCGCGACCAGACCCAGGAAGGAATGCGGCCCCCGCACGCACCTTGAAAAGTTGCTGCTTGCAATTAGCTGGCGAGGCAGCGCCCGCGGAGCGGAGAGGCCCTGAGCTCTGCCTTCCGTAACTCTAACGATAAATCTGTCCTGTAAGTCTGCCCCGGTTTCTCTTTCATAAACATACTGGGCCCACCGACCATTCAAAGTGTGGTCTCGAGTCACGAAGACCAGTTCCCCTTAAGTTGTCCTAAGTCACACAGGCTGCAATTTAGACCCACCAGTGCTGCAGCGGTTAAGGCATGATGCTGACGAACCTACACATAGTGTAAGAAACCCGTGTTTGATGCTCAGGCTCGGGAAATGATTCCCACTGAACCTGCTGGTGTCAATAAGCCGTTTTCCATCCTCCACCTCTCTGGTGCCTGTTTGAAGGAATGCGGTTTTCCCACCAGGTTTCTGTTACAGAGACACAGCACCATCCGAACACTAACGGCAAGTGCCACAGCAGGTCTTGCAAACCAAGGAAAGCAAAGGAGACTGTGTGGGCAATCAAAATGCAGTCAACAGCTGACGACCATGTTCATGAAGCGGAAACACAGGAAAGAGATAAATTTCCCCCAAACTGATTTATGGAGTTAATGCAACTCCAAAGAAAATCCCAGCAAGGACCAAATCTAAAACATATACTTGTGTGAAGAGGCAAAGCCACTAGACCTCTCTGTCCATGCCCCTCTCTCTCCGCCTCTCAAATGGAAAAGGGAAGTAAGTAAATTAAAAAAACAGAATAGCGAAACAACTCTGAAATTGGAGAAATCACCTTTTTTTTTTTTTTTTTTTTTTTTTTTGACAGGCAGAGTGGACAGTGAGAGAGAGACAGAGAGAAAGGTCTTCCTTTTGCCATGGGTTCACCCTCCAATGCAGGTGCAGGGCCCAAGCACTTGGGCCATCCTCCACTGCACTCCCTGGCCATAGCAGAGAGCTGGCCTGGAAGAGGGGCAACCGGGACAGAATCTGGTGCCCCGACCGGGACTAGAACCCGGTGTGCCGGCGGAGGATTAGTCTATTGAGCCGCGGCGCCGGCCATATCACCTGATTTTAACTCACAAGAAGCAGTAAATGGCATCAGCAACAGACATGCAGATCCGTGAAGCAGAGTATCCTGGGAACGAACGCTCACAATGCGGCCAAGCGGCTGCTGATGAAGCAGAGGCAGCGTGGCAGCAGGGCCGAGGGGCATCGGCCCTGTCAGGAGGGTCTCACAGCCAGCCCGGAGCTGGTGTAGACAAGGGTGGTGCGGGCAGGCTGGAGGGAACAGGGACCATGACACGAAGAGCAGGCGTGGGACTGATCTGGGTTGCCCAACCTGAGACTTGGAGGGGTCCTCGGTGGAGACACAGCAGGCTGGGGACAGGGCCTGGGAGTCACTGAGGTGTGGACAGGAAGGGGAGTTAGGAGCAGAAATGGCAGAAGGCAGAGGAAGAGCGGGAGGTGGGGAGGGGCCCAGCTGGAGCAGCTCCAGGCGCCCAGGATGCGGGACAGTGAGGAGGGGAAGCAGAAGGCCGGGATCCCAGGAGGGGCGTCCACTGAGGGCCCAAGGAAGAGAGGACTGGGACCCAGGACGGAATCCGAGATGTCGGGGACACTGGTGGCCTCAACAGACGTTCTGCGATTGCAGAGCCAAGAACGCACACCGAACTCAGAACCCAGGAGAGCGCAGGGAGCATGCACCCAGCGCGCGCAGGCCAGACCGGGAGAGCTCCAGAGCCACGGGAGAGGCCTGTCCACGTGGAAACCAGGAGGTTCCTGCGCGGTGTGAGCCACGGCAGGAAGGGAGGGGCGGGCAACAAATCCCACCTGTGTCCCTAGGACAGAGTCAGTGCTGTAGCTTCATGTGTTTCCCATGTGTTTGACACAGACATGAAAAACACGTTTGGGAAATTATTCTCAATCTTGACTGAGACAAAGACATAAACTGAAAATTAAAAGCAGGTTTTCTTAATAGTTATTGAAGGGAATTAAATTACCTTCAACAAATACAATGTAAAAAGCAAACGCGGGGCTGGGGGGCTCCATCTCCTCCCTGCTCACTAATTCAGGACTCTCTTACATAATGGTTGCAGATTTATCTGTTTCCCCAAGTAGACTATGAACAACTTGACAGTGTCAACCATTTCTAACTCATCTTTTGAACCTCTAGCATCTTTTAAAAATTTTTTATTTGAAAGAAAGAGAGAGGGAGGGAGAGGGGGAGGGGGAGAGAGAGAGGGGGAGAGGGAGAGAATTCTACCCACTGGTTAATTCCCCAAATACCCAGAACTGGGAGCGGGCCAGTTTGAGGCCCGGAGCCAGGAACTCCACCCTGGCACCCCCACGGGTGGCAGGGACCCGAGTGTTTAAACCAGCATCTGAGGCCTACCAGGTGCATGAGCAGGCAGCTGGGTCAGCAGCCGAGGCCAGGCTTGAGCCCAGGCAAGTGAACGGAAGATTGATCCCTCTCTTTCAAATAAAATTTTCAAATAAACAACTCTTTGTAAAAAAAGTTCATGGAAAATGTTCATGGAAAATGCAAGAAAAAACTAAGCATGGATTTCACAACTTTTTTACTAAAATAAACTTTTTAATTAAAAAAAAATGCCACCTGGCCCCATGGAAGTCACTCACCCCTTCTGTCCCTCTCCCTCTGTTCCGCCCTGGCCTGGCATCATCTGGCCTCTGGCCTCTTGGTGCAGGGCTGAGCTGGAGGCCCCTGGACCCTATGCCTAGCACCAGGTGACTTCTACTTGGGCCACTCACCTCCATGTGTCCAAATGTCTGGACCAAGGGGATGACCTCCAGCTCGCTCAGTCTGGCCAGATGCAAGATCTCTTTGACTTCAGAGGGGCTGGGGAGACAAAAGCCACCCAGAAGCTCACGCCTGAGGTCAGCACAGCCACTCTCACACCCCCACCCCCACCCCCACCAGGCCCTGGAGGGTCCTCTGGGAAAACACGAGGCTGCCACCTCCTCGGAGCCCACAGGTCCCGGGAGGGCATTACATCCCCTAGTAAGTCTGCTTTTCCCAGCTGCTCCTACCCAGACACTACAGGGTGATGTCACCCACCCAGAGTAGGGACTGGCAGCCCGGCCCAGGGCAAATTCGCCTGCCACCCGTGCATCCCTTGGTCCCCTCAGGCCAGCACTCCACTGTCTGGAGGTCACGTCCCACTGTCCCGTGCCTACCTTTCCCTTTCTCACAAGCTCCATTGTGAGCGGTCATCTACAAATTTATCTCAGAAATAAAGCTACTGAACAAACAAGAGTATGTGCGGGACAGTGGTTCATTCATACGAACTGCTCATTCAGGGATCTGATGAACAATAGGTCCCATTATGATAAGGCTACGGAGCGCTTGGGGCCAGAAAGTATCACCGTGCTGGCCAGTGTGCTGAAACCAGAAATCTTAGAGGTTTGCCTGCTGGAGTCTTACGTGAGAATAGCCCAAAATAAAGATATTTCTCTTTTACACAAAAAGCGAGCAAGCACGCGCCGACTTCCAGCTCGGGCCCTCTCCGCCTCCGTCCGCCCCTGTTCCAGCTCGGGCCCTCTCCTCCTCGGGTCCGCCCCTGTTCCAGCTCAGGTCTACCCCTGTTCCAGCTCGGGCCCTCTCCGCCTCCGGTCTGCCCCTGTTCCAGCTCAGGCCCTCTCCGCCTCCGGTCTGCCCCTGTTCCAGCTCGGGCCCTCTCCTCCTCCGGTCCGCCCCTGTTCTCGGGCCCTCTCCGCCTCCGTCTACCCCTGTTCCAGCTCGGGCCCTCTCCGCCTCCGTCTACCCCTGTTCCAGCTCGGGCCCTCTCCTCCTCGGGGCTCGGGTCTGCCCCTGTTCCAGCTCGGGCCCTCTCCGCCTCCGTCTACCCCTGTTCCAGCTCGGGCCCTCTCCGCCTCCGTCTACCCCTGTTCCAGCTCGGGCCCTCTCCTCCTCGGGGCTCGGGTCTGCCCCTGTTCCAGCTCGGGCCCTCTCCGCCTCCGTCTACCCCTGTTCCAGCTCGGGCCCTCTCCGCCTCCGTCTACCCCTGTTCCAGCTCGGGCCCTCTCCTCCTCCGGTCCGCCCCTGTTCCAGCTCGGGCCCTCTCCGCCTCCGTCTGCCCTGTTCCAGCTCGGGCCCTCTCCGCCTCCAGTCTGCCCCTGCCCAGGGGCACAAACGTGGAGCCCGAGTGCGCCCGTACCCTCCCACGGCAGCAGCAGGAGCCTTGCCTGCTCTCTTCGCACACACAGCGCATTGTCAGTTTTTGGTTTGTTTTTTTTTTTTTTTTTTTTTTTTTGACAGGCAGAGTGGACAGTGAGAGAGAGAGACAGAGAGAAAAGTCTTCCTTTGCCATTGGTTCACCCTCCAATGGGCGCTGCGGCGCACCGCGCTGATCCGATGGCAGGAGCCAGGAGCCAGGTGCTTCTCCTGGTCTCCCATGGGGTGCAGGGCCCAAGCACCTGGGCCATCCTCCACTGCACTCCCTGGCCACAGCAGAGAGCTGGCCTGGAAGAGGGGCAACCGGGACAGAATCCGGCGCCCCGACCGGGACTAGAACCCGGTGTACCGGCACCGCTAGGCGGAGGATTAGCCTAGTGAGCCGCGGCGCCGGCCCGCATTGTCACTTTTTGAAAACGTTGCTGATCTGGCACTGCATGGTAACTTCCGCTCCCCCTGTTGCCACGCGAGGCCTAACACCTCTCCCAGCCTCACCGGGCCTCCCTGTTTCCTCTCGGGTCGTTCGTTCCCGGCCGTCTCCCTGCCTGCTCCGCTCCCGGACTGCGGCCCAAGGAGCAGCCTGCCTCCCTGCAGAGGGGAGCGGCGCCCTTCCTGCCTGATGCTGCCGTCTCGTTCAGATGTTTCCAGATTTCTTCAGGGACACGCTACATTCCACACGTTTTGGTTTTATATTTAATTCTTCTTGTAAGAAAAGTACCCAGCACGGCCAGGCTGCGCCCGCCCGCCCGCGGGGCCCTACCTGTAGGCGTGCGTGGCCCTCAGCAGCCTCAGGCGGCCCTCGTAGGGAAACGTGTCCTCATATTCCACGAGGAGGCCGTTCGCGCCGAGCTCGCGGAACAGAGGGAAAACCTGCGGCAGGCGTGGGAAAGCGGCTGGGCCAGGGCCGCGGTGGCCGGCAAAAGCCCCGCCCGGCGCCCGGCGCAGCCCGCGGCCCGCGTCCTCCGCCGCTGCCCCCACCCCGCTCCGCCCGGAGCCCAGGGTTCGCGCGCGGGTGCGGACAGACGCGGGCCCCGCGCGAGGGGCCTCACCTCCGCGAGGTACGAGACCTTGGGCGGGGCTCCCTTGAGGTCCAGATGGACCAGCCTCCTCTCGAACGGCGCGGCCCCCGACATCCAGGACTGCGGGCGGGCTCCGGCCACCCACGCCCTCCGTCAGGACCCTGGGCTGGGGGAGACCCCGGGTGAGCGCGCCCCGCCGCGGCCGCCTGAGGGCCCGGCCTCGGACACCCGCCTCAGGGCCCGCCGCGCCGGCCGAGCGCCCGGCTGCTGGAAAACGTCTTAGCAACCAAACCCACGTCCCAGGGGACATTACTAACGGGGCGCCCCGCGGCTGCGGACGCGGACGGCCCGCCTGAGCGCAGCCCGGCCCGCGCTCGCCAGTCCCGCCGGCGCTCGCCACTCCCGCCCGCCCTCGCCACTCCCGCCCGCCCTCGCCACTCCCGCCCGCGGCCGCGCGCAGGTGAGGCCGGGCGCGCAGTGGGCAGCGCGCGCACCTGGGGGCGCGCCTCGGCCGCCGGCCGCCGAGGGAGGAGGCCCCGCCCCGCTCGACCGCTCGGCCGCCGACTGCTCGCGCCTGGCCGCCAGCCCCGGGGCCGACGGCCGAACGCGACGCGCCAGCGTCCCCGCGCCGCCTCGCGCTTCCTGTCACCGAGCGCGTCCCCGGGCTCGGCGGCTCCCGCGTGCGGCCCGAGCCGATGGCCCCACAGCGGAGGGGAGCGCCCAGGGCGCCCGACGGCAGCACGGCAGCCGAGCGCCGGCGCCCGAGCAGGTAGCGGCGAGCGCGGAGCCGGCGGGCGGGCGGGGCCTGCGGCGGGCGGGCGGGGCCTTTGTCGTGGCGGGCGGGGCCTGCGGCGGGCGGGCGGGGCGTGATGGGCGTGGTCTGCAGGTCGCTTCTGCCCCCGCCCGGGCTGGAGGAGGGTCTCTCCGGGTCCGCCTGCGGCCGGGCCGGGCCGGGCCGGGCGCTGCGGTGGCTCTGGTCTCTGCGGCTGGACTGCGTGGCGGCGCGGGGCCCTCACCTGCCCATCCGCCTTGCTGTTCCTGGCCGCGGCGAGGCCCTCCGTCTGGCCCCAGGACCCCCGGTCTTGTCCCTTCGGCCTCCCTTAGGGCGCTGGGGGGCGCGGAGCAGGGGCAGCGCCTGCGTGAGCGAATGGACGGGGCCGGGGGTGGCTCTGGCCTGGGCGCAAGTCCGCTGGCACAGTGCACCGGGGAGTCGGAGGGCGCGGCGGGCGCAAAACCGCTCCCTGGGGGACGCAAGCAAGCCCCCAGCCCCACCCCGCGGCCTCCGCCGGCTCTGGTCCAGTTGCGGGGAGGCTGGGGTGCGGGGCCTGAAGCCGCAGCCGGTCGGCCGCCCGCACCGCGTCTCAGCTGCCACCTCCCCGTGCCCCGCTGTCCCTCCCTGCTTTGGGGCCTGGGAGCCCGGGAGCCGCCTGGTTGATGGGCATCGGCTGAGCGGCCTCTGCGGAGTTTGAGGCTGGAAGTCGGCCACGGCCCCACACCTGGGCCCTCCTCGTCGGCTTCCCGCCCTGGCCCCCGTCCCTGCCTAAGTTCCACCTGCCTGCGGCTCCCAGGGCTCTGATACCGCCGCCAGGCCACACTGCCCTGCCGGGTGCAGGGCCCCTTGCCCAGGACTCCCACCGGCCTTTGACACCTGATGTCAGCCCCTCCTGGAGCCTCAGCCCTCAGTCCCCGCCCTCCCTCCCGGGTCTCTCCGTGGTGGTTTGGCCAGGCTGGCCGCCACCAGGCTTCCTGGCCCGGGGGCCACACCTGGGGGTGATGTGAGTGTGCTGACGCGAGGGCTGCTGCTAGCGTGGACGTTTGACGTGGGGAACTGCGGGAGCTCCCGACAAGTGTGGACAGAGCAGGGATGGGGAGGGGGCTTCTGTCTCATGAGCCTGCTGTGCAGCGGCTGGCAGGTCAGGGCCCACACACCCAGCAACCCGAGCTGGCAGCGCTCCGCGGGCCGCCTGCCCTAGGATCTGGAGGGCTCAGGGGGGACAGCCCACATCTAGGGGGAGGGACAGCCTGCATCTAGGGGCTCAGTGGGGGGCAGCCTGCACCTAGGGGCTCGGGGGGGACAGCCCGTGTCTAGGGGCTCAGTGGGGGGGCAGCCCACATCTAGGGGCTCAGGGGGGACAGCCCGCGTCTAGGGCCTCAGGGGGGACAGCCCGCGTCTAGGGCCTCAGGGGGGACAGCCCGTGTCTAGGGGCTCAGGGGGGACAGCCTGTGTCTAGGGGCTCAGGGGGGACAGCCTGTACCTAGAGGCTCGGGGGGACAGCCCGTGTCTAGGGGCTCAGTGGGAGACAGCCTGCACCTAGGGGCTCAGTGGGGGGGGACAGTCTGCGTCTAGGGGCTCAGGGGGGACAGCCCACGTCTAGGGGCTCAGGGGGGACAGCCCGTGTCTAGGGGCTCAGGGGGGACAGCCCGCGTCTAGGGGCTCAGTGGGGGACAGCCCGTGTCTAGGGGCTCGGGGGGGCAGCCTGCACCTAGGGGCTCAGGGGGGACAGCCCACATCTAGGGGCTCGGGGGGGACAGTCCGTGTCTAAGGGCTCAGTGGGGGACAGTCCGCGTCTAGGGGCTCAGTGGGGGACAGCCCGCGTCTAGGGGCTCGGGGGGGACAGTCCGTGTCTAGGGGCTCGGGGGGGGGACAGTCCGTGTCTAGGGGCTCGGGGGGGGACAGCCCGCGTCTAGGGGCTCGGGGGGGGGACAGCCCGTGTCTAGGAGCTCAGTGGGGGGACAGTCCGCGTCTAGGGGCTCGGGGGGGACAGTCCGCGTCTAGGGGCTCGGGGGGGACAGCCCGTGTCTAGGAGCTCAGTGGGGGGGGGACAGTCCGCGTCTAGGGGCTCAGGGGGGACAGCCCGTGTCTAGGGGCTCAGTGGGGGACAGCCCATGTCTAGGGGCTCAGTGGGGGGGACAGCCCACATCTAGGGGCTCAGGGGGGACAGCCCGTGTCTAGGGGCTCAGGGGGGGACAGCCCGTGTCTAGGAGCTCAGTGGGGGACAGCCCGTGTTTAAGGGCTCAGTGGGGGACAGTCCACGTCTAGGAGCTCAGGGGGGACAGCCCGCATCTAGGGGTTCGGGGAGGGGGGACAGCCCACATCTAGGGGCTCAGGGGGGACAGCCCATGTCTAGGGGCTCAGTGGGGGACAGCCCGCGTCTAGGGACTCGGGGAGGGGGGACAGCCCGTGTCTAGGGGCTCAGTGGGGGACAGCCCGTGTCTAAGGGCTCAGTGGGGGACAGCCCGCGTCTAGGGGCTCAGGGGGGACAGTCCGCGTCTAGGGACTCGGGGAGGGGGGACAGCCCGTGTCTAGGGGCTCAGTGGGGGACAGCCCGTGTTTAAGGGCTCAGTGGGGGACAGTCCACGTCTAGGAGCTCAGGGGGGACAGCCCGCGTCTAGGGGCTCAGGGGGGACAGCCCATGTCTAGGGGCTCAGTGGGGGGACAGCCCGTGTCTAGGGGCTCAGTGGGGGGACAGCCCGTGTCTAGGGGCTCGGGGGGGACAGTCCGCGTCTAGGGGTTCGGGGAGGGGGGACAGCCCGCGTCTAGGGGCTCAGTGGGGGGACAGCCTGCGTCTAGGGGCTCGGGGGGGACAGCCCGCGTCTAGGGGCTCGGGGGACAGCCGTGTCTAGGGGCTCGGGGGGGACAGTCCGCGTCTAGGGGCTCGGGGGGGACAGTCCGCGTCTAGGGGCTCGGGGAGGGGGACAGCCGTGTCTAGGGTTTAGAGCTCACTCGTGGTCTGGTGTGTGTCACGGGTGCGTGATCTTTCAGCACACAGAGCGGCAGTGTGGATCCCGTGCTGTCTGCTCGTTGGGGCTTTCCTGACCTTGCTGTTGCCAAGGTCCGTGTTGAATCCATCAGTTAAGATACGTCTGGAAGGGCTGGCGTTGCGGCGCTGGCATCCCGTGAGGGCACCAGTTTGAGTCCAGCTGCTCCACCTCCAAGCCAGCTCCCTGCTGGTGCTCCCTGGAAGGCAGACGAAGACGGCCCAAGTCCTTGAGCCCCTGCACCCACCTGGAGACCTGGAAGAAGCCCCTGGCTCCTGGCTTTGGCCTGGCCCAGCCCTGGCTCTTGTGACCATTTGGGAAGTGAACTAGCATATGGAAGATCTCTCTTCCTCTGTGAAATTCTGCCAAATAAATAAATCTTTTTTTAAACAACGTCGTCTGGAGGACGCTAGGCTCAGGCTACGTGACCCTTAAATCTGGTGGTTTGTTCCTGAGAGGAGTTCTGTCCCTTTTTGTCCCGGCCGCTCTCGGATTCTCCTGGATAAGGTCTCAGATACCTCGTCTGACCTGCAGCCGCGGTCTGACTGAGCGTGGGTAACCCACAGAGCCTTTCTAAGCACCCCCCAAAGCAGAGCTCCTAAAGAACGTGTCACACAAGAACATTTGTCTGTCCCTCCCTCCATCCTAGTTCAGTCGACAATCTGAAACGCTTCCGTTGTAACTTTGCTGAAATACTGTGTAGGAGCTTTGGCCAGCCCTGCCTGTCGGGCTGGGTCCCAGGCTGCCCCCTGAGAGGGGGTGCCCGGGGCGGGCGGCACTTCTGGTCCCTCACCGCCTGCTTCCCTGGCACAGGCGGCCACTTCCGTGTTGACAGAGGCCCAGCCTGGGCTGCCCACCGTTGAGCGTGCGTGTGAGTGACAGCAGTTGTTTCCTGTTCTCAGCACCAAGAAGGACCGGGCCCTGCGGGAGGTGCCAGGGGCGTGCCTGAGGACTGCAGGCCTGGGGGCCGGCCTCGCGCTGGCCGCACTCCTGCTCTGGAGCAGTCTGGGGACCGACGACGGTGTCACCGAGGTCCTGGCTCGCCGCGGAGAGCTTGTGGCAGGAAGGTTCGTCGAGGTGCCCTGCTCCGAGGACTACGACGGGCACCGGAGGTTTGAAGGTACGGAGCCCAGGAAGACAGGCAGCCTGCGTCTGAAGTGCACCTCGCCTCTTGGGAGGACCGTGGTGCGGGCGGCAGAGGTGGCTGCCCCCCACCCCCAGGGAGGGCCCGCCATCTGCTGGGACGTAGCAGGTTCAGAATGAGGAAGGTGGGGGTGAGGAAGCTGAAACCAGGAGAGTTGACTGTGGAGCCTTCAGGGTCCCAGCTCCTGCAGCTGGTTCCCCGGGAGCAGGTGGCACTCTGGCCTGGCGGAGGCGGGAGTGGGGTGGAGCCACGGGGCGGGGGGGCGGGCCAGGGGCAGCGTTCAGCACCCTGGAGAGCACACCGCCCAGTAGGGCTGACCCCAGCCTGAGCTGCTGTGTTTTCCAGAATGTTCTGTGCTACTGGATGTGTTCTCAGTTTCACAAAGCCAACCTAGCACCGACGGCTGGGTTTTCAGAGGCGGAATTCGGCTTTTCATCGGCGGCAATGCTTCGGGCCCGAACCAAGGGAAGACTGCCAGTGCTTCCACAGAGGAGCTCCCGGGAGGAGCTGCTCTGGACAGAATCCCGAGGGAGGATGAGCCCACGTCTGTTGCATGGGCTCTGTGTCCTCATAGACTTTTCCCTGGACCTCCGGCTTTCAAGACAGTTTTTGGTAGTTGGCATTGAAGAGAAGTGTCTCCCTGCCCATTTAATAATTTAGCACCATGTAGAGTGGCTGAAGGCGCAGGTGCTTGGCCCAGCTGTTCAGTCAGTCCAGCAGTTAGAGTGACTGCGCCCCACATGGGATTGCCTGGCTCTGAGCCCTGGCCCCGGCTCCTGACTCCAACTTCCTGCCAGTGTAGACCCGGGACGCAGCAGATGATGGCCCCTGCCACCCATGTGGGAGACCTGGATTGTGTTCCCAACTCGGGCTTTGTTCTGGCCCAGTCCTGGCCCTTGTGGGCAGCATAGAGGAGCATTTTGTCTGTCTCTTAATTTTAAAAGAGGGAATGAGGAAGAGGGAATGGAAATTAAGTTTTTTTTTTTTTAAATGTTCATCATTAAAAAAATTCATTTTAGAGGCAGACAGATAGAGTGAGCTCCCATCTGCTGGGTCGTGCTCCAAATGCCCTCGACGGCTAAGACTGGGCCAGGCCGAGGCTGAGAACCGGGGTCTCAGTCCCAGTCTCTGACGTGGGTGGCAGGGACCCAAGTACTCGTGCCATCACCTGCTGCCAGGGTGTGCATCAGCAGAAGCTGGAGTTGGGTTCAGAGCCAGGACGTGAACCCGGCACTCGGTGTCGGCTGTGGTGTCACACGTGGGCCAGGTGCCTGCCTGGGAGTGAATGTTTGATGGGAAGATGGGAAATTCTGCAGGTGGCGATGGTGGCACAGCCGTGTGCCTGTGTCCAGTGCAAGCTGGGTGTGATCTGATTTATAAGAGAGAGGTGACGGGAAGGCACCCCTTTAACTTTAAACCTGATTCCATTTCCTCCTGTGGCCCCTCGGGACCCTGTGTCTGGCACTTGGGCTGGCTATGAAATGTCGCCTGTGACTGCCCATTCCGGCCCTAGGCACGTGTGTTACTGCGTGTTTGTGGCGTGTACACACACCTGTGCTGCTGACGCTTCCTCACAGTGAGACACACGTGGTCACTGCTGGGCAGCGCTGCGCTGTCCTCTGCTGCCTGCGTGGGTTACCTCCTCTCCCCATGGTTCTGTTTCTCGCTCTCTTTTTTTTAAAAAGATTTATTTATTTATTTGAAAGGCAGAAGGAGGCAGAGAGATCCTCCATTCCTCGATGGCCTCAGTGGCCGGGACTGGGCTGGCTGAAACCAGAAGCTTCCAGGTCTCCACATGAGTGCAGGGCCCGAGCACTGGGGCCGTCCTCCACTGCTTTCCCAGGTGCACTAGCACGGAGCTGCATCAGAAGTGGAGCAGCCAGGACTCGAACCAGCGCCCATAGGGGATGCCAGTGCCGCAGGCAGAGGCCTAATCTGTTGTGCCACAGCACCAGCCCCTCTGCTTCTCTTTTAACAAATTTATTTTGGGGCTAGTGCTGTGCTCACCGGGTTAAGCCACCGCCTGCATCGCTGGCATCCATGTGCACACTGGATTGGGTCGCAGCCGCTCCACTTCCCATCCAGCTCCCTGCTAATGCACCTGGGAAAGCAGCAGAGGATGCGCCAAGTGCCTGAGCCCCTGCGCCCATGTGGGAGACCCGGAAGAAGCTCCTGCTCCTGGCTTTGGCTTGGCCCAGCCCTGGTTATTGTGGCCATTTGGGGAGTGAACCAATGGATGGAAGGTCTCTCTTTCTGTCTCTCCTCTCTCTGTAACTCTGCCTTTCAAATAAATCTTAAAAATTTTTGTTTTCATTTTATTTGAAAGGCAGAGAGAGGCAGAGATCTTCCATCGACTGGTTCACTCCCCAAATGCCCACAACAGCCATGGCTGTGACAGGCCAAAGCCAGGAGCCTGGAACTCTAAACAAGGCTCTCACGCGGGTGGCAGGGACCCAAGCAAGTACTTGGGCCATCGCCTGCTGCCTCCCAGGGTGTGCATTAGCCGGAAGCTGGATTGGGCGCTGAGGCCTTCTGAGAAGGGTTGCACACGTTCCAAGCAGCGTCTTAGCCACTGCACCAGAACCCGCCCGTGGGTCCTGTTTTCTTGCTTTCTTGCAACTCTGCTTCAGTTTGCCACCACAGGTTGTGAATCTCACCCACCAGGCCCTGGATATTATTTTTATAAGATTTTTATTTATTTATTTGAGAGGTAGAGTTACAGACAGTGAGAGGGAGAAACAGAGAGAGGTCTTCCTTCCATTGGTTTACTCCCCAGATGGCTGCAATGGCCGGAGCTGTGCTGATCCGAGGCCAGGAGCCCGGTGTTTCTTCCCAGTCTCCCATGCAGGTGCAGGGCCCAAGCACTCAGGCCATCCTCCACTGCCTTCCCAGGCCACAGCAGAGAGTGGATTGGAAGAGGAGCAGCTGGGACTAGAACCAGCGCCCATAAGGGATGCTGGCACCACAGGCGGAGGATTAACCCACTGCACCACGGCGCTGCCCCCCCCCCCGGATATTCCTGTGTCTTGTACACACTTCTGAGCCCTGCCTTGGGTGGCTGGTGCCACCTGGGGGTAGGTGGGCCTTTTGGATCTTGCCTGAAGCTTTGCTGTGAAGAACCAGAGCAGCGTTTGGCTGTAAGTCCCCTGTCCCAGGCGAGATCCTGTCCTGTCCTGCGTCTGTCAGTGTCCCCTGATCCCTGCCTCATGCTTGTGTCAGCCCCTCGTCACAGGGGCCCACTGTCCTCTATTAGCCCACCAGTTATTTGGAAGCATTTTGTTTACTTACTTATTTAATTTACTTAGAAAGACAGCATGACCAAGAGGGGAGACACAGAGAGAAATCTTCCATCCACTGTTGCCCTCCCCACACTTAACTCAGTTTAACCTAAGCCAGGCTGAGCCAGGAGCCGGGCACTCCAGCTGGGTCCCCCACGTGGGTGCAGGAGCCAAGCACTTGGGCCTCTTCCGCTGCCTCCTAGGGTGCATGGTACAGGGAGCTGGATCGGAAGGGTGGAGTAGCCAGGATTTGAGCCAACATTCCGATATGGGACGTGTGTGTTCCCAACTGTGGGTTAACCCACTGTGCCGTGCCTTCTCCTGGGAGCATGTTTTTAAAATGCCAACATTCGGGGCCAGTGCCGTGGCATAGTAGATTAAGCCTCTGCCTGTGGTACTGGCATCCCATATGGGCACTGGTTCGAGTCTTGGCTGCTCCACTTCTGTTCCAACTCTCTGCTATGGCCTGGGAAAGCAGTAGAAGATGGCCCAAGTGCTTGGGCCCCTGCACCCATGTGGGAGACCCAGAAGAAGCTCCTGGCTCCTGGCTTCGGATCAGCCCAGCTCCTGGCGTTGCAGCCATTTGGGGAGTGAACCAGTGGATGGAAGACCTCTCTCTGTGTCTCTTCCTCTCTCTGTACATAATTCTGCCTCTCAGATAAATAAATAAAATATTTTTTAAAAATGCCAGCATTAGGCCGCCGCCGTGGCTCACTAGGCTAATCTTCCGCCTTGCGGCGCCGGCACCCCGGGTTCTAGTCCCGGTTGGGGCACCGGATTCTGTCCCGGTTGCTCCTCTTCCAGTCCAGCTCTCTGCTGTGGCCCAGGAGTGCAGTGGAGGATGACCCAAGTGCTTGGGCCCTGCACCCGCATGGGAGACCAGGAGAACCACCTGGCTCCTGGCTTCGGATCAGCACAGTGTGCCAGCTGCAGCAGCCATTGGAGGGTGAACCAACGGTAAAGGAAGACCTTTCTCTCTTCTCTCTCTCTCACTGTCCACTCTGCCTGTCCCCCCCCCCCAAAAAAAAAAAAAGGGCTGGGAAGACAATTACCTTTGTCATAGCCTCCCTAAAAAAAAAAATGCCAGTGTTCATGGAGTCTTGGTTTTATGTTTGGAAAAATTTGTTTCCAACCCAATGCATTGTAGTTAGGAGAAAACTGCGGTACAGATCCTCTGACATTGGCCCTGGCTTTCTTCCTGCTGAGAGGGTGATGGGTTTATGTGCCCATTCCATGTGTGCCTGGGAAGTGCCTGTGAGTCCTGTGTGCTTCGTCCAGCCCACACCATGTGCACACGGAGCTGCGTGGCTTGACCTGTCCCGAGTGTCCAGTGCCACAGACGGACACCGCAGCCAAGTGTGGTGCCCTGTGACCCCTGGCCCCAGGCCCCAGCACTCAGCACCGAGCGTTGCCTTGTCCAGTGTGGGGCTGCTGGAGGCTCGGGGCGCCCAGTGAGCTCCAGCTCCGGGGGTGTCCTGTCCAGTGTGGCGCCCAGTGAGCCCCGGCTCCGGGGGTGTCCTGTCCAGTGTGGCGCCCAGTGAGCCCCGGCTCCGGGGGTGTCCTGTCCAGTGTGGCGCCCAGTGAGCCCCGGCTCCGGGGGTGTCCTGTCCAGTGTGGCGCCCAGTGAGCTCCGGCTCCGGGGGTGAGCACTGGGTACACTGTTGCTTTTTCTGAGATTCACAAGGAGCCAGGTGTTTGCTAAGCTGCCCCCTCGCCTATGGAAGGGCCTGGCCTGCCCATTCCACCAAATCCCTTGCCCTCAGCAGGTGGGGGCGTCCCAGAGGCGTCGCTGGGACTCAGGGTTTCACTCTGGTTGTCGTCCCTCCAGGCTGCACCCCCAGGAAGTGTGGCAGAGGCGTCAGCGACGTTGTCATCACCAGGGAGGAGGCGCAGCGGATCCGCAGGTGCCTATGTCTTGGCTTTGTTCCCGCGTGTCTGTGGGTCAGGTTTTTACTTTTTTTTTTTCTATTTACTTATGTATTTGAAAGCCAGAGTTACAGACAGAGATAGAGAGATCTTCCGTCCGCTGTTTCACTCTCAACGTAGCTGCAACAGCCAGGACTCCGCCAGGCCGAGGCCAGGAGCCAGGGATTCCATCCGGGTTTCCTGTGTGGGCGCAGGGGCCCAAACGCTGGTTCCTTTCCTGCTGCTTTTCCCAGGCTGTTCACAGAGAATGGGATGGGATGCGGAGCAGTGCCACTGGGGTGCCTGCCGGTGTTGCTACTAGGCCACAGTGCCAGCCCTGAGGGTCGGGAGAGCCCGTGAAGTGGGAAGTGGACAGGTGAGGAGGCAGGAAACCACACTGAGATGACTTTGGGGCCAGCGCTATGGTGCAGTGGGTTAACGCCCTGGCCTGAAGCGCTGGCGCCAGTTCGAGACCCGGCTGCTCCACTTCCAATCCAGCTCTCTGCTACAGCCTGGGAAAGCAGTGGAGGATGACCCAAGTCCTTGGGCCCCTGCACACACGTGGGAGACCAAGAAGAAGCTCCTGTTTACTGGCTTCGAATCAGCACAGCTCTGGCTGTTGCGTCCATTTGGGGAGTGAACCAGTGGATGGAAGACCTCTCTCTCTCTCTGCCACTCCTCTCTCTGTGTAACTCTGACTTTCAAATAAATAAATAAATCTTTAAAAAATGACTTAGAAGAGCATTACAATGCCACGTGTGTTCCCTGTGGGACAGCCCCGCCCCTGTCCTCAGTGTCACAGCCCCGTCAGTCCTCAGTGTCACAGCCCGTGTCCTCAGTGTCATGGCCCCGTGTCAGTCCTCAATGTCACACCCGTGTCCTCAGTGTCACAGCCCGTGTCCTCAGTGTCACAGCCTGTGTCAGTCCTCAGTGTCACAGCCCTGTGTCAGTCCTCAGTGTCACAGCCCCGTGTCAGTCCTCAGTGTCACGCCCCGTGTCCTCAGTGTCACGCCCCGTGTCCTCAGTGTCACGGCCCCGTGTCCGTCCTGTATTTTCTGTCGTGCGTGCGTCCCATGTCTGTGTCAGTTCCTGCCGAGCCCTCCCACGTCCGCCCTCGTGTTTCCATCCTGTCCATCCCTGGGAGCCTTCGAGGGCAGAGGTCTTGTTCTGTGGAAGAGGCCGTAACTCTCCCTGGTGCTGCTAGAATGTTCTGGGCCTGGTCTCCTTCCAGGGAAGATGCTGCCACAGCCTTTGAGGGCGCCCCAAACGCCTGCCTGTGGAGACCCACGTGCACTGCCCTGGGCAGACGGTCACGTGTGCATGGCCCTGGGGTGGACGGTCACTGATCCAGAGTGGGGTTGGGTTCGGCCTGTAGCCGACCCTGCCATGGCCCCTGGACAGCACAGACACCTCCTCAAAAGCAGGTGGTGCTGGACTTGTTTGTTTGAAAGGCAGAGAAACAGGGAGAAAAGAGGGAGAGCGACCGATCTTCCATCCAGTGCCTCACTCCCCAAATCACCGCAGTGGCCAGGGCTCGGCAGCTGAATGCAGGCGGCAGGAGCCCCATCCAGGTCTCCCGCATGGGTGCAGGAGCACAGGCACTCTGGCCACCTTCCACTGCTTTTCCAGGAGCACGAGCGGGGAGCTGGGTTGGCGTGGGGCAGCCGGGACCCAGCTGGTGCTCGTGGGGGACGCCGGTGTTGCGGGCGGGGGGCTTCCGTGCTGCCCCTCCCGTTATTTCTGGCATTTCTCTGAGGGAATCGGTGTCTAGGCCAGGGTCTGCAGGCCCTGGGAGGTCCTGGCCCTGCAGGAGTCTGGGTCCTTTCTGGCCCCGGGCAACTCGCAGGTCGTCATCCTCCTACCCTGAGCTGTGACTGTCAAAGGGGACCCCTTGCCCAGGGACCCCAGGAGTGTGTCCACAAGTACCCCCCCCAACACGGCCACAGGACTGCGGGACGTTAGACAAAATTTAGCTCCCAGTCCCCAAGCCTAGCCGTGTGTCAAAGGGGACAGTGACGTGGTTGTCTCACTTAGCCGAGTCCAGCCCTGTGCTCAAGCGCTTGTCTACACCACAGCACCAAACCAGCAGGGCCGTGCCACAGGGCCGTGCCACAGGGCTGTGCCAGCAGGGCCGTGCCACAGGGCTGTACCCCAGGGCTGTACCACAGGGCTGTACCCCAGGGCTGTACCAGCAGGGCTGTGCCACAGGGCTCTACCACAGGGCTGTGCCACAGGGCTCTACCACAGGGCTGTACCCCAGGGCTGTACCACGGGGCTGTACCACGGGGCTGTACCACGGGGCTGTGCCACAGGGCTGTACCAGCAGGGCTGTGCCACAGGGCTCTACCACAGGGCTGTACCACAGGGCCGTGCCACAGGGCTGTGCCAGCAGGGCTCTACCAGCAGGGCCGTGCCACAGGGCTGTACCCCAGGGCTGTGCCACAGGGCTGTGCCACAGGGCTGTACCACAGGGCTGTGCCACAGGGGTGTGCCACAGGGGTGTGCCACAGGGCTCTACCACAGGGCTGTGCCACAGGGCTGTACCACAGGGCTGTGCCACAGGGCTGTACCACAGGGCTGTACCACAGGGCTGTGCGGGCGGGGCTCTACCAGCAGGGCTGTACCACAGGGCTGTGCGGGCGGGGCTGTACCAGCAGGGCTGTGCCAGTGGGGCTCTACCAGCAGGGCTGTGCCACAGGGCTGTGCGGGCGACACTCTGCCCAGATCACTGCGGGTAATTCTGTTGCTTCCCCCACAGCATAGCCGAGAAGGGGCTGTCCCTGGGAGGATCCCACGGAGGGGTGAGTTGTCTGTGGCTCCTGCCCCGTTTCCTCTGCCCTTCAACTGTGCTGTCACTCAGAGAGGAAGGGGACAGCATGGGACGTGCAGCGTCCCCCGTGTGCCCATCCAGGGGCGTGGGCCAGCCCCGTGTCCACATGTCTCCCAGCACCAGCCACAGGAGCCCTAACCTAACCTAACCTAACCCACCGGTGCTGAGCGGGCACAAGGCGCCATTGTTGGGAAGATCGTGCCCTGGGCGTGCGTCACGGCCTGGCCCTGGTCACACTGGAGTTTGAGAAGCTGTGGGCAGGCAGGCGGCTGTGGGGTGGGGGTCGGGTGGGGGCCGAGGTCTAGGGTACAGAGCAGTGGCGGCCTGGACCCCCAAGTCCTCAGGCTGATGCTCGCCTGTCTGATCCCGTGACCTGAATTCCAGACAACCTGGACTCGCGTCTGGCAGGAACAGATCAGTGTTTGCCCGGAGAAGGGGCGTGGGGGGAGGGAGGTAGGGGGGGGCTCCCCAAGGGCAGGCAGATGCAGCGAGGTGCTGGTGGCTTCCGGGTGTGCACCCGTGTGCGTCAGTTCACCTGGGCAGAGCCCCGGGCACGGAGGGAGGGAGCGGACGAGACGCACCGCCATCCGGCCGCAGGTGTCCGTCTGTGGGCCGTCCCGAGCCGCAGAGCGGAGTGGTCTTTCTGCTTCAGGAATCAGAAGACGGGGTCTGGCCAGGGAGCGGTGAGCACACAGCACCCGTGCTGCGCCCGCGCCCGCCGCCCAGCCTCACGGCTCTCCTCCCGGGCTTTCCAGGCGTCCATCCTGGACCTGCACTCCGGGGCCCTGTCGGTCGGGAAGCACTTTGTGAACCTGTACAGGTGAGAGCCCCTGTCAGGCGCTGAGAGCAGGCTGGGCTGGGAGACCGCTCTCCCCGGCCTGACCGCGGGCAGGTGCTGTCCACAGAGCTCTAGGGGAGGCTGCTGTCCGGTCCCGGGACCTGCTCAGGCTGGGGGTCGGGGAGGAGGAGGGAGAGCAGACGCTGGCTCCTTAGAACTGCGGCCCAGGGCCGTGTGAGCGGGGGTCTGACGGGGTCCTGCAGGTTCAGCGTCGTCCTGTCCCGAGCCTCTGACCCCATTCCCGCTAGCACGCGGAACTCTCTTGGAATGAGGGCAGGTGGGTTTCCAGGGCCTGGCTGGTTAGCGTGGGGAGAGACTGCATTGAGAGGAGATAGGGAAAAGCCTGGTAAGATATTGCATTTGTTAACACTGTTCGCGTTTTCACAGATACTTTGGGGATAAAATACAAAATATCTTCTCAGATGAAGACTTCCAGTTGTACCGGTGAGAAGGGGCGAGCTGGGATCTGCGGTGGTGGAACTGAAGGAGAGGTCCGAGGTGTGAGGGAGTGACACCCAGGACGGGGGGTGGAGGGGGTCCCTCAGGTCCTGTAACAGCCCCCGGCCTGCAGGGGGCGCCGGTGCAGTCACCCAGCCCTCATGCCCAGTGGCCGCGCCATCGCCTGGGGCATTGCTCCTTCATTAGCGTTTTACTTTGGGATAATCGGGGTGTGTCCAGAGTGACAGAAACGACGCAGGGAGATCTTGAGTGCCCTCCGCCCAGGGGCCCCACTGGCAGCAACGTGGCCGATTTGATGCCACTCCTGGGGGGCGTTGCTGAGAGCTCTGTCCTGTCACGTCTCCAGCTGAGCGAGTCCCCGTGACTGCCGTGGATCCAGCACACGCCTGTGGACGTGGACGTGTGCATTGTGTTGTATATGCGTGTGGGGACGCACGTGTGCACACATATGCCAGTGTGTGCTTGTGCATGCAGTGTGTGGTGTAGCCATGTGTGTAAGTGTGCATTATGCATGTGTGCAGGTGGAATCAGGCCTGTGGCGTATAAGTTTGTATGATGTGTGCAAGTGGGGATGTGTGTACATGTGTAGGTAAATGCCATTGAGACGTGCAGGTAGGGACACGTATAGGTACATGTGTGTGCAGGTGGGGATGTGTGGGTCTGTGTATGCAGGTAGGTGTGTGCAAGTGCCCGCGTGTGCAGCTGGAACATGTGTAGGTCTGTGTGTGCAGTGGGGACACATATAGGTACCTGTGTGTGCAGCTGGGACACGTGCAGGTGCCCATGTGTGCACTGGGACACATGCAGGTGCCCATGTGTGCAGCTGGGACACGTGCAGGTGTCTGTGTGTGCAGTGGGGACATGTGTAGGTCTGTGTGTGCAGCTGGGACACATGCAGGTGCCCATGTGTGCAGTGGGGACATGTGCAGGTACCCGTGTGTGCAGCCAGGACATGTACAGGTGTCTGTGTGTGCACTGGGACATGTGCAGGTGCCCATGTGTGCAGCCAGGACATATGCAGGTACCCGTGTGTGCACTGGGACGTGTGTAGGTCTGTGTGTGCAGCCGGAACATGTGCAGGTACCCGTGTGTGCACTGGGACATATGCAGGTACCCATGTGTGCACTGGGACATATGCAGGTACCCGTGTGTGCACTGGGACATGTGTAGGTCTGTGTGTGCAGCCGGGACATGTGCAGGTGCCTGTGTGTGGGTAGGTGCGTGTATGTACGTGTGAGTAGTTAGGTAGATATGCAGATAGGTGTCGTGTGCTACAGGAAGACACAGGCCAACCCTTCCAGCACCACTCCCCTAGTTCTCCCCCCCACAAAGAGCTGGCCCTCTAGAGTCCAGTGTGAGGGCTCTGCTCAGACCTTAGAGTGTTCGTGCTGGCCAGCAGCTGCCATCAGGAAGGGCCCCGGTCCACTGTGGATGCTGATCTGATGACCAAGGCTTGGACGGCAGGGGTCACAAAGCTGCGTGTGTGAGGAGGAGCCTGCCCCCGGCCCGTGAGGGAGGGGCTGCCAGCCTCCTGGGACACCACCTCGTCCTCGGCTGCCTGGCTGCCGTGGACCCAGCCCCTGGCCCCTCACAGGGTCCTCCTCCAGGCCTCTGGTGCAGCATGGGCTGTGGGTACTGCGGCCAATCCTGCGAGGACTTGGTCCTCAGGCTCCAGAGGTTGCCATGTGTGTGTGCCGTCCTGTCCCACGTGTCCAGGATGTCATGTGCGTGTGCCGTCCTGTCCCACGTGTCCAGGGATGTCATGTGCGTGTGCCGTCCTGTCCCACGTGTCCAGGATGTCATGTGCGTGTGCCGTCCTGTCCCACGTGTCCAGGGATGTCATGTGCATGTGCCGTCCTGTCCCACGTGTCCAGGGATGTCATGTGCGTGTGCCGTCCTGTCCCACATGTCCAGGGTTGTCCTGTGCTTGTGCCGTCCTTTCCCACGTGTCCATCGATGTCATGTGCGTGTGCCGTCCTGTCCCACATGTCCAGGGATGTCATGTGTGTGCCGTCCTGTCCCACGTGTCCAGGGATGTCATGTGCGTGTGCCGTCCTGTCCCACGTGTCCAGGGATGTCATGTGCGTGTGCTGTCCTGTCCCACGTGTCCAGGGTTGTCATGTGCGTGTGCCGTCCTGTCCCACGTGTCCAGGGTTGTCATGTGCTTGTGCCGTCCTTTCCCACGTGTCCATGGATGTCATGTGTGTATGACGTCCTGTCCCACGTGTCCAGAGATGCCATGTTGTTTAACATTCTGTCATCTGGTCAAAGATGCCATGTGTGTAGGACATTCTGTCACATGTTCAGAGACGCCATGTATGATAACCTGTCACATATGTTTGGGGCTGTCGTGTATAGGACATTCTGTCACGTGTTCAGGGATGCCATGTGTGATATCCTGTTACATGTGTTTGGGACTTCATGTGTGTAGGACATTCTGTCACGTGTTCAAGGATGCTGTGTGTGTGATGTCCTATCCCATGTGTCTAGGAATGTCATGTGTGTTTGACATTCTGTCACATGTTCAGGGATGGCGTATGGGTGTGACATTCTGTCATGTGCTCAGGGATGCCATGTGCATGTGACGTCCTGTCCCACATGTTCAGGGATGGCGTATGGGTGTGACATTCTGTCACGTATTCAGGGATGCTGTGTGTGATATGCTGTCATGTGTTTGGGACTGTCGTGTGTGTATGACATGCTGTCGTGTGTCCAGGCATGCCGTGTGTGTATGACATGCTGTCACGTGTCCAGAGATGCCGCGTGGCCCATCCCACTGCCCTCCCTGGGTCTGTGTGGCGGTCCTGGGCCCTGCGGAGAGCTACCTGCTGTCCCCCGTGGCCGAGCCGCTCTGTGACGGCTGTGTCCTCTGCAGGGCCGTGCGGCAGAAGGTGCAGCTCGCCATCGCCGAGGCCTTCGGCATCAGCGCGTCCTCGCTGTACCTCACGAAGCCCACGTTCTTCTCCCGCATCAACAGCACGGAAGCGCAGACGGCGCACGACGAGTACTGGCACACGCACGTGGACAAGGTGAGCCGCCCGGGGCGTCCTGGTCTCCCGCGGGCCTGTTGCCACGGCGCGTGTTTCGGCATCTGCCCCCGAGGCTCCAGGCGCTCCCCAGACGTGGCTGCAGTGGCCGGAGAGCGCGGGGAGGCGGCCCTCAAGGAGCAGGCAGCTGTGCTGGTCCTGACCTCTGTCCTGGCTCGTGCTCGGCCTCCACGGTGGACGGGGCTGGCAGGGGCACTGCAGCCTCTGCCACGGCCCCTCCTTGCCCGGGTCCCTGGGAGGGCGCCCCCCACCTCCTCACCCGGGTCCCTGGGAGGCCGCCCCCACCTCCTCACCCGGGTCCCTGGGAGGCCGCCCCCACCTCCTCACCCCGGGTCCCTGGGAGGCCGCCCCCACCTCCTCGCCCGGGTCCCTGGGAGGCCGCCCCCACCCTCCTCACCCGGATGCCCTGGGAGGCCACCCCCCCGACCTCCTCGCCCGGGTCCCCTGGGAGGCCGCCCCCACCTCCTCACCCCGGGTCCCTGGGAGGCCGCCCCCCACCTCCTCGCCCGGGTCCCTGGGAGGCCGCCCCCACCTCCTCACCCGGGTCCCTGGGAGGCCGCCCCCACCTCCTCACCCGGGTCCCTGGGAGGCCGCCCCCACCTCCTCACCCGGGTCCCTGGGAGGCCGCCCCCACCTCCTCACCCGGGTCCCTGGGAGGCCGCCCCCACCTCCTCACCCGGGTCCCTGGGAGGCCGCCCCCACCTCCTCGTCGTGGCTTGGGCTCCGTGCAGGAGTCTCACTGGGCTGTTCCCGGCCACAGCCCTATGCTGCAGCTCCCTCCCACGTCCACAGACGTTCTGCAGTGACAGCCGTGGCCACTGTCTCAGGTGGACGCCCAGGCACCCCCAGACACGAGACGCTCCGTCGGAGCAGCCTTGGGAGGCGCTGGCTCAGACGCAGAAGTGCCACCGGGGTCTTTCAGTCCCAGGCCCCCGGCCCCGATGGCCCTGTCCAAGGGTGCCCGCCGCCCTCCCTGCAGGCCTCCCACTCTGTGTTTGCTGATCCGACCCGCACCTGTGTCTAGAACGTGCCATCCACTAGCACTCTGTGGCACAGGACTGTCCCTCGTCTGTGCTGGCCAGCACGGTAGCCATGCGTGGCCACTGAGCTCCTGGACGTGGTCGGTGTGCTAAATGACTCGGTCTCGTCGCCTTAGAAGAAAGCCGTCCATGGCAGGTGGCTCTGTGTGACCTGATCAGAAAAAGGGTCCAATCTTTTTTTTTTTTTTAAAAGAGTTATTTATCTACTTATTTGAAAGGCATAGTGACAGACAGAGACGGAGTTCACTCCCCAAGTGGCTGCCACAGCCAGGTCTGGCCCAGGCCAAAGTCTGGGGCCTGGGCCTCCATCCTGGTCTCCCCCTCTGGGTGGCAGGGAGCCAGGCACTGGGGCCATCATCCGCCTTCCCAGCCCAGTAGCAGGGAACCAGATGGGAAGCGGGGCAGCCAGGGAACCCACGCTCTGTCACGGGACGCCAGCTCCACTTGCGGGGCCGCAGTGCTGGCGCCGGCTGAGACTTCTGATGGAGGACAAGCTGGGGGCTGTGACCTTGGGGGTGCACGTGACCCGAGTGGGGCAGACGGCACCGTCCACAGGAGAGAGCGGGGACTCCTGGAGGGTGAAGGCAGGGCCGCCCTCTGAGGCCCGGGGACCTGGTCCGGGGAGGGCAGTGCTGGGCGCAGCCTGGTTCAGTGGCAGCGCCAGGCACGGGGACAAACGCTCAGGCAGAGTGAGCCGGGAGCCAGGAGGCGCGGAGCCGGGCCTGCAGCTCCCGCGGGCCTTGCCGACCTGGCGCGGTTGCTCCTGGGGCTCTTCCGGCACCCGGCACCTGCCCGGCTTCCCTGCTCAGGGAGCTCCAGGTTCTCACGCGGCTTCTCTCGCGGGCCCGGGGTTGTGATGTCTCCGTGCTCCCCGTGCCCCTGCTGCCCAGGATGCTGTGCTCGCTGGGATCTCGCTTCCCGCTGAGGCTGCTTGCGGCCCAGCGCCCAGCGCGGTGTGCAGGACCGGTGCCGCTCTGGTGTTCGCTGAGCCGCTGCTGAGGAGGCCCCCGTGGGCCTGGCCGTGGGGCGGGGGCAGCCCAGATCCGTGTGGAGTCCCGTGCCCACAGCTGGCATGGCAAGTGGCGCGGTACCGAGATGCCTCATTGGCCCGGGCTTGCTCCCTCCCCTGCACACCCGCCTCCTGACCAGAGATGAGCATGGTGTCATGGTGACGGGAGGGGGACGGACGGGCGTTGGGACTTTCTTGAACCTTGATCAGCTGTGCTCAGGTGAGTTCAGCTCGAGTGCGTGGGCCACATTCCCATGGTGCACTGGGGTTGACGGAATCACCGCGGCACCGGCACCCCGGGTTCTAGTCAGATTCTGTCCCGGTTGCCCCTCTTCCAGGCCAGCTCTCTGCTGTGGCCCAGGAGGGCAGTGGAGGATGGCCCAAGTGCTTGGGCCCTGCACCCGCATGGGAGACCACGAGAAGCACCTGGCTCCTGGCTTCGGATTAGCGCGGTTCCCTGGCCAAGGCGGCCATTAAGGGGTGAACCAACAGAAAAGGAAGACCTTTCTCTCTGTCTCTCTCTCACTGTCTGCTCTGCCTGTAAAAAAAAAAAAAAAAAAAGTAGCTCAGGCCTGCGGGTCAAGGGTTGCGTGATGGGGTGGTGACAGAACGTTTTTCAGATGAGTCCAAAATTGCCCGTCAGCCCAGAGGTGCTGTCTGTCTCCTCTGTCCATCCGGGATGCCTCATTGGAGGACACCTTCGCATTAACACTTCTTTAGTGGTCTCAGCAGGACTCTGTTTTTATGCAAATATTTATTTGTTTATTTGAAAGGCAGAGTGGCAGAGGGGGAGAGGGAGAGGGAGAGATCTTCCATCTACTGATTCACTTCCCAGATGGCAGCAGCGGCCGGGCTGTGCCAGGCTGAAGCCGAGAGCCAGGAGCCCTGTCAGGCTCTCCCACGTGGGTGCAGGGCCGAGGCGCTGGGCCGTCCTCCGTGCCTTCCCAGGCCACAGCAGAGCTGACGGGAAACGGAGCAGCCGGCTCTGGAATCAGCAGCCGCGTGGGATCTGGCATCGGTGCAGCTGAGCTCCCTGGGCCGCCCCGCTGGCCCCGGGCCGTGAGGTTTTCAAATATGTTTTTCTGCCTCAGTCTGCATTCTCCTGGGACCCGTGTGACACAGCTAGTGGCTTTGATGTTACCCAAGGCCCCCCAGGCTCTGCTCACTGAATAGTCAGACTCCCAGCGTGGTGTCTGTCCCTGCAGCTAAGTGGGCGTTCGAATAGCCGGTCTGTGATAAACCAGCCCAGTATGGGAGCTTCCAGGGCGGAACGCCCAAACCTCGCTCCAGCTCACTTCATGGAGAGCTGGGGGGACGAGGCAGCTCGGCCCTGAGCCTTCTGGGGGAGCTGCTGGCGGGTCACGCACGGGGTGGGGGTCCCCTCATGCACACCAGGTCACCCTCACACCCAAGCAAGCATTCAGCTGCCTGTCAGCCCAGTGCAAAACAGGGACCCGAAAGTTCGCTCTCCGTCTCCTCCCTGCCCTCTCCACCTCCCTCTCTTTTTCTTTCCCTCTTTTTCTACTCTTGGGGCTAGCACTGTGGCGTAGTGAGTTAAGCCACCACGGGCAGCGCGTATGGGCACTGGTTCGAAGCTCCTGGCTCCTGGCTTTGGATCAGCTCAGCTCTGCCCATTTGGGAAGTGAACCAGTGGATAGAAGACCTCGTTCTCTCTCTGTCTCTGTAACTCTGCCTTTCAAATAGATAAATCTTAAAAAATAGTTCTCCAATAATAAAAATAAATAAATAAAATCCTTTATAAAAAGTATTCATTTTCAGTGAACACTTTCTGACATTTTCATAGAGAGGCAGAGAGACAGAGGTTTCCCATCTGCTGGTTCACTCCCTGGTGTCCATGACAGCCAGAGTGCGCCAGGCTGGGGCCAGGAGCCAGGAACTCCCTCCTGGTCTCCCTTGTGGGTGTCGGGGACCCAGCTGCCTGCGCCAGCACTGCCGTCTCCCAGGGTGCTGGAGGCAGAACCAGAGCCAGGACTCTGATATGGGAGCCGAGCGTCCCTTGAGTATCTTTAAGATGTTATTGGCCGGGCCGGCGCCGCAGCTCACTAGGCTAATCCTCCGCCTTGCGGCGCCGGCACACCGGGTTCTAGTCCCGGTCGGGGCGCCGGATTCTGTCCCGGTTGCCCCTCTTCCAGGCCAGCCCTCTGCTGTGGCCAGGGAGTGCAGTGGAGGATGGCCCAGGTGCTTGGGCCCTGCACCCCATGGGAGACCAGGAAAAGCACCTGGCTCCTGGCTCCTGCCATCGGATAAGCGCGGTGCGCCGGCCGCGGCGGCCATTGAGGGTGAACCAACGGCAAAGGAAGACCTTTCTCTCTGTCTCTCTCTCTCACTGTCCACTCTGCCTGTCCAAAAAAAAAAAAAAAGATGTTATTGGCCGGCGCCGCGGCTCACTAGGCTAATCCTCCGCCTTGCGGCGCCGGCACACTGGGTTCTAGTCCCGGTCGAGGCGCCGGATTCTGTCCCGGTTGCCCCTCTTCCAGGCCAGCTCACTGCTATGGCCCGGGAGTGCAGTGGAGGATGGCCCAAGTGCTTGGTCCCTGCACCCCATGGGAGACCAGGAGAAGCACCTGGTTCCTGCCATCGGATCAGCGCAGTGCGCTGGCTGCAGCGCGCCGGCCGCGGCGGCCATTGGAGGGTGAACCAACGGCAAAAGGAAGACCTTTCTCTCTGTCTGTCTCTCTCTCTCACTGTCCACTCTGCCTGTCAAAAAAAAAATTAAGATGTTATTTATGTGAGAGGCAGGGTTACAGAGAGAGAGAGAGGGAGAGAGAGAGAGGTCTTCATCCACTGGTTCATTCCCCAAATGACCACAACAACTGGAGCTGAGCCGACCCGAAGCCAGGAGCCAGGAGCTTCTTCCGGGTCTCCCACGCCGGTGCAGGGGTCCAAGGGCTTGGGCCATCTTCCACTGCTTTCCCAGGCCACAGCAGAGAGCTGGATCAGAAGTGGAGCAGCCAGGACTCAAACCAGAGCCCATATGGGATGCCAGCACTGCAGGTGGCAGCTTTACCCGCTACACCACAGTGCCGGCCCCAGGCCCTCATGGTACCTCATGGTACGAACCATAGTGCCAAATGCCTGGCCCTCGGCTCTCTTGCCGTGTGCCTTACTCTGGGCCTCCACAGCAGAGCGTGGGCAGCGGTTCCTGTGTGGGAGGCTTTCTGGAAGCCCCTGTGATCAGGAGCCCGGCCCCCTGGGGCTGAGCTGGGGCCTCAGAGTGCAGCCGCCCCCGGCCTTCCTGCCGCCCGCCGTGTGCGGTGGAGTAGAGCAGCGCCGGTGCTGGGTGAGTGCCGGGCTGTGGGGAGCAATCCGGACTGGACTAAGTTACTGGAATTAAGACTTATTCTATGCATCTGCTCTCCCACAATATGGCGCTGGGAGAGAAGAAAACAGCTTCTACACAGCTGCCTCCAGTTCAACCAATAAACTGTAGGACTTGCTCCTGATTGGAGAGCAGCGTGCTCGGCGTGTGGGCAGCCGAGTTGGGATTGGTGGAAGAGGACTATAAAGGAGGAGAGAGACAACATGCACCAGGAACATCTAAGGGGAACACCTGTGCAGCCCCCGAGAGAGCCGGCCGGCGGAGTGCCGCTCCCCTGCGGAAGTGGGGAATGTGGCCAGGGGGAACCGCCCTTCCACGGAGGTGGAAGGGACAGTAGCCAACCCGGGAAGAACCAGCAGCAAACCCGGGGAGGGCCGAGCAGACGAAAGAACAGCGCAGGGTCCTGTGTCGTTCCTCCACGAAGAGGGGGAGCGACACCGGGCCCTGGCGTGGGCAGTGCACTTGAGTCCCCCAGCTCAGCTGCGCTGGGGCCCCAGGTCCGGCTCCCAGTCGGCTCCGTCGGCTCCATCACCGTGTGGCTCTCACCCTGCTCAAGACTGGGCACTCGCTGGCTTTGGTGGGGCCCCTCCCCCAGTGCTGGCGACCGCGGAGCCAGGCAGCGAAGCAGCCCCTGCCCCCAGCGTGCGGCCTGATGTGCTGGGGTGGGGAGCAGGGGTGGGAGAAGGTTCTAGAGGTGGTGGTGACGGCAGCTCCACCGCGCGTCCACGGGAAGTGGTGAAAGAGCCATGAATGGACAGCAGATATTTTTGCACCAAAATTTGGTTTTTTAATCCCATCCTGTCAGGAGGTCCTGTGCACTGACAGGCGGTTAGGGTGGTAGACTTTCTGTCGTTCACATTTTACCTCAATTAAAAACAATGCCTGGGCAGTGGCCTGTGCCGCCAGCATCCCAAATGGACGCCGCCTTGAGTCCCGGCGGCTCTGCTCTGATCCAGCTCCCTGCTGTGGCCTGGGAAAGCAGAAGATGGCCCAAGACTCTGGGTCCCTGCACCCGCATGGGAGACCAGAGGAAGCTCCTGGCTCCTGACTTTGGCCTGGCCCTGTAAGTGAAAATGAATAGATATTTTTAAAAAAAAAGTTTATTGGTGAGGCACACACACACACAGATCTTGCACCTGCTGGTTCACTCCCCAAATGCCCCAACAGCCAGGCTGGCCCAGGCTGAAGCCGGGTGACCAGAACTCCATCTGGGTCTCCCATGTGGGTGGCAGGGGCACAGGTATGTGAACCGTCGCCTGTTGGGAGCTGAGCCAGGGGTGAGGGAGCCGGGACATGAGCCAGACACACCTGGGATGGGGCGTGCGGGCAGTGGCTCGACACCTGTGCCAAACACCTGCTCACCCAGGCAGCTGGGCGGGGAGTGCCGGGGGAGAGGCGTGAGCCCAGGGCTCCACTGTCTCCCCGAGCTGTGAAGGATCCGGGGCCCCCTCTGGACGCAGGTGCACGTCTGTTTATTAGCCGAGGGGCCGCCCTCACAAGCGCACGGTCGGGTGGGGTCTGACCGCTGCTCCCGGCTCTGCCGCAGGTGACCTACGGCTCCTTCGACTACACCTCACTGCTGTACCTCTCCGACTACCTGGAGGACTTCGGTGGAGGGCGCTTCGTGTTCGTGGAGGAAGGGGCCAACAAGACGGTGGAGCCACGAGCAGGTGGGACGCGCACACGCTGTGGGGCGGGGGGTGGAGACCCACTGTGTGCCAGACGTGGTGGAGACCCACTGTGTGCCAGACCTGGTGGAGACCCACTGTGTGCCAGACCTGGTGGAGGCCCACTGTGTGCCAGACCTGGTGGAGGCCCGCTGTGTGCCAGACCTGGTGGAGACCCACTGTGTGCCAGACCTGGTGGAGGCCCACTGTGTGCCAGACCTGGTGGAGACCCACTGTGTGCCAGACCTGGTGGAGGCCCACTGTGTGCCAGACCTGGTGGAGACTTGTGTCCGGCCCAGGCCAAGTGTCTGCCTGGGTCCACTGCTGGCCGCCGTGTCCCGTTCTGCTGAGCTCCTCACGGGTGGCGGCTGAGCCGTGATGGTCTTCAGCCTGCCCCGGGCCCCTGGACGTCACCTTGACGTCCAGGGGCCCCTCCGTCCCTCCTTGTGGTGCTGCAGCTCTGAGCCCTTCTCCGAGGAGCCTGGAAGCTCAGGGTTAGATGAGGCTCCCTGCCCATCGTCGGTGTCGCAGGCAGCAGCGTCCTGAGAGGCCTGCCTGCCACGCAGCCCTGCGGTGCCCAGGGCTCGGGCTCGGGCCTCCCTGAAGTACAGCCCCAGCCCAGCCCAGCCCAGCTAAGCCTCACAGACAGAAACTGGACTCTTGGCCGTGGCCCGAGCACCGTTGGGACCACGCCTCACCTGCCACCCTGCTCCTCCAGCCCTGTGTCCCCCCGCCAGGTCCAGCCTGGCCAATGGGGCTGTCCATGTCAGCTGGTCCACAACACCTGCTGGCCATGGCGTCCTCCGAGCTGTCCGTATCAGGCAGGGACTTGGCTTTTAAATCAAAAGGCATGGAAGGATTTGGAACAGCTGAGCGCGTCCCCACCCTGAGGCTGGCACTGGAAGGGGTGGAGGCAGGAGGCCGAGGTGTGGAGAGCTGGGGACACCGCTGCCTCTGTGGAGCAGAGGCCCTCGGGCAGAGAGACTGCTGCCAGGCAGGGCGTCCGGAGGGCTGGGAGCCACCTCCCAGGAGCGGGGTAGGTGTGGTCAGCCCAGGCCCGCCGCGTTAGCCACTGTCCTTGTCCTGTGGCCAGGTTTTCCTCTCGGTTAGCCCCCCAAGGGGCTTGTGGGCAGCCTGGTGGGTGTCCAGTTCCTCGGCACCTGCTGGTGTCTGTCGAGTTCCAGCGCCCGAGGGGGTCAGTCACCTGTTGCCCCAGGACACAACCGGGGCATCCTTCCTCGGGTTCCCGTGGGTCAGGAGTCGGCGTGGCCTAGCTGAGCCCTCTCAGGGGCTCCCAGGCTCGCGCACGTGGTCGGCAGGACCCTGCACCCGTGGGTCAGGAGTCGGCGTGGCCTAGCTGAGCCCCCTCTCAGGGGCTCCCAGGCTCGCGCACGTGGTCGGCAGGACCCTGCACCCGTGGGTCAGGAGTCGGCGTGGCCTAGCTGAGCCCTGTCAGGGGCTCCCAGGCTCGCGCACGTGGTCGGCAGGACCCTGCACCCGTGGGTCAGGAGTCGGCGTGGCCTAGCTGAGCCCCCTCTCAGGGGCTCCCAGGCTCGCGCACGTGGTCGGCAGGACCCTGCACCCGTGGGTCAGGAGTCGGCGTGGCCTAGCTGAGCCCCCTCTCAGGGGCTCCCAGGCTCACGCACATGGTCGGCAGGACCCTGCACCCGTGGGTCAGGAGTCGGCGTGGCCTAGCTGAGCCCTGTCAGGGGCTCCCAGGCTCGCGCACGTGGTCGGCAGGACCCTGCACCCGTGGGTCAGGAGTCGGCGTGGCCTAGCTGAGCCCCCTCTCAGGGGCTCCCAGGCTCGCGCACGTGGTCGGCAGGACCCTGCACCCGTGGGTCAGGAGTCGGCGTGGCCTAGCTGAGCCCCCTCTCAGGGGCTCCCAGGCTCACGCACATGGTCGGCAGGACCCTGCACCCGTGGGTCAGGAGTCGGCGTGGCCTAGCTGAGCCCTGTCAGGGGCTCCCAGGCTCGCGCACGTGGTCGGCAGGACCCTGCACCCGTGGGTCAGGAGTCGGCGTGGCCTAGCTGAGCCCTGTCAGGGGCTCCCAGGCTCGCGCACGTGGTCAGCAGGACCCTGCACCCGTGGGTCAGGAGTCGGCGTGGCCTAGCTGAGCCCTGTCAGGGGCTCCCAGGCTCACGCACATGGTCGGCAGGACCCTGCACCCGTGGGTCAGGAGTCGGCGTGGCCTAGCTGAGCCCTGTCAGGGGCTCCCAGGCTCACGCACATGGTCGGCAGGACCCTGCACCCGTGGGTCAGGAGTCGGCGTGGCCTAGCTGAGCCCTGTCAGGGGCTCCCAGGCTCGCGCACATGGTCGGCAGGACCCTGCACCCGTGGGCTGTTTGCTGGGGGCCTCCTAGGCCGTCCCAAGGGTCTCTCTGCACCTCCCGGCCAGCAGCGGCTCCTCAGAGCAGGAGAGTGAGGGAGACGGAAGCCGTGGGCTCTGTGCCCTGATCCCAGAAGTGGTCCCCACACCTGTGGTCCACTGTGTGCCTCGGGGGAGCCGCTAGGCCCAGGCCACACCTGGGGGCCCAGGACTGCGGGGCTCTCGGGGCTGCCGCGTGTGGGGCAGGGGCCTTGCAGTTGGATTTCTGACGCCGGGGTGCCTCTGCCACCTCAGCAGCCGCGTCTGGGGCCTCTCCCGTCTCCTGTGAGTCTTCCTCCTGTGGATTAAAGGCCCTCGTGGGCGTGGGTTTTTCAGATGCTGCCTCCTGATATCTGGATTTTGCCTTTTAATTTTCTTTTTTTTTTTTTAAGATTTATTTTTTTGTTTGAAAGGCAGAGTTACAGAGAGGCAGAGGCAGAGAGAGAGAGGGAGAGAGAGGTCTTCCATCTGCTGGTTCACTCCTCTCAAAATGGCCGCAATGGCCAGAGCTGGGCCGACCCAAAGCCAGGAGCCAGGAGCTTCTTCCTGGTCTCCCACATGGGTGCAGGGGCCCAGGGACTTGGGCCATCTTCCCAGGCCACAGCAGAGAGCTGGATTGAAGTGGAGCAGCCGGGACTCAAACCGACGTCCCTATGGGATGCTGGCACTGCAGGCGGCAGCTTTATCTGCTGTGCCACAGCGCCGGCCCCATCTTTTTAATTTGCTTAATTGCACGATTGTTTGAAATTATTTATTTATGTATTTCTTTGGGAGGCAGACAGAAAGGAAAAGCGATCCCATCCGCTGGTTCGCTCCCTGAGTGCCTGCAGCAGCTGGGGCTGGGTCAGGCAGAAGCCAGCAGGCGGGAGCTCCGTCCAGGTGTCCACACGCGGGGCTGGAGCCCAGCTTCCTGATGTCTCCTGCTGCCTCGCAGGGTGCGCCCGAGCAGGGAGCTGGATTGGGAACAGTCGGGACTCGAACCCGGGAACTCCAGTGTGGGATGTGGGCCTCAGCTGTTAGGCCAGTGCCTACCCCAGTGGTCGCATCTGACGAGAGAGAAGCAAAACACTGAAAACCCTCCGGAAGCTCTGCTTACTGTTGTCATCTTAGGCTTGGTGCTTTGGGTCCTGCCTGAGGAGTCCCTCCCCACCCCGAGGTCGGAGAGATTTTCTCCTGCATTTACGTCTAGAGACTGTGGTTTAGCTTTTACCCCTCGGTCCACTCTGGGGGGTGTGGTGTGAGGTCAGGGCCCTGACCGCCTGTCCCCTGTGCTCTCAGCCTGCAGTGGGGCGCATCCCCAGGCCGTGCCGGTGTGTGTCTCTGCATGGGTACACGCTAGCCAACACCTTTACTGCAGCTCTGGCAAAAGTCCTAAAAATAGGTGGCATCAGTGTTGCTTGTTTTTTTTTTTTTTTGTTTTTTTTTTTTTTTTTTAAGATTTATTTATTTGAAAGGCAGAGAGAGAGAGAGAGGACTTCCATCCGCTGGTTCACTCCCCAAATGGCTACAACGGCCAGAGCTGGGCTGATCCGAAGCCAGGAGCCAGGAGCTTCCTCCAGGTCTCCCACGTGGTGCAGGGGCCCAAGGACTTGGGCCATCTTCTGCTGCTTTCCCAGGCCACAGCAGAGAGCTGGATCGGAAGTGGAGCAGCTAGGACTCGAACCTGTGCCCATATGGGATGCTGGCACCACAGGCCGAGGCTTAGCCCACTACGCCACGGCGCCGGCCGCTGCTTGTTCCTCCTGTCATTTGGTTGGGCAGCTTTCTCTCCTGCCTTCACACGTCTTTCCCAATCAGCTTGGTAGCGTCTGCGGAAAGCCTGCCCGGGCGCGTCTGGGGCTCGTGTTGTGTCTGGAATGCGTGAAGTGCCACGATGCGGCCTGAGCCCTTGCCGCGTCCCGGGGTCACTGCGCTGCCCTGGGCCCACCTTCTGTGTTTTTCTCTTCTGCGTGCCGTGCGGAAGCAGAAGCGGTCAGCGTCGGGGGCTGAGGTCCTGGGTGCCGGGGCGAGCTTCCAGCGTCCAGGGTTTGGCAGGCAGGAACCCAAGGGCACCGTGCCCGTGCCTGCCGCGAGGCGGCTCTGAGCTCCCGAGCCTCCGCTCGCTGGCTGCAGGCAGCGCAGGACAGCCCCGGGCTGCGTTCCCTCCTTTCAGACAGGAAGGCCATGACGTTGTGCGGGTCCCCCCCCCCCCCCCCGCTGCGTTCCCTCCTTTCAGACAGGAAGGCTCCCGCCCCCCACCTGACGTGGGTGGAGCTCTCCCGGGGCCTCGGAAGGGGCCACTTCCCATCTCCTCCCCTGGATGGGAGCTGGGCGTCAGGGGCTGCGTGCTGTCCTGTCTGTGGGGGCTCTGGGGGCCCTGCGGCCCCGCTCCGTGCGGGGAGGGCTGTTGCTCCCACCGCTCCCCTGCTGCAGCTCCAGTTCCCGCCCCAGCTTGCGTCACCTCTCCCTCCCTGGCTCCCCCCCCAGGCCGGGTCTCCTTCTTCACGTCCGGGTCTGAGAACCTGCACCGCGTGGAGAAGGTCCGCTGGGGCACCCGCTACGCCGTCACCATCGCCTTCACCTGCAACCCCGACCACAGCATCGCCGACCCCGCCTTCACGTAGCCGGGCCAGGCTGGGCGCCAGGAGGGCGCCTGGGGAAGCCGTGCCCTCCGGTGCGCCAGTCCCACCGCACACGGTGCCTTAGCCAGGGTCCGACTTGCTGATGACTTGGTCTTCATCTGTGAATAAATTAAGGGAGCCAGCCTGTTGCCTCCCAGGGGTCTGTGCCTGCCTCGGCCTCTGGTACCGCACGCGCTCCTCTCTCCTGCACTGTGGGCAGGTAGAGGCCTCCGCGGCTGGGCCCGGCCTGTGTCGGGGTGTGCAGGATCCGCACGCTGCACCACCTTGGGGCGAGGGGGCCTGGGGCTTCCAGGCGGGGCCGGAGTTCCAGCGTCCCGGCAGCTCTGAGCGCACACCCAAGGCTGCCCACCGAGACGACCTGGGCACCAGTCGGCCATGCTGCCCAGCCCTGCGCCTCCACCAGCCGACTGGGTTCTCGCCCAGAACTGCTGTTCCCGGCTCCCGTGGGCTCCCTGCCTGCCGAGGCTCGGCTGGCTCCCCTGCTCGTCCTGGTCTCTCCCCTGCCTTGCACACGGGAGTAGTGGTCCGAGGACAGAAGGGACCAGCTGGGGGAGCCGGGCAGGGCGGCCTGTGGGGGGGGGGGGGGGGGGGGGCTCGTCCACCCAGCCTGGCTCCCGGCCCGGGCAGCGGCGCTGGGGTTTGGAGTTGGAGCTCTGTACGTGGCTGCGAGAGCCAGGTTCTCGTGCTGGCCCTCCCGTCCTCCTCCGCCCAGCCAGCAGGGACAAGTGGCCTGCGGACACAGACCTGCCGCAGGTGCCTAGGACCCGAGGAGGCCACTGCCCGGGAAGTGAGGGAGGTTCTCCCCTGGCAGAAGGAGTGAAGACAGAACAGAAGACAGGCTCGGGGGACCTGGCCGGTAGCAAGTCCAGTCACCCCGGACCCCGAGCGCTTACCGAGGAGTGTTGGGCCAGGAAGAGCCCGCAGGGCGGGGGTCAGCGTCATGGTCGTGCGTGCCGTGCTGGCAGAGGACGGTGCTGACGTGGTCGCCATCCCAATACACGTCTGAGCAGAAGCTCGTGCGAGGGCCGGACCGGTCCGCTTCCGGCGTTCATCCGAGGTCGGGGCCACTGCCTCAGGTGCAGCCCAAGGACAGGTCGCCCTGCTGGCTGGCGCCTGTTCGGCCCACAGGCCAGCACCCCTGGCCGTCTGTGGCCCCTCACGTTTCTGGGGCACAGTGGTTACAGCGCCGCTTGGGACGCCCACGCCCCGATCGGAGTTCCAGCTCTGCTCCACGCGTGCTCCCTGGGAGGCGCAGGCCCTTGGGCCCCTGCCACCCATGTGGAGCTCCTGGACCCTGGCTTCAGCCTGGCCTGGCCCTGGCTATGGCCCTTGTGGCCACCTGGGACGGAACCAGCAGGTGGCAGACCCCTGTCTCTCCGTCTCCGTCCCTCTGCCTTCCAGATGAGCAAGTAAGTTCTTTTGAAACCCCCAGGAAGCCTGGAGGCCCCTGAGGCAGGAGCGGCCTGGAGCTGGTTGTGGGCTCCCCTTGCTCTGTGCACCCTCGCGGGGCTGTGGGGGCTCCAGGGGAAAACTGTTTGGAAGACGCAGTTTGTTGCTGGAAGTTTCCATGGGGGGATTGCTGTGGTGTGGGCAGAGCAGCTGGGCCCTCAGCCTGGGCTACACTCAGGGCCCACACACTGCCCTGAGGCTCAGCTCGGCTCCAGACCCTGATAGAGGTGGGGGACTGGGGCCACCTCCACTCCTGAGAGGCAGCACTGGGGTCATGGTCATCCCCATCCCATGGCTCCCAGGCCCGGCCCTGCCCTGCACCTGCTGTCCTGGGAGGGGAGGACGAGTGCCACCCCGGTCCCCACACTGCCGCCCTCCCCAAGGCCTGCCTGACCCTGGCTCTCCCAAGGCAGAGACGCCCCCTTTACCTGCTTGAGGGCTGCAGGGGGAGGGGCCCCAGCACAGGTGGGGGCCACACAGCGGGCCCCATCCCCTGTCTCCCAAGGCCAATCCCAGGCTGGGCTGGGGGCCGACCTTGTAAGCTGCTCCCACCTGACCTGTCAGAGCAGAGCCCAGACCCCTCACCAGCACCTCCCTGAAACCGTGCCCACCCCACGTGGGTCCAGCTGGAGGAGGGTGCTGGCCTCTGGCTGCCTGTGCCCAGCCTGGCATGCAGGGGGCAGAGCCCGCGGCCATGGGCAGAGGCTGAGGGCACAAAGGGAGGGAGCCTGCCCCCCAGGCCTGAGACAGCCCCGTCCTGGTCTTCAGCCCCCAGAGGAGTTGAGGTTGGGGCAGCTGGCTCTGCCCAGGAGTACAGAGTGGACACCCAGTCCTGGGATAAGACGGACCCTGGGTCTCAGCAGTGCCACGGGCACACCTCTGGCCACCAAAGGCTCAGAGGCCTGGCACGGTCAAGGCTGCCTGGACAGCCGGCCGCCTCGCCCAGCGCCCTACAAAAGTGTCCCCTGGAGCCCAGTCCCTTAGCTGTGAAGGGAGCAGGGGCAAAGGCTGTGGGCTCAGCCGAGGGGCCACCCAGAGAGGCTCCCCAGCCAATCCCCAGGGCCTAGGGGCCAAAGGGCAGGGTGGAAAGGGGGTGGGGGCTCCCCAGGAGGTGACCCTCTGAGCTGCCTCCAGGTGCTGAGTTGCGCCCCAGGCCAGCAGAGCTGGGGGTGGCTCTGCGGGTGGAGCCCATGTGGGGGCAGAGCCGAGACGGGCTGGAGTTCTAGGGACTGACTGCAAGGCTGCCTCCTCCCACCTCCCCTGGCACCCGGCCTCGGCGTCCACAGCCCTAGGAGGGAGAAGCAGCCTGGGGCCAGCTCCGGCCCCTGCACCTGTCCCAGGCAACCTGGAGGCCATCACTCCTCTGGGGCCTGGGTGTGTCCTGGGAGAACTGGCCTCCCCTGACCCCAGCATGGAGCTGGCCTCCCTACAGGCCTGGGAGAGGCCCAAGTCTGGAGTGCGTGACCGCTGGCCGCTGGCTGCTGGCAGCCCGGCCTCCTGCCCTGCCGTCATCCGTCTGGAATTCACAAAGGCCAAGCTGCCTGGGCTGGGGGGGGGCACACACGGCCCCGCGCTCTGGGGACTCAGCTCTGCAGCTGTGGCCGACCGCGCCAGCTCAGCTCTCAAACCGCGAGCGCCGTCACCTCCGCCACCTCAGCCCTGCTTGGTGGGGCAGTGTCCGGAGCTCCCAGGCCAGGTCAGCAGGGTGTCCGCTGCCCCCAGGGGCGTTCCTGTAAAGACGGGCACGACCACCCGCCGGGGGCACAGCAGCCCGGGGACAGGCGCTGGCAGCCCTGGTGCATCCTTGGCACCTCCGGGCAGGTACAGCCGGGCAGCCACAGTCTGGACCCTGCAGGGCCCTGGACTGGGCCAGCTCACTCTCCTGGGGGCTTGGAGGGGCCTGGAAAAGTCCTCTGGCCCCCGAGGCCAGCCTGGGAGAGGTGGCGTCCACGCCCACTGCCCCAGGAGACAGCCCTGCTGGCGGGCCGGGGCGTGAGGGTGCCTGGACGTCAGGCCTCACGCTGGTCAGCGCCGCCGGGCACCCGCTCTCCATGCATGTTCACAGCCAGGGCTGTGCCCTCTGCAGGCCTGACCGGGGCCCCGGCCGCCCCCTGCCTCCCCCAGGGGTGTGGGGTGGGCGTGGGGGGCCCAGGGCCTGGTGCCCGCCCCTCCCCTGCGGCAGGCCCCATCCTGGGCTGCCCCGCGCCCCGCCCCCAGCTCCACCTGAGCCCACACAGAACCTTGACCCCAGCTCACTTAGGCTCTTACGGGAGGCACCTGCAGCACCGTGCATGCCAGGTGGACGTTGACAGCGCTGGCACGGTTTCTGCCAAAAAGAAACACCTGCCAGCAGCTCCTCTCCACGGTTCACCAGGAGACTCAAACCAGAACTCCATGGCAGCCGGACCAAGCCCCCAGGGCGGCCACAGCCGAGGGGCAGCAGACCTGTGTGCCCCCAGCGCACGCCCCAGAGCAGCCGGAGTGGCCCACGGAGGCCGACACAGCGTGGGCACATGTGAAACCCAGACACAAACGACTGCAGGCCACTGGGTCCCATCCATGACTGCGACGGACAGGACACGGCCACCGGGGCAGCGGAGCTGTCAGGACAGAGCCTGGGCCGCAGGTCCCTGGGGCATCTCCAGGTCCCCATCCTGTGGACGATTCCAGCTAGAACCAGCTGGAACCCAGGGGTCGGCCGGAAACCGCCGGGACCTTGCCTTGCTTGCAGCCCCCGGGCAGAGAGGACTTTGGCCAAGGTCCTCTGCTGGGGCTCGGACAGGTCCGGTCAGTGAGCAGAGGTCCCGCCTCCCCGTTTGCCCACCCCTGCCCTGGTCACAGGCGGCCAGGCTGCCCACTGGGGGACTCACGCAGCAAAGGGGCCCAGGCCCCTGTGGGAGGCGTGGTAGGGGGAGGTGGGCACCTGGGAAGCGAGGGCTCAGGCCCTGAGACACCTGAATGAGTTCGCATTCTGAAGCCCTGCGTGGGTGTTGGAGAAATTTGAGAAAGACCCAAAAGAACAAAGTTGTGGGTTTTTTTGTTTTTTGTTTGTTTGTTTGACAGGCAGAGTGGACAGTGAGAGAGAGAGACAGAGAGAAAGGTCTTCCTTTGCCGTTGGTTTACCCCCCAATGGCCACCACGGCTGGCGCACTGCAGACAACACACCACGCTGATCCGAAGGCAGGAGCCAGGTGCTTCTCCTGGTCTCCCATGAGGTGCAGGGCCCAAGCACCTGGGCCATCCTCCACTGCACTCCCTGGCCACAGCAGAGAGGCTGGCCTGGAAGAGGGGCAACCGGGACAGAATCCGGCGCCCCAACCAGGACTAGAACCTGGTGTGCCGGCGCCGCAAGGCAGAGGATTAGCCTAGTGAGCCGCGGTGCCGGCTAAGAACAAAGTTATAAGAAAATTCCCTAAACTTTTTCCATCAAGAGCTAACACCCTTGACCACTGAAAACCTCTAGACCCAACTTTAGTTCCCATGTGGACAGCGCACACACACTGCACACACGTGCATACCTGTGCACACGCACACACACACCCCCCTGTTCTATTACGTAGTGTGTATTGTATGCATTACGCAGCAGGTGCGCGTGTGCTATGTATTATTTGTTATGTATGTAGTGTGTATCGGCAGTATTTGTCATGCATTAGTGCACACCATGTATGTGGTATGCACACGTGTTAGGCAGGAAGTTAGAAGCTGCCCTGTGTGTGTGAGAGGGGCCTGAGGAGCAGAGAAGTTTCTCTGGAGAGGAACGCAAAGCCTCAGCAGCAGCCTAGTAGTCCACACTGCAAAGTCCTGCCCAGACCTGACAGCGTGCAGTTGGGCTCAGCCCTCCCCCCAGGGGAAGCTCCCTAGGAGAACCCTCTCTCCTCAGCACCACATGGGTTACCTGGCCTGGTAACACAGAGCAGGAAAACAAAACCACATCCTTCCTCCAAGGCAGGCACCCTAGGGGAAGCTCCCAGTCTGCTAGCACTGAGTAGAAAACCTGGGGGAGAATTTTTCCTGATTTATAATCAGCAAACCCTTTGTCCTGGGGGAGGGGGAGGGGAAGAGGAGGGGGGGGGAGGAATGGCGGAAGAACTGGACCCTTTCCCTGAAAGCCCAGGCTGAGTGTGAGGCGGGCACTCGCGTTCTGAGAGCCCTCCCCCCTTAACCCCTGCACCTGCTGCGCACTGCTGTCTCCTGCCTGAATTCTTTCTTGCAGGAGACGAGGGCCCCTCCCCCCGCTCCTCTCCGCTGACATCTGTGGCGGCCTGATGTTTGTTAGGCATCGCTTGCTGTGTATTTTATGCCGTGTGTGCTGTGCAGTCTCTCACTCTGTCCCCCTGCAGATGCACCCCACTAGCCACCCTCCCACTGGCCTCTCTGGAAACACACCCATCCACGCCACGCACGTGTGCGGAGAGCCCAGGGGGCTGGCCTGGGTCTCGAGGTCAACACCTGCCTCCCACGTCGAGCACCGGGCTGGACTCCGCCGCAGCCCCCGGCTGGTGCACACACGCAGGAGGCAGCAGCGGTGGCTCTTGCCGCCTGCTTGGGAGACCTGGGCCGAGGTCCTTGCTCGCGGCTCCGCCCGGCCCGGCGCTCCTGTCTGTCAGGTCAGCAAAAGCAGAGCAGTGCTGAAGGGAGCGCCCTTGCACACGAGTCTTCCCCCAGCTCTGGTTTTTCAACACAGGATAAAGTCCCGGAAACGGCGTCGCCTGAGCAAGGTGCGCCCAGGCTGGCATGGCTCTTTTTTCCCTCTGATTAATGAGTTTTCAAAGGTCAGAGAAGGGAGGGGAGATCGCCCATCTGTTGGTTCGTTCCCCAAATGGCCACAGCAGCCAGGGCTGGGCCAGGCTGAAGCCAGGAGCCAGGAGCTCCACCCACGTCTCCCACGCGGGTGCAGGCGCCCAAGCACTTGGGCCGTCCGCTGCTGCTTTCCCAGGTGCATTAGCAGGGAGCTGGATGGGAAGAGGAGCAGCTGGGACTTGAACTGGCGCCCGTGTGGGATGCCGGCCCTGCAGGCTTGACCTGCTCTGCCACACACTGGCCCCACCCCTCCCCCACCTGCCCTTATTTTAGAAATACAAGTGTATTCACCCACAATTTTTCTTCATTCTGTTGACTTTATATCTCGTGTATACATACAAATTTCATACAGGTTTCACTTTGACTTAGGGACTCAGCCACAGTCCCCAGTGCTGGTCCTTGGCCTTGGCCACCCCTGGGCACCCTGGGAGGCCCTGGTCCCTCTGCTTTTCTGGCTGTCGGATGGCTTTTAGAGCAACCACGGGGTTTCCTCCCAGTTCTCTCCACACCCCGCGGTCAGTGCTGAGCAGCTGCCTCCCAACACCCTGCCCAGCCGGTCCTGGCAGGACTGCCCACGGCTGCCACCCCAGGACTGCCCACGGCTGCCACCCCAGGACTGCCCAAGGCTGCCACCCCAGGACTGCCCATGGACACCACCCCAGGACTGCCCACGGCTGCCACCCCAGGACTGCCCACAGACGCCACCCCAGGACTGCCCACGGACACCACCCCAGGACTGCCCACGGACGCCACCCCAGGACTGCCCCCAGCTGCCACCCCAGGACTGTCCATGGACGCCACCCCAGGACTGCCCACGGCTGCCACCCCAGGACTGCCCACGGACGCCACCCCAGGACTGCCCCCAGCTGCCACCCCAGGACTGTCCATGGACGCCACCCCAGGACTGCCCACTGGCAGCTCCAGAGTAGGAGGCCGAGGGTGAACACTGTCCCCAGGTGGGAGCATTGGAGCCACCCAGGCGCCACGTGGAGCAGGTCAGAAGGCACTCAGAAATGGAGTGTTGCGGGCCCGGCACCGTGGTGCGCTAGGTTAATCCTCCACCTGCAGGACCAGCATCCCATGTGGGCCGCAGTTCTAATCCCAGCTGCTCCTCCTCTGATCCAGCTCCCTGCTGGTGTGCATGGGAAAGCAGTGGAGGATGGCTCAAGTCCTTGGGCCCCTGCACCCGCGTGGGAGACCCAGAAGAAGCTCCTGGCTCCTGGCTTCAGGTCAGCTCAGCTCCGGCCACTGCAGCCATCTGGGGAGTGAACCAGCAGATGGAAGACCGACCGACCGACCTCTCTCTCTGGCTCTACCTCTCTCTGCAACTCTTTCTAATTAATTAATTAATTAAAAATCTGCTTCCCAGGACATGCAGGACAGTGCTCAGTGCCGTGGGTGGGGAGCAGCCAGGCTCGGGGCTGCCCGGGAGTGGCCAGGGTACCAGCCTTGGCCTCCATCCTTGTGGCTCTGTGGCTTAGCCAAGGACGCCCGGTGGCACGGTCAGCACCAGGGTCATATCTTGCTTCCCACAGCCCCTCCCGAGGCCCTGGTGGCACCTGGGGTCTCCCTCGGGCCCTGCCCACCGCTGTCCACGCTTCCTCTCTCTCCCTGGCTCGGCAGGCGGTCCCAGCAGTCTGGGGAGCTACTCCCAGATGCCCCAGGGTCAGCATCCGATCCTGGAGTCCTGGGAAACCCCCAGGCCCAGCAAATCAGGGTCTTCGTTCCCCCCGGGCCCCTGGACCAGCAGCCCTGCCCGCTGCCCTGGCTCTGTGAGGCCCAGGGCTGGAGTGGGCTCTGCCCTGGGTGCTCCCAGGCCTGGGGCCCCACCAGGCAGCAGCACCCACGGCTCTGTGGGCACCTGCAGGCCACCTGCAGGCGCACCCTCAGCTCATGCTGCCTGGGCTCCGGCTCAGACTCCAGACGCACGGCCGGAGGCGGGACCAGAACCCCGGCGAGCGGGAGCGTCCACTGTAACCCTAGGCGTTTGGACACAGGCCGGTGACACGGGGGTGGGCTTTGGGCCCTGACTCTGCCGATGGCCCCCCCGCCCTCCCCTCCGCGAGCGCACGCAGTCCCGTCGCCGGGTCAGTCTCTGTGTCTCCGGGGCGCAGCGAGCCCTCCCTGTCCGTCTCAGTTCCTCCTGCGGCCGTGGAGGCGGCGTCTGCCTCGGCGAGGGTTCCCTGCCCACAACTCGGCAGCCCCGGGCGGGGGAGGGGCCGAGCGCCACCCCCGTGACCCCCGAGGAGCCAGGGAAGCCTTGAGGAGCAGCCCATCCCCAGAGGAAGGGGTGTGTGGGCACGCACATGCATGTGGTGTGATGTGCATGTGTGCACGTATGTGGTGTGTGGAGTGTGCACGTGGCATGTGGTGTACATGTGTGATGTGTACATGGTGTGATGCGTACGTGGCGTGTGGTATGTGTACATGTATGTGTGGTGCAATACATGTGAGTCTGATGGAATACAGCTTGTGTGCTGGCACACGTACATGTTTGGTGTGGTGCATGTGTGACTTGGTATGATGTATGTGTGTGGTATGATGTATGTGTGTGGTGTGATGTATGTGTGTGGTGTGATGTATGTATGTGGTAGTGTGTAGTATGTGTGTGGTGGTGTGTAGTATGTGTGGCATGCTGTGTAAGTACACGTGCACATGTTTCATGATACATGTAATGTATTTGATAGAAACACCCGTGTTCTTGGTGACACATGTGCAAACTTGGTCCCATGCCACGTGTGGCATTGTGTGTGTATATGAGGTAAGCTTGCACTGTGCATGTGAGTACTTGTGCATGGTTAGCATGACACGCGTGCATATCTGGTGTGATATGACACACGTGTGCACATGTGTGCTGCCACACCCTCTTGTCCTGAGCCTTGAAGCCCCGCAGCCCGGAGTGGCCCTGAGCGGCGACTGCAGGCACGGAGCTGCCCGCTGGGCCCCAGGCTCGCCCAGGACAGCTGCTCCTTGTTATAAAAACGGGGACACGTGTTGGGGGCAGGAGGGAGGTGACAGCCGGCTGCTCCTGCAGGCGTCCCCACAAACAGCGCAGCAGCTGTCCCCTGGGACCCGCCCGAGACAGGAGACGGACGCCACCCAGGTTCAGAGCAACTTTACCCAGCGTGGGGAGACGCCACTGGACGACAGGGCTGCCCAGCACAGAGGCAGGGGCACACGCTCGGCACAGGCAAGCCAGCCTCGGCCCACGCCGCCTCCAGTTTCTCAGACGCGTCCAGGGCAGGCACCGCCAGGCCTGCGGCCACCCGGCTGCGGGCAGAGTTCCGGGTGACACGAGCCGGGCGGGGCGCTCTCTGGGCCCGTGGCGCCAGGCCAGGCTGATCCAGGCCTCACAGAGCAGGTGCCGTGTAGGCGGGGTCACCTCTGCCCACCTGGGAACGGGGGTGGGGCTCACCCAATCAGAGGGTGGCTGAGTGAGCCACAACCTGGAAAAGAAGAGGATCTGCCCCAGGCTGCCGCACAGGCCCCACCTGCAGCCCCCACCTGCCACCTCCCCCCAGTCCCCCGCCTGCAGCCCCCACCTGCCATCTCCCCCCAGTCCCCCGCCTGCAGCCCTCACCTGCCCCCACAACCTGAGGTCCCCACCTGCCACCTCCCATCCGCCCCCCACCCGCCTGCAGCCCCCACCTGTCACCTCCCACCTCCCCCCCCCAGCTCCCACCACCCCCAGCCTGAGGCCACCCATGTCCTTGGAAGACTTTTTTTTTTTTTTGACAGGCAGAGTGGACAGTGAGAGAGAGAGAGAGAAAGGTCTTCCTTCCGTTGATTCACCCCTCTGTGGCTGCCTTGGCCGGCACCGCGCTGATCCGAAGCCAGGAGCCAGGTGCTTCTCCTGGTCTCCCATGGGGTGCAGGGCCCAAGCACTTGGGCCATCCTCCACTGCACTCCCTGGCCACAGCAGAGAGCTGGCCTGGAAGAGGGGCAACCGGGACAGAATCCGATGTGCCAGTGCCACAGGCGGAGGATTAGCCTAGTGAGTCGTGGCGCCAGCCCCTTGGAAGACTTTTTAGGGCTTCCACACACCCCACTTCCCCACAGCTCCCAGGAGGCCCTCACTCCGGCTCCGCTCTGTGCCTGAGCCACTCCCTCCTTCCTGCCATTCTGCCCGATGGCCGTGCGGCATGTGGCCTGCCCTCAGTCCCCCAAGGACCTGGCTGATGGGGCCAGGCACAGACCCCTCCGCTGACCATGGCTCTGGGAATGTGGCCACACTCGCATCCTGTGGGCTCGTCCCCTGGGTCCACCGCTGCCCCTGGACACCACCAGTGACTGGCTCTGAGTGGGGTTGAGGGCGGGGCTGGGGCTGCAGGGCCGACTCCTGGACCTGACCCTTGGGTCACATTCTGACTCAGGCCATGGGGTCATGGGGGGTGGGGCCGGGAACGGGAGTCACTCTGGCTGGAGCTGCTGCCACTGACCTGGCTGGGGAGGTGACAGCCACAGAGAGGGGGCCGTGGCTATCTGGCCGGTCCCTGTCAGCCCCACAGGCTCAGGTGCTCCGGGAGGCACCGCACTGGGGCCGGCGCAGGTGCGTGTGGACGCACACTGGCTCAGTGTCCCCCAAGCCCCTGACCTGCAGCCCAGGGCTGCCCCCAGTGGGCCTCAGTGCCGGCGGGGACGCCCCAGCTGCACCCACAGAGCCCGGGCCCGGCTCCGGCTCTCACATCCCTGGTTTCACCCTGGCCGCTCCCCAGGGACGGCAGCATCAGGCTCTGGCTCTGGCTGGGGAGGGGGAAGGCTGTGCCCCAGAGCCAGGGCAGGGTCCCTTCAGCTCAGGCTGGGGCCACGCCCGCCCCAGCCCCCCCAGCCCCCCCTCCAGCAGACTCAGCGCTGCCTTGTGCACATCTCCACCTCACCCAGGGGTCGCCTGCACTTCTGTGGCCCTGGGCAGACCCTGCCTTCCGGCTGCAGGGCACCGTCCCGCTGCCGAGTGCACCTCCTGCCCGACCCTCCCCGAAGTCCTGCCAGCGCCCCACGCCAGGCTCACGGGGGAGGTGCCGATGGGTCAGCAGACGCCAGAGGAGAGGAGCCGGGAGCCAGCGGGGCGTCCGGGTGGTGGAGCCGGGAGCAGCGGTCCCGGGAAGGCAGCCTGGGTTCCGCCCTCAGCCCCGGGCGCACACAGGACTCAGGCACAGGCCCCTCCGGGGGCCGCGGGCGCCAGCACGACGGTCTCGGTGGGCTGCGGGCTGCTGGACATCAGGGAGCGGCCGGAGTCGCGCTGGAAGCGGACCGGGCCCTGCAGGACGCTGGCGGCCGCCGCGGGCCCTCGGGCGCTGCCGCCGGGCGCCGGGGAGCGCTGGCGGCCGCGCAGGTACTCCCGGTAGTTCTTGGTGAGCAGCGTGTAGAGGAAGGGGTTGACGCAGCTGTTGGCGTAGGTGAGGCAGGTGGTCAGGTAGTTGACGATGCGGGCCGTGCGCGGCGCCAGGGGCAGGGCCTGGCGGTACTGCGCCAGCAGCTGCCACAGCCAGAAGGGCAGGAAGCAGGCCCAGAAGAGCAGCACGATGCCCAGGATGAGGCAGAGCACCCGGGGCCGGGGCAGCCGGCGCGTCTGCTGGAAGCAGGCCTGCTGGGACCGCCAGTAGGCCCGGGCCAGGCGGACGTACAGCAGCCCGATGACCAGGCCGGGAGCCAGGATGCTGGTGCCGAACAGCAGCGTCAGGTAGGCGCGGTGGGCGCGCGGGCTCCAGGAGGGCAGGCAGAGGCGCTTGGGGCCCCGGCGGGCCAGGCGGATGGCGAGCGCCATGGGCAGCGTGAGCAGCAGCGCCAGCAGCCAGGTGGCCAGCACCAGCAGCTTGCGGTAGCCCTTGGAGCGCTGCACCGTGTCCAGCGGCCGCAGCACCGCGGCGTAGCGCTCGCTGCTCATGACGGTCAGCGTGAAGATGCTGGCGTGCATGGTCAGAAAGTCCAGGCTGAAGAGCACGCGGCAGCCCACGTCGCCGAAGCGCCAGTCCTTGGTGACGTAGGTGGCCACGACGAAGGGGATGCCGAGCAGGTAGAGCAGGTCGGCCAGCGCCAGGTTCACCACGTAGATGTGCATGGAGGCCGAGGCGCGCAGGAAGCGGCACATGACCACCAGCGTGTACACGTTGCCCGCCACGCCCACCACGCCCATGGCCGAGAGCACCGCCCCGATGGCCCCCGTGGCCACCAGGTCCTGCAGGGAACTGTGCTCCGCCGGACTGGCCCACGAGCTGTTGAGGGACAAGTTGGGGCCACCGGGCGGCTCGGGCACGGCGCTGCCCGTCACAGCCAGCGTGGGGAAGGCACTCGTGGGCCCCGGGCTCAGCGCCATGGCTGCCCCTCACACGGGGCTCAGGGCTGGCGGGGCATCTGTGGGTGCCCGGCTCGACCTGTGGGAGAAGAGGTTCACGGGGGATGAAGATGGGCACCGCCCTGCCCAGCCGGGAGGCCGCTGCGCCGGGCACGGCTCCCAGGCCCACGACCCCCTCCCCCGAGCACGCCCGGCCAGGCTCAAGCCCAGAGGCCTCAGGGGTGGCCTGGGCATCTCTGAGAATCAGGGCACTGAGGGCAGCCCCTGGGGTGCAGCCGGGAGTGCTGGCCCAGGGCGCCGCCCAGGCCCGCGTCCTCTGGGAGCGGGAAGGGAGGGCTGCGTGCCCTGCAGTGCCTTCTGCCCTGGATGCTCTCTACGCTTCTCCACATCACAAATGTGAGAGCTGCTGATTTCTAACATGTATTTACTTCATCTCATTGGAAAGGCAGGGAGCGAGGGAGAGAGGCTGCCACCTGCTGGTTCCCGCCCCAAACACCTGCAGCCGCAGGGGCTGGGCAAGGCTGAAGTCAGGCGCTGAGAACCCCACCCGGCTCCCTCCGAGGGTGTCAGGGACCCAAGCGCTTCAGCCATCATCTGCTGCCTCCCAGCCGCTGGCAGGGGGCTGCATCAGAGGCGGGAGCTGGACCGGGCACTCCGCTACGGATGGCCAACTCCTGCACCGCCACATCCGCCCAGGGGAAGGGGTGCTTGGCCTGTGGTCGAGATGCAGGCTGGGACACAGCTCCCGCGTCAGAGCGGGCCCAGTCTCGGCTGGGACACGGGCTCCCGCGTTAGAGCGGGCCAGTCTCGGCTGGGACACAGGAGTCCCGTGTCAGAGTGGGCCGGTCTCGGCTGGGACACGGGCTCCCGCGTTAGAGCGGGCCCGGTCTCGGCTGGGACACGGCTCCCGCGTCAGAGCGGGGCCTGGGTTAGAGTCCCAGCTGAGTTCCCTAACCCAGCTTCCCACTAACGTGCACCCTGGGATGCCTCCAGCACTGGGTTAACGGGTTGAGCTGCCGTTTGGGACGCCGGCATCCCACATGGGTGCAGGTTTGAGTCCCAGCTGCTCCACTTCCCATCCAGCTCCCTGCTGCGGCCTGGGAAGGCAGAGGAAGATGACGTGAGTGCTTGGGCCCCTCACCCGTGTGGGAGACCTGGATGGTGCTCCTGGCTTAGGCTTGGCCCAGCCCTGGCTGTTGGGGGCATTTGGGGAGTTGAACAGGTGGATGGAGGATCTTTCTCTGCCTTTCAAATAATAAATTAATAATACAAAGAACTACAAATCAAGAAAGAAAAGACGAACAACTCACAGGGAAACAAAGACAAAAATGCCCGGACAGGGAGTCCTGAGATGAGGTCTCTGGTTGAGCAAAATGCAAGGGGAGTCATCACACCCCGGCGGCGCCCGGCCCCCAGGCCCACAGCCTCTCCCGCTGGGGGGCCTGGGAAGGCACTGGCAGCGCAGCTGAGCACCCGCCCACCCGGGAGCCCCACCCGGGCTGAGCCCCTGAGGCGGCTGCAGGTGTCACAGGAGACCGGAGCGCCCCTGTGGCTTCATTGCCCCGGGAGCTGGAAGCAGCCGGTGTCCCTCGGCAGCATGAAGGGGCTCACTGCGGCGGACACCACGCTGCGATTCCATTTGTCCCAGGCCGAGGTCAGGGGAGGCCACCCAGGGCAGCCGCCGCAGGAGGTCAGAGCCCTGCTCCCTCGGGGGCCTGGGTTTGGGTGGTAGCCACCGGGTCAAGGGCACTGAGCATCCCCGAGGCCCAGGCCGGGACCCACGCTTGCTGTGGGCAGTGACCGTCACCAGGAAGAGGGGCTAACACGTGACCCATCCAGCCTGGCACAGCCTCCCTGACAAGCACAGGGGACAGTCCCCAGGCCCTCACCCCCTCATAGGGCGCGGCCTCTGGTCCTGCGAGGGGCCTGGGGTGCCTTCTCCCCCCTGCCCCACGGCTCCCAGGTCCATGGGTGCCCCAGAACCCCTGACCACACGGCCCTCTCCATGCGGTGCCAAGGTTCTGGCAGGGGCGCAGCTGAACCCGCGGTCCCTCGGCTCCTCGATTGGGAGGCACCCGAGTCTCAGCCGCGGGGCCCGGTGCTACCCCGCAGATCCCCGCAGTGTGCCCGGCGGCGTGCGGGCTCCTCGGGTCCTCCCTCATTCCCCTCGCCGAGAGCCCCCCAGCCCCGCGGGGGCGCCCAGCCGGCTGGCCCCGGGAGCGTCAGGAGGGCTCGGCCCGCACCCTGCCCGGCGCGCCCCGGACCCAGACCCACCTGCAGCGGCCCCGCCGCGCCCTGCGCGCCCCTCTGTCACGGAGCCACCGCCCCGGCCCGCGCGCTGCCCCTCAGACGGCGGGGGCTGCCAGGGCGCAGGGCCGAGGGGCGGCCGCCAGTCCCGCGCCGCCACCTGCCCGGCCGCCAGCTGAGAATGCGCCGCGGCCCCGCGCCAGGCCGGGTATTTAGGACGGGAGAGCTCCGGGGGCGGCGCCAGGGGCGGGGTGGGGGGGCTGGGGAGATGGCGGCCCAGGGACGCCCCTGGCCCCGGGGAGAGGCGCCCCACAGCCAACAGCTGCCCCCCCCCCCCCGCCGCCAAGCCCTTCCAGCGGGAGGCGCTGTCCAGAGCCCCAGCGCCGGTGCCGTGGGGGCCACCCGGAGAGGGCGGGGGTCAGGAGGCCTGCGGGTGACACCCCACCCCATCCCTAAGGAGGCACACAGAGGCCTTGGGCAGGGGGAGGAAGCCTGTGGCTGACTGGACCCTTTACCTGGCTCCTAACCTCTGACCTTCAACCCCTGTGGTCTGAGGGGTTGGGGTTGTGCCCGGCAGGCACTCAGTTCTCCCCACCGGTTCTCCCCGGGGGCTTTGCCTGGGGGGGGGGACATCATCGCTCTCAGCTCCGTCTCAGACATCCGAGAGCAGGTGGCCTGAAGCCCACTCACTGCAGTGCCAGCTCTGGCTGGAGGGGGACCAGCCCATCTCAGTCTGCCGGAGGAGGGCAGCGGGCAGCTGTGGGCGCGCGGCGAGCCTGCGCCACCTCGGAGCACTGGCCGATTCCCACCTTCAGCTCCCGGCGCCAGCTCCCCGCTGCTGAGCACCTGGCGACCGACGGGCCAGGCGCCTGCCGCCACCCGCAGACCTGGACTGACCCCCCATGCCTGGGGAGTGAACCAGGAGATGTGAGATCTCTCTCTTTCTCTGCCTCTCAAATAATAAATAACTTCAAAATTTTAAAGATTATGAGATGTGGGGGCGGGTGTTGTGGCATAGCAGGTAAAGCCGCCGCAGGGTGAGCTCCGACGGGCGTGGGGGGCGGGGCCTACCTCAAGTCCAGGTAACACAGAGTGAATCAGCCGAGGCCCCCAGGGCCTGGTCATGTCAGGGGAGAGGGGTGGGCGATGCCCCCAGAGTCCTCCCAGCATCCAGGAGGCCTCGGGAGAGAGGCCAGGCCCCCAGACCGGTGGGAGCTCCCACTTCCTCCGTGCAGCTCTGGGGTGGAGACCCCAGCCTCACCCACTCTGCCCACTGCTCAGCCCCAGGTCTCTTGCCCCCAGTGCCCACACCTGTGGCAGGAGAGGCTTCCCCCATCCGGTGGATTTGGGGGCCCCAGGGCCACCCTGGCTGCTGCTGAGACTGGCCCCAGGAGCAGGTGCTTGTTGGAATCTAGTTTGCCCTGGCTGGGTGGGGAGGGCAGCCCCCGGTCCCCTCCCTGGTGGCCTCATCTGGCATCCTGAGCACACCCAGCCAGCGGCCAAGGGTTCGAGTCCCTGTCTGTCCTGGGCTCTGCTTTGAGTCCCTGTGTCACCTGCTCTCTGTCGCCCAGCCTCCAAGTCCCCCTAAGTCCCCAGGGAGGCTCTGCCCCCGCCTGCCCTCAGCCTGCGGGCGCTGTCTGCCTGCAGACCCGCCCAGCCCAGCCCGGGAGCACCAGCCCCACTTTCCGCAGAGGAGCCCGGGCCTTGTGTTTGGAGGGATGATCTTTCTGAAGGCACGCACTTCCGTTTTATTCTGAATTCTGAGGAAAATGCGGTCCTGCGGCAGAAACGGACGTCAGGGTCTCCATTCAGTGCCCACCAAGTCCACCAGGACGCTGTGTTCGGCTCCCCACCCCTGCAGGTGCCCAGAGCAGAGCTGCTTCCCCGGCCCCGGCCGGTCCAAGGTGGGTTCTGCCTACTGAGTGACAGGTTTCTTAGGGCAAGACTGAGGGCAGGGCCCCCAGGCAGGGACGCAATGCGCTGACCAGTCCAGGAAGCCCCGTGAGCAGCGGAGGCCGTGCAGTGCAGAAACGGCCGGGCCTGGAGGCCCACTCGGGCTGGGGCCCCCGTCCATGGCTGAAGGAGGTCCCAGGGGAGCCCCTGCCGGCCGCCCCCTCTCCTGGAGAGCCCGCAGCGTCGGGTCCTTATTCTCCCAGGAGCAGCAGCCTGGACACGCCTGCTAACGTTCTCCCTGGCTTCTGGTCTCAGGCACATGGATTTTCCCAGTCCTGCTCCCAGACGCGGCTGTCAATCAAGTCAGGTGAAACTGCTCAGGTGTGCAGTGATCCTCGGAGACCTCCCACACCTGAGCGACCCCACGTGCTCGAAGCCAGACAGGAGTGCGTGTGCCTGGGAACGCCCAGGCTCAGGACAGCCACAGTGAGGGAGGGCGAGCCGTGTCCAGGGCCACAGAAATGTCCCCCAGAACCCACGAGAGGCCGGCGCCGCGGCTCACTAGGCTAATCCTCCGCCTTGCGGCGCCGGCACACTGGGTTCTAGTCCCGGTCGGGGCACCTGATTCTGTCCCGGTTGCCCCTCTTCCAGGCCAGCTCTCTGCTGTGGCCCGGGAGTGCAGTGGAGGATGGCCCAAGTGCTTGGGCCCTGCACCCCATGGGAGACCAGGATAAGCACCTGGCTCCTGCCTTCGGATCAGCACGGTGCGCAGGCCACAGCGCGCCAGCCGTGGCGACCATTGGAGGGTGAACCAACGGCAAAGGAAGACCTTTCTCTCTGTCTCTCTCTCTCTCTCACTGTCCACTCTGCTGTCAAAAAAAAAAAAAAAAAAAAACCCACGAGAAACGTTCTAGGGGTCCCAACACTGCAGCCTTCCAGCTGTGGCCCTGGTTCTGGATCCACAAAACCTTGTATCCCGAGTGAGGGGGCTGGACAGGGAGCCTGGAGGGCCCTTCTGGGGGCTGCAAAGGTGGGAGTCGATGCCAGAGTAGGCACAGAGACGGGGGCTCCAGACCCCTCTCCTCACCACACCAGGAGGGGGTCAAACCCTGACCTGTGCCAGTGTAACAGACTGGGGGCCCTCCTATGACACCAAAGCAGTGGCCTCTGCAGATCTCCTGGGGGCTTTCCTTACCATCACCACCACCATCATCATCATCACCATCATCATCACCACCATCATCATCACCACCATCATCACCACCGTCATCATCACCATCATCATCACCACCACCATCATCATCACCATCATCATCACCACCATCACCATCATCATCACCATCATTGTCATCACCACCATCATCATCATCACCACTGTCATCACCACCATCATCACCACCACCATCATCACCATCATTGTCATCACCACCATCATCATCATCACCACCATCATCACCACCATCATCATCATCACCACCATCATCACCACCATCATCATCACCACCATCATCACCACCATCATCACCACCATCATTGTCATCACCATCATCATCATCATCACCACTGTCATCACCACCATCATCATCACCACCACCATCATCACCATCATTGTCATCACCACCACCATCATCATCACCATCATCATCACCACCATCATCATCATCACCACCATCACCACCATCATCATCATCATCACCATCATCACCACCATCATCAGCACCATCACCACCATCATTGTCACCACCACCACCATCAGCATCACCACCATCATCATTCATCATCACCATCATCATCAGCACCACCACCACCATCATCACCACCATCATTATCATCACCACCATCACCATCATCACCACCATCACCACCACCACCATCATCACCACCATCATCATCATCACCACCATCACCACCACCATCACCATCATCAGCACCACCATCATCAGCACCACCATCATCACCACCATCATCATCACCACCATCATTATCATCACCACCATCATCACCATCATCACCACCACCATCACCATCATCATCATCACCACCATCATCACCATCATCAGCACCACCATCATCACCACCATCATCACCACCATCATCATCATCACCACCACCGTCATCACCGTCATCACCACCATCACCGTCATCACCACCATCATCATCATCACCACCATCACCACCATCACCATCATCACCACCATCAGCGCCATCAAAACCCTCCTCACCTTCATCATTGAAAATTGTTTACAACATATTAGAAAAAGAGACAGAGGCCTCCCACTTGCTGGTTCAGTCCACTCCCAAATGCCCACACCAGCGGGGACAGGGCCAGACCAGAGCCTCCCCAAAAGAGCGCTGCCTCCGAGGCAGTGTTGTTTGTAGAGACGCTGCCCTCCCTTCAGTGCCGCCCCTCCAGGCAGGCAGTTGAGCTGCTGGGCAGAAGCCACTGGGCTGTGGCCACATCCTGGCGTCCTGGAACCTGGTCTTGAGAAATTATTCCACAGAGGGCAAAGGGGAGGCTCAACTTTGGTGGGGGGAGGGGAAGAGGAAGACCCCTCCAGAAAGGGCCAGCAGGGGCAGCCGTGGAGGGCCTGGGGTGGGGGAGTTGGGAATCTGTGCCCAGGGCCCTACACAGCACACAGAACATTGAAAACGTTGTGGCGTAGCAGGTAAAGCCACCGCCTGCAGTGCCGGCATCCCATAGGGGCGCCGGTTCAAGTCCCGGCCACTCTACTTCCGATCCAGCTCTCTGCTATGGCCTGGGAGGGCCGTAGAAGATGGCCCAGGTTCTTGGGCCCCTGCACCCGCGTGGGAGACCAGGAAGAGGCTCCTGGATGCTGGCTTCGGATGGGTGCAGCTCCAGCTGTTGTGGCCATTTGGGGAGTGAACCAGCAGATGGAAAAGACTTCCTCTCTCTCTCTCTCTCTCTCTCTCTCTCTCTCTCTCTCTCTCTGTAATCGTACCTCTCAAGTAAATAAAATAAAAGGAAAGGAAATAAAGTGTTTGGCACCGGGTTCCAGCCCCCTCGTCCCAGCAACATGCAAGAACCTCAGGCCTATTCTGCCTGAGATCAGCAATACGGCCGAGCTGGTGCCTGCTGGTGGCTGCCGGGCTGATAGGCACGAGGACGCTGTGTCAGTTATGAACCCAGACATGCAGCGCCAGCATCCCGTATGGGCGCCGGTTTGAGTCCCGGCAGGGAGCAGCACACGCGTGGCAGCCCCTCCAGGTGTTGGAAGACCCCCCGCCCAGCCTGCAGCAGCCACTCTGCCTCCTGACCCCAGCCCGGGGTGGGCACCCACTCCCAGGACCTCCTCCTTTCCCAAGGTGCTGTCTGCCCGGGTCCCATCTACCTTGAGCTGCGTGGACTTGAGCACAGCCCACAGGGCCACGTCCACGCAGTTCCATAAAGCCCTTGGCCTGGCATGAGAAGATGCAGGTGCACAGGTGGGCTGAGGACCGGAGCGCAGACACATACGCTCTCCCCTCCTGGGTGTGCGGTCCTGAGGCTGTGCACGTGGTACACTGGCCCCTGCAGCTGCCCTGGCCAGCCCTTCAGGCTCCCTGGTGGCCTCCCACAGACACTGGCAACCCAGAGAACAAGGCAGGTGAATTTTCTCCAAGTCCCTGGGCCTAAACCCTGGAGCTGTTTAGTTCTGTTCTGTTTTTATTATTATTATTATTATTATTTTTGAAGCAGAGAGAGAGAGAGAGAGTCTTCCACCCACTGGCTCACTCACCAGTTGGCCTGGCCACAATGGTCAGAGCTGTGCCAATCCAAAGTCAGGACCTTCTTCCTGGTCTCCCACATGGGTGCAGAGGCCCAAGGACTTGGGCCACCTTCTACTGCTTTCCCAGGCCACAGCAGAGAGCTGGATCGGAAGTGGAGCAGTCGGGACTCTAACTGGCGCCCATATGGGATGCTGGCACTGCAGGCGGTGGCTTTACCCACCATGCCACAGTGCCGGTCCCTTATTTTATTTTTATTTTGGAGCAGGAAGAGAGAGAGAGAGAATGCCCCCATCTGCCACTCCTGGGCCGGCAGAAGCTGGGAGCCAGAACCAGGAACTGGGGATGTCATCCTGGTCTCCCATGAGTGGCTAGAACCAGCCGCCTGAGCTCTCCCTGCGCCTCCGAGGGTCTGAGTCGGCGGGAAGCTGGAGCAGGGATGGAGCCCAGGAATGTGGTGCAGCTGTCCTACGTGCCAGGCCCAACGCCGCCCTGTGGAGTTGGTTTGGATGGGTTCAGGGACACGGCAGGACGGTGCTTCCCCCACACCTGTCCTCCCCTCGCCCCCTGTGGTTCATCCCCTCAGGTCCATGGGGAGGTGGTCGGCGTGAAGACCCCCAGCCCTCCTCCTGGGGGTCGGGGCCTGGAATCCGCGTTTCCACCAAGTGCCCAGGCCTTCACTGATGCGCGAGAATCGGGCTGCCTTGGGGCGCTGTGAACCACTGCTGCGTCCACGCCTTTCTCCGCTTAACAGAGCCAGGGACTCCCGTGATTTTGTAACAGGGTGTAATGGGGTGCAGGAGACTGAGCAGTGAGCCCCATCAGTCATAGCCGTTAGGGGGCATGGTCTTCATTACCCCTAATGAACCTCGGGGGTCTCAGCATCTCCAGCAAAACAGTGTTGTGCCATTCCTGGGGGGCGGGCAGGACGAGCGGTGAGCTCCACCGTGTTAGCCGTCAGTTCTCCTGCATGTTTATCAGAAACTGCACCGACGTTTGAGATGTAAGGAGACGCCTGGGGGCCGGCACGTGGCGCAGGTCAAGCCACCTGCGGCGCCAGCGTCCCATATGAGCGCCAGCCGGAGTCCAGGCTGCTCCGTTTCCCAGGCAGCTCCCTATTAATGTGCCTGGAAAAGCAGCAGAAGATGGCCCCTGCCAGCCACGTGGGAGACCCCGATGGAGTTCCCGGCTCCCGGCTTCAGTCTGGCCCAGCCCCGGCCGTTGCAGGCATTTGGAGAGAACCAGCGGATGGAAGATTCTCTCTCTCTGCCTTTGAAATAAAAAAATTATATAAAAAAAAAAACCATGCTGATGCTGCACCCGTAGCCAGCTTTGGCATTTGCTGACTCCTGAGCCCTGACCTCCACCCCCTCCTGAACCCCAGAGCCATGAGCTGCCCTTGGACGGCAGTTCTCCAGCTCTGTCTGCTACCTCCTCGTCCATCGACAGACAGCTTTCTCCTCCCTTTACCAGCCTTGTCCTTGTGATTTCAATTTGGCACCACTAACAGGGACTGGGCTTTCAGGAGCCATTTAAGATCTGGGAACTCACTTCTGGGAGAGACACGAAGGACAAACTGCGCTCTCGGCCAACTCAGCAAGAACGCCCAGGGTGTGGACCCTCCACTGAAAGGGACAGGGCCAAACGTGGGACCACCCAGCAGCTATGCCAGCTGGAGACCAGACACAAACGTGTAGGGACCTCCAGAGCTGCCATCTGAAAGCCTCTCCCTTGCCCATGCGCCTCGGTGGCCCAGCCCGGAGCAGCCTTGCGGAAGCTGAGCACACGGGCTGGCGTGTGCTCCCAGGTGAGCAGGAGCTCCCCTCACACATGGCTCTGAAGCAGGATGGAAGCTAGACTCACGTGGGGTCAGCACTGTGGCATAACGGGTTGGGCTACTGTTCGCAGGGCCAGCATCCCATATGGGTGCCTGCTCAAGTCCCAGCTGCTCCACTTCCAACCCAGCTCCTGCTAGTGCTCCTGGAAAAGCAGAGGAAGATGGCCCATGTGCCTGGGCCCCTGCACCCATGTGGGAGACGCAGAGGAAGCTCCTTGAGCAGCCCCAGCCGTGGCAGCTCTTTGACTTTTTGATTTGGCAGCACATTGCAGCAGATGTAAGATCTCCCTCTCTCCCTCCCTCCCTGTATCTCTGCCTTTCAAATAAATAAATAAATCTTTAAAGAAAAAAAGAGTTATAGCAAGTGAGGGAGACAGAGAGAGAGAGATCTTCTATCACTGGTTCACTCCCCAGATGGCCACAACAGCCAGGGCTGGGCCAGGCTGAAGCCAGGAGCGTCATCCAGGTCTCCCACGTGGGTGCAGGGGCCCAAGCACTGCGCCACTTTCTGTTGCTTTCCCAGGCCACAGCAGGGGGGTGCATGGGAAGGGGAGCAGCTGGGACTGGAACTGGCACCCATATGGGATGCCGGTGCCACAGGTGGAGGCTTAACCCGCTACACCACAGCACCAGCCCAGATTTTACTTGTAATTCTGAGGTGTGTGCAAGTATTTATTCACATGAAAGTCTGCTTGATGACACATCAATATTCAAAATGCAGCCTTTTCTTATCGTGTGTCTGGCTGAGAAACACCTGTGACTCACTCCCATCACGAGCCAGAGGAGACTCTTCACCTGTCCTGTGTCCCCCTCCCCCCGCCCCCTCCTACAGCTCCTGGGATTTCAAGCCCGCAATGGTGGCTCAGCTCAGATTCAGGCCGGTCCATAAGGACTCGCTGGGGTAGGCACTGTGGCTGAGATTAAGCCGCTCCTTGAGATGCCTTCATCCCATACTGGAGTGCCTGGTTCGAGTCCCAGCTACTCTGCTTCCAATCCAGCTTCCTGCCAGTGCCTCCTAGGAGGCAGCACATGTTGTCCAAGAGCTCGGGTTCCTGCTCCCGGGAGACCAGGCTCCAGGCTCCTGGCTTCAGCCTGGCTCAGCCCAGGCCCTTCCAAACATTTGGGGGAGTGGACCTGTGCATGGAAGGTCTCTCTCGCACTCACTCACTCTCACTCTTACAAAGAGAGAAAAACATAATAATAAACAATAAAGGAAAAGGACTTCCTGAGGAATAGTCATTCCTCATAGGCACTGGCTGCGAAGGTCTTATATCTTTATTTAATTAAAAACAATAAACAGGGGCTGGCACTGTGGTGTAGCTGGTAAAGCCGTTGCTTGCAGTGCCAGCATCCCATATGGGCACCAGCTCAAGTGCCGGCTGCTCCACTTCCAATCCAGCTCCCTGCCATGGCCTGGGAAAGCAGTGGAAGATGGCCCAAGTCCTCGGGCCCCTGCACCCCTGTGGGAGACCCGGAAGAAGCTCCTGGCTCCTGGTTTCAGATCGGTGCAGCTCCAGCCATTGCGGCCATCTGGGGAATGAACCAGCGGATGGAAGACCTCTCTCTCTCTCTCTCTCTCTGCCTCTCTGTAACTCTAGTTTTCAAATAAATAAATAAATCTTTAAAAAAAACATGCAAACAAAGCAACAGGAATTAAATGGCCAAATTGTGGCCATTATTTGAAACCAAGTCTCTTCCACAATAAACCAGACTCCAGTGGATCAACAGGGTCTTCTGGGACCCCAGAGACTGCCTCAGAAAAGTCACGGAAACGTTCGGGTTCCAGGGAGCGTGTCAGAAATGCGATGTCACGTCCACGGCCAGGACCGGCAAGCTACCAATGCCCCCTGTCAGGAGCAGCAGAGTAAGGGTTTGCAGTCACATCTGGATCAGTATCGCATCTCAAACTACGTGACGCTCACTGATAAGAATCTGTCTACAAGCAAAAACACTCATGGCGCGTTCCGTGAGGCCACGGCAGGGCCCATTCCCTAGCACCTAAGGCTGCTCAACACTTACTCTACAGGCAAAGGCACCTATCCTTGGCCCACCGCTCCCCTGGCTGTCATGGAGGACAACTGCTGGCCCTTTCCCTTTGCATGTGCTGAGGCAGCCTGAGTGAGGGTGCCTCACTTCTAGGGCTTGGGGCTGAAAGGTATGAAACAGGGCACCTCCCCCAGGGCTGCGGCGCCCATGTCAGGCATACTCTCCCCAGAACCCCGGGGAACACTGCTCCAGGTTCCAATGGCACAGGGATCCTGAAGCAGGGTGGTGGAGAATACGAAACTTGGGAGGGTGTTCTGCCTCTCCACCTCCCTTCCGGCCCAGGGAGCGTAAGAGACAATGGTGAGGCCCCTCATGAGCAGAGCCTTGTGTGCAGGGACCAGCTCGGCATTACTTCCTGCTGAGGTTTCTAGAATGCTCAGCTTCCACTGGTGCAGCTCCTGCTCCCCGGGGGCATCCTGGAGTCTCACCACCCACACCTCATCAGGCTCCAGCAGGAGCTTCCAGCGCAGGCCCGGGGCCCTCAGGACCCAGCCCGCTGTCATCTTCCGCAGGTAGACAGCATCATAGCGGCCCACCAGGGAGACGACCTGCAGGTCCAGCAACCAGGCCTCAAGCCTGGCAGAGTCCATGGGCCAGATGGTGCCCAGCTCCAACAACATGGGCTCCCCTGGGGGCAAGTCCACGTTGAGAACACCTTGCCATGGGGGAGGGAGGCTGGGCCAGTGTGAGCAGGAGGGAATGTCCTCGAATCTCCAGGGAAGGACCTGGGTCCAGTCAGAGTCCTCAGGACCCAGGCACAGGGACACTGCGTCCTGGGGATCCAGCTCGGTGGGGACAAAGTGGTGGTTCAGGCTCACCGCCTCCGAGGCTGCCGGGGCGGATGCCAGGGCCTCGGCCGCCCAGCCCGCGGAGCTCCCCTGCCCAGGCTGCCCTTGGCCCTGCCCCCCGCTCGGCCCCGCCCCTGGCGCCCCTTCCTGCTCAGGCTCTGCCTCGGTGAGATCCATGGGCTCCGCGTCCCAGGCGTCCTCGTCCCAGTCTTCCAGCTCCAGCGCGTCTTTCAGGTCCAGGAAGGCAGCCTTGAAGCAGGCAAAGCAGGTCCGCAGCTGGTCCCCATGCTGAAGCTCATACAGCCAGGATGCGTAGAGGTGGGACAGGCCCTCTCCAGCGTAGCGCGTGCTGACCGGGGGGCACATGGCCACGCTGCCTCCTGCGGGGGTGACGGCAGGGCAGGATTTGCACGGGGATCTCAGGTGGTCTGGCCCGAGGTACTGGGTGCCAGTGAGATGCAGGGAGATAAGGAAGTGGGGGGAAGGGGGAAGGGGGGAGGACAAGGATGAGGAAGAGGAGGAGAAGGAAGAGGAGGGGGACAAGGAGGAGGAAGAGGAGGAGGAGGAGGGGAAGAGGAGGAGGAGAGGGAGGAGGATGAAGAAGAGGAGGAGGAGGACAAGGAGGAGAAAGAGGAGGATGAGGAGGAGGGGGAGGGGAAGAGGAGGGGCGATGAGAAGCAGGAGGAGGGGGAGGAGGGCGAGGAGGAGGAGGGCAAGGAGGAGGTGGGGGGGGAGGGGGAGGAGGGAGTTTCCTTCTGGGGCTGGTTGGTGTGGGGCGCAGGGACAGGCCCGGCTCAGCGGGGACCTGTGGAGGTTGGGAGCTCGAGTTTCCAGAAGCTTCTCCAGGCTGAGGAGCTGCAGGCCAAGGAAGTGCGGCTGGCGCCCCTGGGCAGGGTGGGAGGCCGCGGGGCCCAGGCCTCAGCTGCCGGCCCCCCACCGGCCCATCAGGCCCCAACCCCCAGTCCTGGGACCCCAGCAGCCTGGCGGTCTCTCCGGACAGAACCGGACACAACCTGACAGAACCTGACGGAACCTGGCAGCTTTGACAAAACCCAAGAGAATCTAACAGAACTGAGAGACCTGACAGAATCTTAGGAAATCTGACGGAAGCTGACGGAACCCGACAGAAGCTGACGGAACCCGACGGAAGCTGACGGAAGCTGACGGAACCCGACGGAACCTGACGGAAGCTGACGGAAGCTGACAGAACCCGACGGAACCTGACGGAAGCTGACGGAAGCTGACGGAACCTGACGGAACCCGACGGAACCTGACAGAATCTTAGGCAATCTGACGGAAGCTGACGGAGCCTGACGGAACCCGACGAAACCTGACGGAACCTGACGGAACCCGACGGAACCTGACGGAAGCTGACGGAACCCGACGGAGCCTGACGGAACCCGACGAAACCTGACGGAACCTGACGGAACCCGACGGAACCTGACGGAAGCTGACGGAACCCGACGGAACCTGACAGAATCTTAGGAAATCTGACGGAACCTGACGGAACCTGACGAAACCTGACGGAACCCGACGGAACCTGACGAAACCTGACGGAACCTGACGGAAGCCGACAGAATCTGACGGAACCTGACGAAACCCTTCGGAAGCCGACGGAAGCCGACGGAGCCCTCTAAGGAAACCTCGTCCCAGGCCCTCCCCCACCCAAGACGACCCACGACCCCACCGTGGCCCAGGGGTCACTCTAGACCCGGGGCCCAGCACCAGGACCAGAGCCGGAAGCCCCTCCTCAGGAGACCCTCCTCAGGAGACCCTCACCTGGCCGCTGCTTCCGCTCCTGCGGGCGCCCTGGGGAGAGGAGGAGCCGCCGCCCCGGGTATATAAAGGGCCGCCTCCCATGATGCTCTGGGCGTATCTGCATATCTCCCATGAGCCTCCGCCCCCAGGACAGGAGCGCGGTTTGCTCCTCCGGCCTGGAGGTGTGCGGGCTCCCCGCCCCCCTGCGCCCCCCTGCGCCCACCGGCACCCCCCTGCGCCCACCGGCACCCCCCTGCGCCCCCCTGCGCCCACCTGCGCCCCCTGCGCCCACCTGCGCCCACCGGCACCCCCCTGCGCCCACCTGCGCCCCCCTGCGCCCACCTGCGCCCACCTGCGCCCCCCTGCGCCCACCTGCGCCCCCTGCGCCCACCTGCGCCCACCGGCACCCCCCTGCGCCCCCCTGCGCCCACCTGCGCCCCCTGCGCCCACCTGCGCCCACCGGCACCCCCCTGCGCCCACCTGCGCCCCCTGCGCCCACCTGCGCCCACCGGCACCCCCCTGCGCCCACCTGCGCCCCCCTGCGCCCACCTGCGCCCACCGGCACCCACCTGCGCCCCCTGCGCCCACCTGCGCCCCCTGCGCCCACCTGCGCCCCCCTGCGCGGAGTGGCCTGCGCCCACCTGCGCCCCTTCCCTGGCCCCGCAGGCCTCCCGGTCCTCGTTCGCTTTGCCTAAGTCTGCTGGGTCGATCCTCGCAGGCCCGATGGGTCGATCCTTCCTTGATCGATCTCTCTTCCTGTATCGATCTCTCTTCCTGTATCGCTCTCTCTTCCTGTATCGATCCTTCGTTGTGTCGATCTCTCTTCCTGTATCGCTCTCTCTTCCTGTATCAATCCTTCCTCGTATTGATCTCTCTTCCTGTATCGGTCTCTCTTCCTGTATCGATCTCTTCCTTGATCGATCTCTCTTCCTGTATCGATCTCTCTTCCTGTATCGATCTCTTCCTTGATCGATCTCTCTTCCTGTATCGATCTCTCCTGTATCGATCTCTCTTCCTGTATCGATCCTTCCTGTATCGCTCTCTCTTCCTGTATCGATCCTTCCTGTATCGATCTCTCTTCCTGTATCGATCTCTCATCCTGTATCGATCTCTTCCTGTATTGATCCTGCCTTGTATCGATCCTTCCTAGTATCGCTCTCTCTTCCTGTATCGATCTCTTCCTGTATCGCTCTCTCTTCCTGTATCGATCTCTCCTGTATCGATCTCTCTTCCTTGGTCGATCTCTCTTCCTGTATCGCTCTCTTCCTGTATCGATCTCTTCCTTGATCGATCTCTCTTCCTGTATCGATCTCTCTTCCTGTATCGATCCTTCCTGTGGACAGTCCAGCTTTGTGTACATCTTCGGCACCGAGCGCAGGCTTGGTTTGACCACGCTCTGGTTCTTCACTTCCTTGTTTGTTTCTTTTGCTTTGCAATTTTAAATTTCCTCTCATGTTGATTTTGTTAACAATGAAAGAATACACATGGCCTTTGGAGTAACTGTCCAAATTGCTTGGGTCATCCCGCCCTTCCTTCCACACCCACGTCCGCTGTGTCCAGCTGCGTCTCCCACCTGTGTCTGAGGTCTGCCCCAGCTTACAAATCTGCACCTGGCCTCCCGTCAGTGGCTGGCCTGGACTGGACACTCGGCTAAAAGACACCAGCGATTCCTGGACAAATTGAGAGGTGCACCATGCTTCTGGGGGGCAAGGATTGGGAGGTGCACCCCGCTTCCCTGGGGGAGGGGTTGGAGGGTGCACCCCACTTCCTGGGGGAGGGATTGGGAGTGCACCCCACTTCTCTGGGGGAAGGGTTGGGAGGTGCACCCCGCTTCCCTGGGGGATGGATTGGGAGGTGTACCCCACTTCTCTGGGGGAGGGATTGGGAGTGCACCCCGCTTCCCTGGGGGAGGGGTTGGAGGGTGCACCCCGCTTCCCTGGGGGAGGGGTTGGAGGGTGCACCCCACTTCCTGGGGGAGGGATTGGGAGTGCACCCCACTTCTCTGGGGGAAGGGTTGGGAGGTGCACCCCACTTCTCTGGGGAGGGGTTGGAGGGTGCACCCCGCTTCCCTGGGGGAGGGGTTGGAGGGTGCACCCCGCTTCCCTGGGGGAGGGGTTGGAGGGTGCACCCCACTTCCTGGGGGAGGGATTGGGAGTGCACCCCACTTCTCTGGGGGAAGGGTTGGGAGGTGTACCCCACTTCTCTGGGGAGGGGTTGGGAGGTGTACCCCACTTCTCTGGGGGAGGGTTTGGGAGGTGCACCCCACTTCTCTGGGGAGGGGTTGGAGGGTGCACCCCGCTTCCCTGGGGGAGGGGTTGGAGGGTGCACCCCGCTTCCCTGGGGGAGGGGTTGGAGGGTGCACCCCACTTCCTGGGGGAGGGATTGGGAGTGCACCCCACTTCTCTGGGGGAAGGGTTGGGAGGTGTACCCCACTTCTCTGGGGAGGGGTTGGGAGGTGTACCCCACTTCTCTGGGGGAGAGTTTGGGAGGTGCACCCCACTTCTCTGGGGAGGAGTTGGGAGGCATACCTCACTTCTCTGGGGGAAGTATTGGGAGGTGTACCCCACTTCTCTGGGGAGGGGTTGGGAGGTGCACCCCACTTCTCTGGGGGATGGATTGAGAGGTGTACCCCACTTCTCTGGGGAGGGTTGGAGGTGCACCCCACTTCTCTGGGGATACTCGCTGTCATTCCCTGGTCGATTTGGGGCTCACTGCAGCTCACAGTCCCCGCGGCTTTCCTGGTGGGACAGGACAGCCAAGTGTAGGAACCAAAGCCAAGAAGCCGCTGGTGTGAGAAGCGCCCTCCGGCCGGCCGGTGCAGGCTCCTGGTGGCTCTGTTCAAGTTGATGGCTGAGGCACTTGCTCTTTGTTCTCGGGGCCATGGCACCCCTGCCCTGCAAGGAGACCCAGGACAAACGTCCCTGGACGGAGCCTGGGGAGGCTGAGGGTGGACGGCGCGGTGCTGCGGCTCGATGGAGACTTGGACCGGGGTAGGAGGCGTGGTTGTCAGAGACTCAGGACCCCAGTGTTCCCAGCTGCCAGGGCCACAGTGAGGGTAGCACACAGGTCAAGGTCATGACCTGGAGTTCGGTGGTCCCAGAGCCAGCACCAGACTGCCCGCAACCCCAGACCCCATCCCCACGGGGTCAGGAGGGAGCCCGAAAAGACTGAGCGAGGCCACAGCGAGTGGATGGGCTGGGACAAACTGAGAAGCCGTTAGGCGGGCCAAGATGGTGGCCTGGCCAAGTCCGGAGCCTCCAGCCGCTGGAGTACCAGGCACACACTTGGGCTGGGACCAAGCGAGGAAAGGGGAGAAGTCTCCACGTGGCACCCACGATGCTTTGCACAGCTCTGAGAACATTCCGGAGATGTCTGTGGAGTGGAGCGGCTTCAAGAGGACACATTCCTGCGTCTCTGTTGGCTGCTGACCTCCGTCCGCAGGGTGGCCGCTGTGACATCACTGACCCTCTGTGTGTCCCGGGTGGGCCCGGAGCTCCCCCACGGGAGCCCGTCCCAGGTGCAGGATTCCCGGCCGACCCAGGAGGCTGCCAGCCTGAGTGGTCGCGCCCGGAGGCACTCCCGGTAACGCACCCACACGGGTTTTGTTCTGGCGGGGACCCAGTTGGAGTCAGACGCTCATAAAGAGAGAAAGTGTGTTTAGACCATCAGGTGACTCAGCAAGCAGAACCGTCTGCAAAGCTGCCGTGAAAATCGAGACCAGGAGAGGGTTCCGGAGAGCGGGCACAGGGCTCGTGTTCGGCGCGCGCCCCAGCGCCGCAGGTGAACCCCTCGCAGGCTCAGGGACAAGCTGCCTGCACCCTTTCAGCGCAAGCCTGCAGAGACGCTTCCCCGAGGGGGAGGGGAGGCTCTGCCCCACGGAGAGCAGCCGCCGTTGGGGGCCAGGAGGTGGCACGGCTGTGGCGCCGGGAGCAGGTGTGTTCCTGCTCCTGGATTTCCTCTGTGGTGGAGTCTGAGTTTTGGCCAACTCGCTGCAGGAAGACAGAGGGGTGGAGACAGGACGGACGACGACCCCGCCTGGCAGGTGCCTTAGACCCCGCGTGAGCCCGCGACAGAAGTGCCGCTGCGGGTGGGGGACGGCCAGCGCCGCCATGGCCCGCAGGGGCTCCAGATCCAATCCGTCCGTTCCTCTCCTCTCCCCTGCCCCCGCACCTTCATGCAAGTCCTTCTTCTACTTGGACCCCAGCGTCCCCTGGTTCCGTTGTGTGTCCACTGTGGACATCACGAGACGTGGCCTATTATTACTCTTAGATCCTGCGATTCACCTCACTCCAGTGAGGCCACGAAACTGCCAGCCCCAGATCTGACATGACAGGTGGGTGTGGACCCAGCACGGAGGAGCCACGTGTTCCCCACCCATGTCCAAGTCCTGCACAGTGACGCTGGACCCTTCCCATGGCACCACCATCCACAAGTCATTCACCAGGTGCCCAGTCACCTTCCCATCATCATCCACCCACCCAGTCACCCACCACCCACCCACCACCACCCAGTCACCAAGTCACCCACCCACCACCACCCAGTCACCAAGTCACCCAGCACCCACCCACCACCACCCAGTCACCAAGTCACCCACCCACCACCCACCCAGTCACCTACCCACCACCCACCATCCACCAAGTCACCCAGCACCCACCATCCACCCAGTCACCAAGTCACCCACCCTGCCCCCCACCCAGTCGCCCGCATACCCAGCCTCCCCTCCCCCCACCCACCGCCTGCTCCCCCGGGACAGTAGGCTACCGCTTCTCAGGGAACTATTTCCAGATGTGTCCCCACATTCAGTGGCAGAGGAGTTAGGCGAAGAGAGACTTCCACGGGCCTGTTTGGGACAGCTCATGTCTCCGTGGCGGGGCGGGAGACCGTGGGGGGGGCACGGCTGTTCAGGGCCCCCGCCCACCTGGAGCAAAAGCGCCCTCTGATGAGCGTGTTTCCGGGCCGTGACAGCCTGGCTGCGCCCAGCTTCCTGGACTCTCCTTGGACCAGGGCCTCCTAAGGGGAGACCGGCCAAGTGAAGCTGGGCACGGGGAGGCCCAAGACCCTGGTGTCCGTGAGCCCCTGCCCGGCTGGGAGAGAATATCCATGTGTCGCTTTAGGCTGCCCGGGTTTGTGGATTTGTTACCCGACCTCAGGAAGGCTCTATCCTTGTTGCCACTCTGCATGCTCCCATGTTCGGTGGCAACATTTCAGTCTCTCTGGGTGATACATTGTAGCAGCTAGTGGTTCAGGTTGGAATTTCTCTGCTGACAAATGATGTGTGTCTACGTGTGCAGCCTCTTTCCCGAGGTCTGTGCGACTCTGTTGTGAAAATCGTGGACAGCAGTTAGGCTGCTGCCTGCAATGCTGGCAGCTCCCATGGGAGTGCCTGACTCATGGCCCAGCGCCCTGCTGACGCCCCTGGGAAGGCAGCAGACGCTCGCTGGGTGCAGAAGGAAGGAAGGAAGCTGGCTCAGCCGCGGTGCAGGCTGACGGGGCGGCCACCTTGTCCTGTGCCAACCCCGTCCCCGTCCTTGCTCTGAGGCTCGGCTGTCTACAACGCTGGCATTGCCTATGAGCTCCAGCTCAAGACCCGGCCGCTCCACTTCCTGTCCAGCTCCCTGCTAATGCTCCTGGGAAAGCAGCAAAGATGGCCCAGGTGCTTGGGTCCTGCCACCCGTGTGGGAGACCCGGATGGAGCTCCAGGCTCCAGGCTTCAGCCAGCCCAGCCCCGGCCATTGTGGCCATTTGGGGAGTAAACCAGCAGGTGGAAGTTCTTACTCTTTCAAATGCATAAAGCTTTTTTATTCTTAAAGAGAAGTAAAGTTCTTTTTTTTTTAATTTTTATTATTATTATTTTTTGACAGGTAGAGTGGACAGTGAGAGAGAGAGACAGGTCTTCCTTTGCCATTGGTTCACCCTCCAATGGCCGCCGCAGCCAGCGTGCTGTGGCCAGTGCACTGCACTGATCCGATGGCAGGAGCCAGGTGCTTCTGGTCTCCCATGGGGTGCAGGGCCCAAGCACTTGGGCCATCCTCCACTGCACTCCCTGGCCACAGCAGAGAGCTGGCCTGGAAGAGGGGCAACCGGGACAGAATCTGGCGCCCCGACCAGGACTAGAACCCGGTGTGCCGGCACCGCAAGGCGGAGGATTAGCCTAGTGAGCCGCGGCGCCGGCCAAGAGAAGTAAAGTTCTATGGTCTGTTTGCCATCCGGTTTACAGAATTTTTGTTGTAACAGCCCCCATGGACTAAACAGGAGTGGGGAATGTCCAGCCCACAGGCCGTATAAAGCCTGCAAAATCATTTTGGCCTGGCCCTGCCAAGGGAACCTCAGGTGGGATTGGAAATCCAATAGACCTATAGCAGACTAATGTTGAAGTTGATAACTTCGGGTGGTCTGTGAGTGATGTCATCAATACTCAACTGGCACTCGGCAGCAAAAAGGTCCCCAGCCCTGGACTCAGACGTTAGATGCCATTAAGGAACTGCAAGTTGAAGCAACAAGGAGGCCAGCTGCGGACCTGCTTTGCCTGCTTCAAGGCTGCCTTCCTGGACCTGAAAGACGCGCTGGAGCTGGAAGACTGGGACGAGGACGCCTGGGACGCGGAGCCCATGGATCTCACCGAGGCAGAGCCTGAGCAGGAAGGGGCGCCAGGGGCGGGGCCGAGCGGGGGGCAGGGCCAAGGGCAGCCTGGGCAGGGGAGCTCCGCGGGCTGGGCGGCCGAGGCCCTGGCATCCGCCCCGGCAGCCTCGGAGGCGGTGAGCCTGAACCACCACTTTGTCCCCACCGAGCTGGATCCCCAGGACGCAGTGTCCCTGTGCCTGGGTCCTGAGGACTCTGACTGGACCCAGGTCCTTCCCTGGAGATTCGAGGACATTCCCTCCTGCTCACACTGGCCCAGTCTCCCTCCCCCATGGCAAGGTGTTCTCAATGTGGACTTGTCCTCTGGGGACTCCCAGGCTTGAGGCCTGGTTACTGGACCTGTAGTTTTGTCCCTGGTGGGTACCATGATGCCACCTACCTCTGAAAGATGACAGAGACTGGGTCCTGAGGGTGCTGGGAGCTTGCTGGGGACGGATGAGGCTGGGTGGTGAGACTCCAAGATGTTCCCTGGTGCAGGACCCCGGCTGTAGAAACCTGCTCCTTGAGGTGGGATGAAGAACTGGGCCCCCAGACTTGGCCTCCCAGGGAGGGGATCACCACTGTCCTTTTTTGTCCCTGTTCTGAAAGCTAGGCCAAGGAGGGGACCTCAGCCTGACACAGGGCCCCCTCCCGCCCTGGGTAGACCCCCAGCGCTGCTTCCTGCTGGACAGCAGGCCCAGGGCGCTTGGGGAGAGCCCAGCTGTGATGCAGCCTCCGCCCTGGGCCCCAGAACTGAGGCATCATTGCCCCCCAGCCTTCATTGTGTCGGCTGTCCCAGCAACAGACCAGGAAGGCCCGCGAGGCCCTTCCCACAACAGCCAGGACGGCAGGGCACAAAGGCTGGGTGCGACCCGGCCTGAGGAGGAAGAGAAGGATCAGCGCTGCGGGCGCCAAGGGAAGCACCAGTCGAGCTCACCACCTACAGATGAGCTCGTGCCAGCTGCCCGTCCTGGCGGCAGCCGTGCGATGCTGCGCTGGGTCCCAGCAGGCGCCGGGTGCAGCACAGCGAGCCCGGGCAGAAGGAGGTCCCTTGTGCGGCACTGCCCAGAGCACACGGACCTCCAGGCCACCCCGTCAGTCCCCGGGGCACGACGCATCCTGTCTTCAGCACTGGGGCCCTGGTCTGCAGCGGGAAGAGACTGGTTCCAGTGGTGGCCATGCGTGCCGCGTGTGTGAGTCCACTTGTTTTGTCCATTTTTTAAATTCAAGGCATAGGAGTTTTTCATCCAGCTCTTGTCCAGAGCTTTTTCTCAGGGTTCGTTGGCCGACCTCGACCCCTTCCTCTCTGGCCAGGTCACCGCTCACAGGCCACCGGGGGGGACCAAGAGATCCCCAGCTTCTGGGTTAGTGCCGAGCCTCGGCCTCTCCTTTCTTCGTTCCTGGAAAGGGTGGAGGATGGAGCCAGAGAAATGAGTTCCTGGAAGAGAGCGATGGCGGACAGTGTCTGTCCTCCTCCCCCACCCCACTCGGGAAGCCGTGAAATTGCAATCGAAGTCCCAGACTTCGTTTCTGGAACTGGCAAGGCAATACGTGTGCGGGCGTTCTGATGTCACAGCGCCAGGGCCCGGGGCCTCCGGCACTGATGTCGTCAGTTCTGCAGGCCACGTTTCACATCCTCACGCTGAGGCTCTGGGGACTGGCACCAACCGTCTCCCGAGCACCTGCTTGGCACCCTGCGCTGTCCTGGCATCGGCCGGATCAGCTCCCGAAACACAGGCGCACAGCCAAGCGACGGGAGACAAAGAAGGTAGGGAATGAGGGAAGCAGACCTGCCGGGGGACCGCGGCCAGCGTCCCCTCACTCCCAGCCCGCCCCAGCGCCTCTCCCTACCCAGCCCACCTGCGGAGTCCCATGACCTGTGGGCAGCTCCCGTCCTCCAGGGGAGCTGCCATGTGACAGCACACGTGTGTGCCAAGGCGGTGTGATGGTCAGGACGCCTCTGTCACGGCTCTTGCTGAGCTGGGGGCTGTCCCTTGAACCAATGCGCATCGTCAGACGTTTAGAAAACAGACGAGCGAAGGAGGAAAAGGAAACTCGCTGCTCATACCTCCTCCAAGGGGAGTGTGGCCAGCGTCCAACACGCACTGTGTTATTGCCTGTGGATATTTGCAACATTTTGTTCTAGAAAAGAACTTTTAAAGGCCTCTTGTTCTAAAAAAATTTCTCAAAGTACATTCTCTGTGTCACTCTCACATAGGGAAGGAACCAGCAGGGGCCAGCTCACTCAGCCCTCCTGGGTGGCAGGACCAGAGCAGCCAGGGTCCCCTCTGGGGTGCGTGGACCCTGTAGAGGCCCTGAGCGGGAAAGGAGCAAGCAGACGCCAGGAACTGTGGAGCCCTCCCCAGGTAGGGCAGGGGGACAACCATGCTTAGCCTGGGTCTGGAGTCCAGACGCCGGTCCTTGCCGTGAGGCCACCCAAAGGTGGGCTAGTCTTAAGGGATGGTGCTCCCCCCACGGGTGGGTCTCTCACTGCCTACAGCAAGGCCTGGGGCTGCCCTGTGAAGCTGGGAAAGGTCTTGGATTAGGCTCCGAACAACCTCGTGGGGAGGCAGAAGAGGGAGGTGGCCAGGAGGAACCGCCAGGCTCAGCCTCCTGGCGTCTGGCTCAGAGGGGGCTCTGCCTACAGAAGTGAGACCCTCCACCACTCCCACTGCTGGCTGTCCCTGGGGACTCCTGGAAGTCCGGGCACGACTGGAACATCTCCCAGCGTCCTAGGGCTCCTGGCCTTCGCACAGGTAGAGGCAGTGAGGCCCTCACACTCACATACCCTGGGACCCTCCCCCTCCCCTTCCTCCCAGCCCCCAGGGGTCCAGGTGTGGGGGGTGAAAGCCAGTTCTCCCAGGCCCCTGCGTGTCCCTGTCCGTAGCCTGCAGTAGCAGGTGCTGCCTGTGACGGGGCTGAGGCCCCAGGCTGGGCCCCACCCGGAAAGCACAGGTGTGGGCAGGGCGCTGGCACCTTCCTCAGATGAACAGAAGGCAGGCGCCATAAACCTGGCCTCGCGGCTTTTGCTTTTACTCCCACTCCCTACAGACGGCAGGACATTAAGCAATGCTAAGAAAAAAGGATACAGGGGACTGCGCTGTGGTGTAGTAGGTTAAGCCACTGCCTGCAGCACTGGCATCCCATGAGGGCGCCAGTTCAAGTCCCAGCTGCTCCACTTCTGATCCAGCTCCCTGCTAATGCCCCGGGAAAGCAGCAGATGGCCCAAGTGTGTGGGCGCCTGCACCCACGTGGGAGACCCGCAGGAAGCTCCTGGCTTCGGATCAGCCCAGCTCTGTCCATTGCAGCCATCTGGGGAATGAACCAGCAGATGGCCCACGTCTCTCCCCCTCTCTGGAACTGCCTTTTGGATAAGTGAATAAATCTTTAAAAATTAATAAAAAAGAAATAAAGGATTAAAGATTCCGGCAAATCGGAGCTGTGCTGGGTCAGCCTCGCCCTCGGCCACTGGCCGCCTGCCCCCGAGGAGCTGGGCTCGTGGCCACCTGTCATCCGAGAGAGGGCCGCGGGTGATGAATAACACAGTTTTTGGCTAAAACAGCTTTAAGTATTTATTTCAGCTTAACCTGTTCATTGTGAAGCAAGAGCAGATCCGTGGCCATCAGAGGGTGCGAGCAGGGAGGCTCGGAAGCTGGGGCACACCGAGGCCACACACCCCCATTCTGCTCCCGGGGTGGGGGGCTCCACGCATCCTGGGACTTCCTGTGAGGACGGCCCACACCCAGAAAAACCTGCAAATGCATGCAAATGCCCCAGGCACCAGACGCACCCCTGCCCCACGGCCCCATCCCCGCAATGGGCCCCGTTTGGGGGCAACATGAAGCATTGTTGGGGGCCCCTGCCAGGCACACAGGGGCCCCGATCTGGCCTAGCGCCTCCCCACCCCCCCCCCCTTCAGACTCAGGTACCAGTCGCGGAGGGAGGGGCAGTTGCCAGAGCGAGTCCATTTTTTCCTCCGCTAAGCATAGAAACAAAAAGCCGGGAAGCCACTTGCAAACAAGCAGCTACTCCTATTTGACTGGCAAATGACGGCAAAAGCGTCTGGTCCGGAAGGGGCCAGGCGAGAGGCCCAGCAAGACACCGGCTTTGAGGCACACAGTGTCCAGGGTTTTTAAGGCATCCTATGGGGGTGCCCTTTGGACGGGGATTTCCCGTACGGTAGGTTGATCGGTTTGGGGCTCACGGAGACAGCAGGGGTCTCTTGGAGACCGCCCGACTCTCCCCAGTGGCTCAGCCCCCTCCTCTGCTGGCTCTGGGTGGGGGATCGCACCCACCCCGCAGGTGACATGTAAAGCCGCAAGGTCCAGGCAGCACAAGGAGCTATAGTGCGGGAGAGGCCAGCCAGTCTGGAGACCGGCTTTCCAGCCACAGTGGGCAGCCAGCTTGTGAAGGACATTCTGCCTATGTCCGAGCAGCCGCTGGACGGCCTCACCAGGCAGGGCCCCCTCTCAGCGGCTGGGGCGGGGGCTGCCCTGCTGGGGCTTCTATAAAGAACCAAGGCTGGGAAACTCGGGACCAAACCATACCCACGAACCTGCTGCTGGCAGAAGGAAGGAAGAAGCTGGGTGTCCAGCTGCAGCTGACCCGGCCCGGCCCTGGACTTACTGTTTGCGCAGGACACCCCCTGGTGGTCATCTCGGGCTGTGCGGACGCTCAGGTTCCAGTCCCCAGAGCTCTGCTTGGACCAGGCCTGGCTCCTGGGAAGAATCAGGAGCTGTACCTCCCAGCCCCGCCCCCCCACTGCTCAGCCTCTGTTCTCTGGCCTGGGAGCCCGACATCTCTCCTGCAGGGTGGGGCCGGGACAGGTCTGAGCCACCCCAGCAAGCTCCCCCCATGAAGCAGCCTGCCCCTACCCTGCTGTGAGACCTCCCTCCCCTCCCCCTCCCCTGCCTGCAGGCCAGCAGCTGGCACAGTGGACCCCAGCTGGGAGAGACCCCTCCCCAGCCTCCACCACGCAGCTGGCACAGAGGACCCCAGCTGGGAGAGACCCCTCCCCAGCCTCCACCACGCAGCTGGCAACCTGCTCTACCTCCCCCTTCTCCTCTGGAAATCCTCCAGCTACTGTGCACAGTGGGAAAAACACATTTTATTTTATTTATTTGAGAGGTGAAGAGGTCTTCCACCCGCTGGTTCACTCCCCAAATGGCCACAATGGCCGGAGCTGGGATGATCCAAAACCAGGAGCCAGGAGCTTCTTCCAGGTCTCCCACGTGGGTACAGCAGCTCAAGTACTTGGGCCATCTTCTACTGCTTTCACAGGACATAAGCAGAGAGCTGGATTGAAAGTGGAGCAGCCAGGACACAAACCAGTGCCCAAATGGGATGCTGGCGCCGCAGGCAGAAGCTTAGCCCACTGCACCACCGCGCCAGCCCGGAAAAGCACTTTGAGGTGGAAGAGGTCTGCTTCCCCAGACGCTGGTTTCCAGAATGAACCCAGAGTCGAGCAGCCCGGTCTCCCCTCACCGGCCTCCTAGGGCTAGGCCGGCTCCTACTCAGCCCTCAGCAAATGTCCCCCAGGCACGCAGGGCTGG